AATTTCCATCAACTGAGGAATGGATAAAAAATATGTGGTATTTTTATACAATGGAGTACTACTCAACCATAAGGAAAGATAAATTAATTTTTATAGGTAAATGGATGCACTTAAGACCATACTCATTAGTGAAATAAATCAAACACACATGTGTAAACATCACATTGTTTCACTAGTATGAGAAGTTCAAATTATATACATGATAGTTAAGATAGTTATATTATTGATTTCTTTGAGATCATTGAAGAAAATGGTTTATGCTAGTATTGTTAGGACAATTAAATGCAGATGTACTGAGTAACTGATTTGAAGAACAGTGTACAATGTATATACCATTATGTCCTAAATTGTTTTGAAATTGTTTTTTCTCTTTAAAATAAAATGAAAAAAGAATCACTTATCTTCCTTTCCTACTAGATTTTATCTGAACAGTTATCTAAACAGTAACTTTTACTCATCTGTATATCCTCATACAGAGCCAAGTATAAGGAAGTCATTCAAATGGTTGCTGAACAGGACTGTTCATTCTTTTACTATTATCTCATCACTCAAAATAACCAAGTATTTGAAAGCTATATTTTGAAATAAGTACATTTTTCTGAGAGGACTTACTCCAAGTTTATCTTATTATTTCTACTGAAGATACAGTATTGCCTGATATTATATGATATAACCAAGAGTCCAAGGATGCATGAAAAGCCCCTGGTAAGGAGGATGACTGACATAAGAGAACTGAAACCATTTCAAGGGTCTTATACACAGGTGTGGAAGATACTGAATTTAAAAATCCAATTTGGAATTTTTTTCTATCAGTCACCTTACTCAATTGCAAAATGCTGTATTAGAAATCCTGAAACTATGGTAGGTGTGATGACATATGCTTGTAATCCCAGCGTTCTGGGAGGGTGATACTGGTGGATCCCAAGTTTAAGTCAAATGTGGGCAACTTAATGAGGTCCTGCCTTAAAGGAAAAAAAAATGTTGCAACCTTATAATTTCTTTAACGATAATCAAGTTCAAAAAATGTAAAGTTCAACTGATCCACAATATTTACTTCTTGATAAAAGGCAGATTTCAGGTATGCATAGAGGCACGCATATGTTAGAGGTTAATGTTTTTTTGGCAGTTCTTGGTTTGAACTTTATCAGGTGCATTTTAAACTTTTGTCACAAAGGATATGTTATTAAAATAAAAAATAATTTTAAGAGCCAGTGATGTAACTCAGTGCAAAGACCTTGAGTTAGTCCCCAATACCAAAAAAAACCAAAAAGATTAAAATTGAAGGATTCTGAGCAACAAAATCATACACTACTTCAGAAAGAAAACAAATTAACAAAAAATAAGATGGTGCAATGAAAAAGACTACAATTAAAATTCAAGCAAAGTGTCAACAAAGTTAGGCAAGTAATCGGGAAAAATCTCAGAATACATGTATATTTTTTAGCCTGAATCAGAGAGCCAATTCAAGAGATGGTGAAGGTAGAAGTACAGTAAGACTTGTGCTGCCATCTAGAGGTTAGAGGCTACATGACACTTCTTTTCAATCAGTTAAGGGCTGTTAATTTAACTACAAGTATTACAGATAGAAAGGTAGGATCAAACAGGCCTTCTTTTTTGGTTGGTTTTTGAGACAAGGTCTCACTATGTAGTTCATCCTGGCCTTGAACTCACAAAGTAGCCCGTGATCTCATGGCAATCCTCCTGCCTCTGCTTCCCAAGTACTGGGATTATGTACAGGCACGTGCTACCGCACTCCCAAATAGGTCTAATGAAAGTCAGACTAATAACCTTAATATGAGGCTACAAAAAAGATTATCCAAGGTATATGAGTAGAAATTCTTCTCTTCTCTCTTCTTTCACAGATTAACATTAGAATTCAAAGAGCCGTCTTGTAGAATTTTACTTGGATTTTCAAATACAAATGTCCACTTTTACAGAATCACATGCCTAGTATACTATAGTTTAGAAGCACAGGTTTTCTTCTGGTATCACCACCAAAGAAAGTTTTACCAAACAGTTTCTGGTACTGACAGCTTTTTAAGTACAAAAAAATAAGATGAAGTTCAAATGAGATATCTCAATCATTTTTATTCTAAAACTTTTTAAAACTCAGTGATTACATTTAACCAAGTAACAGTCCCACTGAAATTACTTACTGAACATACAGGATTAGACTGTAAATCAGCACAAGAAGCTACTTTTATCAAAGCTAAATTCCTTGTAAAAAGGACAATATACTTAATGTGATTCTATTTACATGAAAAGGTACTAAGCAGGATATGACAGCGCACGCCTCTAATCCCAGCACTCTAGAAGGCTGAAGCAGGAAGGCAAACAAGTTTGAGCCAAGCCTGGGCAGTTTAGCAATTTAGTGATACTTTGTCTCAAAATAAAAAACAAATAAGGCTGGGGATGCAACTCAGTGTAAAAGCCCTGGGTTTTAATCACTAGTACAACAAAAAACACACAGACCAAAAGATACCTATTAAAAAACCCATAGGCAAAACCAATGCTTTGACTGAGTATGGTGGTACACACCTGTAAGCCCAGCACTCGGGAGGCTAAAAAGATTACTACGAGTTCAAGACCAGCTTACGCTACAAAGTGAGTTTAAGGCCACTCTGAAATGCATAGTGAAACCCTTTCTCAAAAGGACAATAAATAAATAAAGAAATAAACAAACCAAACTAATGGTTCAAGAACAAAGGGTAAAAGAAATGAAACTAGAAAAATTAACCTGGTACAAGCAAACAAAATGGACTGGACTGAGAGTCATGGAGACCAGTTAGAAGGTGACTGCCATAATCTCTACAAGAGAAAGGCATTGAACTAAGATGAAAATAACACAAATTGAATTCTTTATATGCTAACGCAGTTTTACAACTTTTTGTAATTATATATATTTCAAGAGAATTTCGTGTAAGTGTCAAATTAAACCAAGAGACACCTGAGACAACAAAAGTTACTGTATTCCAAACTGCACACCAAAAGGGTTACATGAAGTACAATCACGTACCAAATCAAAAGGCTCATCATCCAAAAGACAAAATCTAGTTACTATCAGCTTTAGAAGGTTCACATTATTTCTGCACTAACATTTGACAATGCTCTTGGGAAATGACAAACAATCATGTTTTGAGGAGAAATATTTTTAGCATTTTTTTCTTTCCATCATCTTTATCAGTGCAGATATTTGCATGAAAACAGGATCACTGGTCCTTGGGGATTCATCAGTTCCTATTGCTTATTTTTCATCCATGTCATCCTCTCAATTAAATGCAGGAAAGAGGATTGAGACATCGAAACACCAGATTAGGATGTCAAGTAAAAGCCAACCCCTAGAGTGGATGAATAATCTGTAAGGACAAAAAAAGATCTTGTTTTTATGCAAATACACTATACAAAATAAAACAAAGAGACACTGTATTTGAGAAATCCAATACACAACGGTACAATTATTTCCAATTGTAACTTTAAAAATTCTTTATGTCAACTAAATTTACCTTGGTTAAGGAAAATGGCAATTGGTTGAAATATTGCTGCAGAATTTGAAATAAGGCTGAATTTTGAACTAGAAGATAATTCTGAAGAATCTCAGCTGTGCCATGGGAGAAATACAGCAAAAACAGCTTTTGTTGTACAGATTGAATTCAATGCTTAAGGTACGTGAGTTAGGTGACTTCAAACCATCCCCGCCCCCCCGCCCCCAGTAAGGAAGGCTTTTTTCTTTTTCTTTCTTTCTTTCTTTTTTTTTTTTTTTGTGTTGGGGATTGAACTCACAACCTCGTGCCTGCCAGGCAGGCACTTACACAGGTGAGCTAAACCTCCAGTCCAAGGGTGGCTTTAAGTGTGCATATTAAAACAAAGCAAAACAAAAAAGACCATATAGACACTTTTTTCTTGAGACTGGGGATTGAACTCGGAGACCTCGCACTTGCCATGCAGGTGCTTGTGCTGCTGAGCAATATCCTCAGCCCTGATGAAGCTATTTTGGGGATTCCAATTAGTACAAAACTTAAATTTTTGAAAAAAAACTACATGTCATAATAGTACTCTCAGCCAGGTGTGGTGGCCACACATCTGTAATCCCAGAACTTGGGAGGCTGAGGCAGGAACTGCTGCATGTTCAAGCCTGGGCGACAAAGTGAGTTGAAGGCCAGCCTGAACTGCATAGTGAAACTGTCTCAAAAAGAAAAAAAAAAAGTACTCTCACGATGGATTAATGATGGTCTCAGGTTCTAACCACTGTATTTCCTTTGGGTATCACCTCTTGCAACTACAAAGTGAGACTTCCTTATAATTCCTTTTCTAGTTTAATAATGAATGTAGTATGAGAAGGGACATGATGTGAAAAGAAATTATCTAGGAGGGCCACAGATTTAGCTCAGCAGAATAAGCGCCTGCCTGACAAGCATGAGGTCATGAGTGCAATCCCTGGTACCAAACAAAAAGAGGACAGGCATGGATGAGAAATTTAAAAGCATTACTCATGGGTAACAGAAACATTCTTGGTTTGTTATATGTCTTTTCCTTTAGAGAACCAATTCTTCCCTCCCATTCCATGTGTTTTGAGTCACATCAACCTCTCCCTCTAATCTGCATCTGTACCTAAGTCTCCAGCCTGGTGGATTAGAGCATTCCATCTGGCCAAAGGACTCATTCAATGATGGTACACGAGCCCACAGAGAACAGTCAGTCTTTTAATTTATGTAAACTAATAAAGTCTCTTCTTTGGCTTAAGATAGTTTGCATTGATCTATCACTTAAAACTGAAAGAGTTTCAACACTTTCATTGCACAGAGAAAAATAATTTGTTATCTACTAAATCCAGTAATTACTCCACTCTCATAAAGGCACACTTCAGATTACACTGACCCCTTAATTTCAGATTATTTAACTTTTCTCTAATAAAGAAAATTTGTATTTTCCAGAATTATAACTAGAACTCATTATGGAATGCACAACATGTAACCCTGAATAAATATGATCTGAGTACTCACACTCATCCAGCCCCAGTTGATAGGCCAGGTTCTGTAGGCCTCGTACCTTCTCCATCAAATTAGCTGTAGTGAGACTTCCCAGTTCTGAAACAGAATCATTTATTTCAATACCATTTCTTCCCACTATCTTCAAGTAGCAATTCATTTAGACTGGGAATCCTGATTAGAAAAATTTTCAGGTCTGACCAGGAGGTACAATGAATATTGAGCTTAGCATGGTTTAATCTCCAGCATTCAAGGAAGGAAAGGAAGTGAAGGGAAGGGGCAGAGGAGAAGCAGAGGGAGGGAAGAAGGAAGGAAAAAAAGAGTGTTTTCAAGCATAATTCCTACTGAGTAACAGGAAAACGTATCTTGTTTGTACCAGTTTCATATATAATACACACAAATCGCTTCTGTAGAAACGTCTTCAAGGCGCTTTCCCACATAATAAAATGGGTTACATAAACACAGTTACAAATTGTTTTAAACTAAGGATCCATTGTCTAGCTTACAAAATGAATACAACACCAATATATGATAATTCATTACTCCAAAGAACACTGAAAAACCCATCCAGAACACTTTCAAAATGAACGCTGTCTCTGAGTTCCCTGATTTCAACTAACAATGCAATATTAACAGAATATTGTTTTCCATTTTCTTCTTAGAAAAAAGGTTAAATATAAATCCAAACCCAAGTCAAATTCCTATTTAAATATTCAGGAAGTAGGAGTATAGCACAGTGGTAGAGTGCTTGTCTACTATGCACATGGTCCTCAATTCAACTCCCAGTACCAAAAACAAAGATTTGCCAAGTAAAAATACAATATTCTTAAAACAATAGCATCCAATTCCTTTTACATTTAAGACACAGGTCAGTTTGCATGAAATAGAATGTATGTTCTCTCACTAAAAATGTAAAGTTTCCTCAGAAAACACATGGGTTATTCTATAAATGTCTGTTTGGAACATTACAACAATGAACTGAAGATGTCCTTGAAACTTAATTTTTTCATAGCTGAAAGAGGGGATCTGCATTCAAGCATGCAGAACAGTGAATTACTTCTAAAATCAAATAAAGGTTTTTTCCCCTCCCATTTATCATTCTACAGTCATTATCTACATCTGGCATAAGCAGACTTTCCTGACCTGTTCAATTGCTTAAATAGGTCAAGAATCTCAGATTTTTACCTTAATTTCAGTCTATTACTTCATAACCATCATGAATCTTATCACCAGAAAAATGATTAAAAAAAGAAAGAAAATTCAGAGAAAATTAATGTTTTTAATTTAAATTTCTACTCTGTGATTGAGTTCGAAATCATTTATCAAATAACAATATTCACAGAATCCTTTCTGGAAGAAATTGATAGGTTAGAAAAAATAGAAGACAGGTTCCACTAAGGGCTGCCACTTAACGGTACTGACAACAATACATAGCATTAAATTCTACATAAGACATTTTTATTACAGTGGAAAGAGATCTTAAAAACTGGGTTTATGTTTATGCCAGGCATGGTGGTGTATACTTGTAATCTCAGCACTCAGGAGGCTGAGGCAGGAGGATCGCCAGGAATCGAGGCCAGCCTGAGCTACAAAGTGAGTTCAAGGCCAGCCCTGAACTTCACAGCAAGACCCTATCTCAAAAGAAAAAAAAAGGTTTAAAATTTTAACTCTTTTCTAATCAATGTTTGTTAGTTAAACCTCTAAACCTAGGATATCATCACATCTATCTAACAAAATGTTTATGAAAATTAATAAAATTTAAGGTTTTTATTAACTGTATCATATAAAATAAAGTTGGTATTAAAAAGAACTAATATCAGAAGAATTCATTATGACTGAATCTTGAGGTGACAAGTTTCTACACATGAAAAAAAGTAGAAAAAGGCATTTCGCACATGAAAAACTATGAATAAAGATGGTTAGGTGAGCAGTTTGAAGCCAAGAGAATAAGGACCAAGTAAAACTGGTAAAGTGGTTTGTTTGAAGGGAACATAAATATCAAATTAAAAGTTAGAGGACAAGCCAGATATCACGGTACATGCCTATAGTCCCAGTTGTTGGGGTGGAAGGCTCACTTGAGCTCAGGTGTTTAAAATCTGCCTAGGCAAAACAGCAAGACTGTCTCAAAGTAAAAAAATCAAAGTTAGAAGCTACCTGCATTACTTACCTTTTAGCATATCAATGTCATCACGTTCTATTTCAGCCATCCATTTAGGTGGAGAACTAGTAATAGGCTGTCAGAAAACAAAAATACATCTATTAGATATGACTTTGATGAGACCTTATTCTTCCTTCTTAAAAGAAACGTAGCTTCAGTACATTCAATCTCTGGTACTGCCAAAAAAAAAAAAAAAAAAAAAAGAAATGCAGCTTGTCACACAGTCTTTAGGTTGTCTGAAAATATGGGCAAATTATAACTATAAATATAAACCCAAATTTCTCCAGGTTCAAATATGAGCTGAAAAGATGCCACTACTATTACTAGTTCATGCATAACAATACAGAAATGAAACTACTTGAAACACTATTGTGGGCAAAGCCTCCAGCTGAACTTGTTTAACATGATACTAATATTCTCTGGAGGAAAAAAGAGTCAAGAATGAGAAACTGAAAAATAAAAAAAAACAAAATGTGACAAGTATATGTACCACTTACCCATGAAGAATGTATTAAACATATATATTAATTAAGAAGTGAAAAAAGTAAAAATCTTTTGTTTCAGACAGGGTTTCACTATGCAGGCTGGCCTTAAACTCACTTTGTAGCCCACGCTGGCCTTGAACTGTAGACAGCAATCCTCCTGCCTCCTGCCACCACTCCCAGCCGAAAAAAGTAAATATAAAAAATACATTTCAGACAGAGCGCCTGAAGATGAATGCTAGAGGACATGGATCTCAGTAAAGGACAGTGTTCTAGTTGCTGAACTTTTAGCAAGTGGGCTTTTTGAACATCATCATCTTCTTTGAAAAGGTTTTCTCTTGTGAAAAAGGAACTGTTACCAAGTCACGCTCTTAAATTATCAGAAAAAAATTTCTAGCTCAACCAAGATAAAATGAACACACTGAGGAATATCCAGGGTCTCTTTGCTCCTCTAAAATTACAAATGAAATTCAAAGTTATATACCAGGTTCAATGTCTTCCATTTCTTTCAAGTTCAAACCTTTCACTGGATATTTTGAGGGATGATGGTGAGACTATTGGATTTGAAGATATTCTCAATGATCCATCACAAAGTGATCTCATGGGAGAACCACACTTGATGGAATATAAACTTGGTTTACTGCGATACATGTACTGTTTGTAAACCAGAGGGGCTGCATCTTGTTACAGTTGTCTTTTGTTATAATTTGATGTGTATGACATTAAAAGTACTGATATGAGAAAAAAATAATTTCAACTCCTCTCAAAGAAAGCCATCCAGCCCTCAACTTAGTGACAGAAGGCTGAAATACTAACATGATCATCACTTGAACTTTCATAATTTTGTTGTGTAAATTTTAGAAAACTTTAGAATTTTAGGTTATCTTCTCATTTTTGCAAATAAATTTTCAATATGAAAGAAAGACTAAAGGGCCATGTTGGGAGCCTTTGAAGTTGAATACAGTGCAAGGCTGTGGCATGGCCAAACTGAGAACAAAGTGTCCGCCTCAAAGGTCAAGATGGGGCACAGCTGAGGACACCTGATTCCAACCACAATTAATAAGTTACAGATTGTAGCTGCAGGCATTTCACTCCTGTAGTGAAAGTCACCTAGAGACTTTCTAAGATAGTTATCCTAAATTAACATAGCCTGTTACTTGGAAAAGTCCTTGAATTATTCCCAAGGTCCTGCTCAGGTTTCCTGTGTTTTCCATTCTAACCCTTTCCTTGTTTGAAAACTAAATAAACATGGACCACCCAGAGACATTCCCTGTCTTTCCTCAGTCTTGAACTCTGTAAGAGGGTTTTGATTCTCCTGTTACACTAAAATCATACTACTTGTCTCATTTATTTTAAGCCTTCGCTGTGCACTCATTTGGGAGATTGGCCAAGGTCATCTCATCTTGGCCAGGTCCCCAGTAGGGCCCAGAATAGCTCCAAGTTAGCAATTTTCAATCATAGTTGCACATAAAATCACTCTTGTAGCTTAAAAAAAAAAAAAAAAAAAAGTCAGCACCTTGGCTGCAACCCAGATGTACTGATGCAGAATATCAGAGCATGAGGGAAGGTTCCTTGGAGAGAACAGAATAAGGGATTCCATAAACATATTTTTCAAAAGATTCCTAGCTGCACACTGATAGTTCTATCATGCAGGTAAGGGTAAGATTAAGGAAAACCACTTCAACTTTAAATCTTTCTCTTTCTTTCTTTTAACATGTTCACAACAGGGTTATAACTTGTATGTTTCACTGCTGGGAGACTCTGAAGCACACACTGATGGTACAAGCCAGCAAGAATTTGTTGATTAAAATGTATTCAGTACTAACCACCTAATAAGCAAAACACTTTATATCACATTATTTACCTCCAAAACAACCCTATGAAGTAGGTTTTATTATCCCCATTTTAAAAATGATAAAGAAAAAAAATTAATAAAAAAATTCACTTGGCTTAGGTTACAAAGTCATAGGTGTCAAGATTTAAAACGCAGATAGTCTGAGTCCAGAAACACTACATCCAGGGTGTGATGGTACATGCCTATAATCCTAGCACTCAGGAGCTGAGGTAGGAGGATTGCTGGGAGTTCAAGGAAAGCCTGGGCAACATAATGAGTTCAAAGCTAGTCTGAACTACTGGTAAAACTGTCTCCAAAAAAAAAAAAAAAAAAACCATAGAAATCACTACAAATCCTCTATGCTGCCTCTTTTAGAAGGCTCTGTCTCAAACTATTTTTAACCCTAGGAGGGAAAAAAAACTGTTTCAATGGATGTTAACTTGGGGTCCTAGGATGATGTCTTTGAAGCCCCAGGAAAAAAACTCAAAATATGTACTGGCATATTTTTAGGGAAAAGAGGTAGATATTTAGAGGTATTTAATCATTTTTCTAAAAACACTATAAAAGTTTTTTTAATTATGTATATTTACAGTATAAAACAGCTGTAAGCAAATCTAAGTCAAGAAACTGAAAACTAATAAAAATGGAAGAAAATTAAATCATACATTGTTTGATCAATCTACCAGATAAAAACTAATCTGAGGCTGGGGATTTAGCTCAGCGGCATAAGCGCCTGCCTTGCAAGCAGGCAGGCGTGAGTTCAATCCCTGGTACCGATAAAAAGGAAAAAGACCAAAAAAAAAAAAAAAACCAAAACTAATCTAGCAGTAAAAGCTTCCCTAGCTGGGTGTGGTGACGCACACCTGTGATCCCAGCACTCTTGGGAGGCTGAGATGAGAGGATCCCATGTTTGAACTCACCCTGGGAAACTTAGCAGTTTAGTGAGACCCTGGTTCAAAATAAAGAGAAGGTCTGGAGATGTAGTTCAGGCTAAAGGTTCTGGATTCAATCCCCAGTCACATGCACATGCACACATACACAGACACATAGTACAGAAGCATTAGAGGCTAAATGCCTGATTCTGCCACTTAAGAATCTATAACCTGTGTAACTTATTTAACTATAACCAGCATATGCTTAAACTTCCTAGTCTGGAGATAATACTTGTAGTACCTTTACCTCATTTGGTTTTATGAAGATTAAATAACATATGTAAGTACTTAGTAGAACAGTATCTGGCACATGGTCAGCACTACCTAAATGTTAGCTTAAATTACCATCCTGTTTTCCTGGTTGTAGGAACATGTAAGAGAACATATTTAAGGCAGGTTTGATGAGGGTTTTAAGACAAGGCAATTGAAATATTTAATGTACCCCACTCCTATTCTTTTTGTGCAAACTGTACACCTGTAATTCCAGCACTTGGGAAGCTGAAGCAAGAGGATCACTACCAAATTCAAGACCAACCTGCCTGAACTACACAGTGAGTTCAAGGCCAGCCTAGACCACATAGCAAGACACTGTCACAAAACCAAACCAAAACAAAACAAGAAAAAAGACCAAACATATTTAGAGCACCAAGCACAATGCCTGCTGCCATGGGTGGAAAAGTCTGTGGTTTTTACAAACATCCTCCCTCAAGTTTCTGATACAGAACTGAGAAATTTCAACATTCTCTACAGAGATCTAAGCTAAAGCCACAATAAATCATATAAACAAAGAAGAAAAGCTTCCAAATTATAGTTTGGGCAAAAAGAATAGCAATGGTACATTAAATATTTCAATTGCCTTGTCTTAAAACCCTTAAGCTGAGAAAAGAGGCTAGGTGAGTAGACAAGGGTCAACATTTCAAAGTAAATCATTTCAACAAAGGAAAACATCAACAATTAACATGAAGTTATAAATGGATTTACAGGGCCACAACTCCAACATGATTTGAAGGCTTGACAACAGTCTTGAAAATAAAGAAATGACAGATTTGAGCTTATATCCAGGAGCAAAACTTTGGGGCGATTCTCATTAAGTAAGTTAGCATATTACTTACGCTTTTGAAGGAAGCTGCAAATTCAGCAACACCTGGTACTAAAAAGAAAGAAAAATTATACATTCAATAAACATCTGTGTGTTCAGGCATAGAGAATTCAAATAATTTTTTTAAAAACCAGCATTACCTTCAGGTAGCTTATAGTTTGGAAGGAGATGGAGACTATAACATTAAGTGCCCCCCCACATTTATAGCAGCACAGTTTGTAATAGCTTGATCTTAGAAACAACCTAAATGCCCATCCCCTGAGGAATGGATAAAAAAGACATGGTATTTTTATACAATGGAGTACTAATCAGCCATAAAGAAGAATAAACTAGAGACTTTTATAGGTAAATGGATGCAACTTGAGACCATACACATAGGTGAAATAAATAAGACACACATGTCCACATATCCTCATGTATATATATATATATATATATATATATATATACATATATATCCTCATGTACATATGTGTATATATGTGTGTGTGGGCGTGTGTGTATATATAAAAACTAGTTACGATAGTTAACACTTCTGATTTCTCTGAGTTTGCTAAATAGAAAGAGAAAGATCTGTGCTCGTATTGTTTGGACAAAAGAATGCAGATGTCTTGTGCTCTGGGTAAATGATTTGAGATGACAATGTACAATATATAATATATATGCCACTGTTGCCCTGACTGACATGTTTTGAAATTTTGTCTTAGTTTTCTTCTTTTTTCTCTCCTTGAAACAAAATGGATTTGAAAGAAAAATAAAAACATTAAGTGCCCCAAGAAATGGCAGAACGTTGTGGTGGACAAAAATGGAAATCCAGGGCCGGGAATATAGCTCAGCAGCACAAATGCCTGCTTGGCAAGCCCACAAGGTTCTGAGTTCAATTCCTGGTGCCAAAAGTAAAAAAAAAAAATGGAAATCCAAGTCAAACTGAGGGGGCAGCAAAAGCTTCTCTGAGAAAGTAATACCTCCACTAAGCTTTAAAAGACCAGCAATTTTCTAGCTAGGAGGGTGGTGAGACACAGTTTTTCTTACCAGCAAGTTTAAACACTCTTTTTTAGTTATGCTGTTTTTCTGTCAAACCAATTGTTTAACTGTCTCATACAAGCAGCACATTAAAAAGCAGAAAAGTAAAAATGTGATATTTAAAAGTAAAATAACATTTATAAACAATAAAAATCATAAAGATTGGAGGCACCCAATATTGGGTTGTTTGTGAGAAAATGAACACTCATACACAGTCATCATCTTCGGAGTTCACCCAGATATTCGCTGATACATAGGCTGTCAAATAAAACACTGGATATAACTTAGATTTTCAGAGAGGGCATGAATATACAAATTATATCTATAAAATAATATATTTGAAAGAATGAAACCAACTTATACATACCAATACAGAGTGATTCATTAACAACGATGATAATGGTATAATACACTTAAGACTGTATACATGATTATCATTATTTTAAAAAAGCCATCTATACAGAAAAATGTTTGCTTATCTATTCTCAGGCATGGTGGCACATGCCTATAATCCTGGCATTTGGGCAGACGGAGGCAGGAGCATGGCTGCAAGTTTAAGGCCAGCCTGTGCTACATAGTAAGTTCAAGGCTAAATTCAATAAACTACATAGTGACCCTGTCTTAAAAAAAAAAAAAAAAGTATTATTAAAAAACTCATCATGAAAAAAAAAAAAAAGACTCATCATTTCTTCTCAGTATTCTGGAAAAAATAAAAACTATATAAAGCTATTAACATTGGATAGCAACCTCTTCTCTTCCCATTAAAGTACAATAAAAATTTGAATTATTACTATTATATTAGAACTCTTCAAAAAATTTTCAAGGAAGCATTTGTTCTCTTTTTTTTTTTTTTTTTTTTTTTTGTCTTTTTCGTTTTTATCGGTACCAGGGATCGAACTCACGACTGCCTGCTTACAAGGCAGGCGCTTATGCCGCTGAGCTAAATCCCCAGCCCCAGCATTTGTTCTCTTACATGAAGTCTGATATAAAGAAAGCAAAGACTTACATTGCTCTGGCCAAAGATCTGGTGAGGCACGATCAAGTTTTTCAAAACTTAGCAAAGATGCTTCCAAATCTGTACCTGAAATAAAGCAAGCAGTTTAGACAGGAAAACATCTCAATATCAAAGAACATAATAAACTAAAGCACTTAAATGGAAGCCTAGAGATTTGAGTTCAATAACTCAACTGATAATATTGGGCCATGATGTAATACAAATATCCTTTATCACTAAATCTCACTCTTTCAATCTATAAAATGGGAGTGATTTTTTTTAGACAGGTGTTAAAAATGAATACTGACAAATCTATCTGCCTTCATTCACACTCCCGAACTTTCCTCTGTTTATAATCAATTAAGGTGTGCCTGCTCCCAATGAAACGTAAGCTCCTCAGTCAGGGCTCTGAGTGTACATTTTCTTGCTCTAACAAGGCATCATCTTGAATCACCTTCCTCTTATACCATCATTTTCTTCTCTAGGCTCACATTCAACAGCAAATAGTCATGCCCTCAAGTCTCCCTTCTTTAAAAAGTACTCTCCCTCAATTCCATGATCTCTTGCACACTTCACAGAGAAAGTTTTGTTTTCATTTTTTGTTTATTTTTGTAGTAGTGGGCTCTGAACCGAGGGCCTCTTACATGCTAGGTAAGGGACCTATCACTGACCTGCCCCCTCAGTCCTTTTTATTTTGAGGAAGGATGTCGCTAAATTGCCTAGGTTTGCCTCGAACTTGCAAGCCTCCTGTCTTATTCTCCAAAGTGGCTGAAATACAGGCATGTATGCTGCACTTGGCACAAAAGTTCTAGAGTTTTGTATCCTGCTGTTTCCACATACCTCGCACTTTCTCCTTAACCTACCCAATAAGTCTTCTGTCCTTACATACACGGAAACTACTGTTCAAAACTAAGTCCAGTGGTCACTTCTTTCTCTTCCCTCTGTGACCTCTGCAGCATCCACATACTGATCCTACCACGCACCGCTATGAAACCACTGTGGTGGTTTTTCTCCTAATTACTGTCTCCTGGCCGCTTCCTCTCCCTCTCAGCCCATCCTAAGCCATCTCCACACTCCTACCTCACCTAGTCACTCACCTTTACCATCATCTATCTATACACCAATGACTATATATTTCTAGTTCCAACCTCTCTCTCCTGAACTTCAGTTACGTCTAAGTAACTACTTGACATCTTTCTCCACTGACATATATGAAAAAGCATACTTTCCCAACCCTGTCTCAAGAAATTGTAATGCCGCTGGGGATTTAGCTCAGCGGCATAAGCACCTGCCTTGCAAGCAGGCAGTTATGAGTTTGATCCCTGGTACCGATAAAAAAAGACCAAAAAAAAAAAAAAAAACCAAAACCAAAAAACAAACAAACAAAGAAATTGTAATGCCATTACCTCCAAATGTCAACCCCGAAAACCCAAATAGTATCCTTCATGGTTTTTCTTATACCCTTCTAGAACCAACCTATCACTTAATCCACTAGTTTCTATCTGCAAAATACACCAAGAACCAAACCAGTGCTGCACTTTCCACCTCCAAGTCTTAACAGATCTCTCAGCTCCAGCTCTTAATCCTCCTCTCCCACCCCCAAATTAATTTTACACAAAGTAATCAGAAGTGATCATTTTTTATTTTTTATTTTTGGTACCGAGGATTGAATTTATAACCTCGAGTTTGCCAAGCAGGGACTTACACCACTGAGCTAAACCCCGGACCCAGAAGTGATTTTTTAAAAAATGTACATCTATCCATTTCACTCTCTAGTTTAAAGGACTTCTCAGCCAATCTACCATGTCCTAAAAAACTATGCAATCCAGCCCCAGACTAATTCTGTTACGTCACTTTCTTTTCATTCTTCCTGGGCACACAATAGGTACTCAACATTTGTTGAGTATGTACTGTCTACTTCACTTGCTAGCATAGATAATTCTTTAATGCTATGAACAATGGCTCTTAACATTTTGATTTGGGGGGGGGTACCTGGGATTTAACTCACACCTCGCATTTGCCAAGCAGGCACTCACACCACCAAGCTAAACCTCCAGCCCTCTTAACATTTTTGGGGGAAGCAGTATCTATGGAAATGTGAAAAGATGTGAATACACTCACTCTTTCCAAAAATGTACAAATGCATAAGACTTTTCAACACGAGCTTTTCTCTAAATTTAATTTCCTTAAACAAATATTCCAAGGGAATTTCCAATGATATTACAGTAGGGAAGGAACTGAAGTCTAATACATTGATTATCTAAATCACCTAAAAGTGCTCAAAAAGGAGAGATATGCATTAACAATATGCCAATTTTCAAGTTCCTACTAATGAGGCACTCAACCATAATAAAAACAAACTTATTGTGTGGCAGGATCCTGTAACCATCAGGGGCAACCTTGATACCACAGTTTAGGACAAAATTCTGACTATGCTACAAGTCTTATTCATAAATTAAGTAACTAGACAGCTTTACTTGCATTTCAATTTTCTCTTTTTAGCATGAAAATGACAAAAGGGTAAATGACCTAATGTCTTTTTGGTTTTTTTTTTTTCTTTTTGGGTACTGGGGAATTAAACTCACGACCGCGTGTTTGCCAGGCAGGCACTTATGCTGCTGAGCTAAATCCCCAGGTCTTTCTTTCTTTTGACACAAGATCTCCCTATGCAGTTCAGGCTGGCTTTGAGCTCCTTTGGTAGCCCAGGCTGGTCTCAACAGCAAAGATCCTCCTGCCTCACACTCCTGAGTGCTGGGATTACAGGCATACACCATTATGCCCAGCTCCTGATCTCATTTTCAAATGAACATCTGAATTAAAACTTAAAGACAGAGACGTTTAGAACACTAAAAACAGAAGTGAGGTCACCACAGTGGACTAATTCATGAGCTACTTATTTACAACTTCAATTTAAATTCAGTGTTCAACTTCATTTTATCAGATTATAAAAAATAAGATTAGGGGATTGGGGATTTAGCTCAGCAGCAATAAGAACCTGCCTTGCAAGCAGGCAGTCCTGAGTTCAATCCCCGGTACCGATTTAAAAAAAAAAAAAAATTTACTATTTTAATGTTCAAATGTACAGTTCAGTGACATTAAGTGCATTATTAATATGTACAACCATTAACATCATTCATTTCTAGAATCTTCCTACCTTCTCAAATTGAAGTATAAACTTTCCATTCCCTTGGCTGACTTTTTAAATGCCATTTCTTTTCTAGCAGACGAAACTTTTTGTGTGTATATACATATGTAGTTTTAGTGTAACAAAGCAACCTGTACACTTTATAAACATTTTAAACTGCTTATCACCTTTTCCTTTCCAGTGAAAACCAAAAGAATTAAAAAATAAGCCAACAAAATTACAATAGAGAATGTCAATTCCAAATAAGACCCCACAGGTTCTGCTGATTCTCTCACCAAGTACCAGGACTCAAGTGATTAAGAGACAATTTTATTTTAAAAGTGTCATCTTAAACTGCAGGTTCAGTCGGGTGTGGTGGCACACACCTGTAATCCCCGGACTTGGAAGGCTGAGACAGGAAGATCACCATGAGTTCACGGACAGCCTGGGTTAGATAGTCTGAAGCTAGCCTGAGCTACACAATGAGACCCTGTCTCAAAAATAAAACAAAACTGAAAGGATGTCTTTAACATCACAATTAAACACATCAAAGGAAAAGCCATGTTGTCAAATGTCCGCTTAACCCAGACATCTCAAACTCAGACTTTATTGACCTTCCATACCCCATTTTTAAAATTTGTTCTTTTTTTTAAACAAAAGAAAGAAGACAGGTACATGTTGGTCCACATTCATATAGTGTAATCTCTGAGCCAGATAACCAGAGAAAGAAGGAAAAAAGCTAGAATTCTATGTACCCTTCTAGCTATGAGGCCTAGCATTCTCCAGTACTCAGCAGAGTGAAGGGAGCAGAGGGGTTTTTTTCCCCCAGAGAGCACAGTGGTGTTGATTCTAGTTTGTGTGAAGACAACAGGGGACTGAAATGAATTTAAAACAAAAGGTTGTAGAGATCTTTTTCTCATTGTATTCTGCTTAAGGCATCTTCCTACAAAGTCGAGAATGAGAACCATAGTGTTTGTGAAGAGAGGCCTCAAGCACAGGACAACTAAGCACAAGAGAGAGGAAAAGATTGCAACTTGCTCCCAGAGGAGAAATTTTTTTGAAAAAAGAAAAAAGTTCAGAATCCATCTGTGTTCAAATAGTTATCTTCTCCTTCATCTTCCTCTATTTCTTCCCCTTCCTCTCACCATCTTCATCTTCTTCACCTTTAATCTCATTCCCTTCTTCATCATCACCATCATCTTCTCCTTCCCCTTCCTCATTATCCATATCAGGAACCAAGTAGTACTGCAATGGATTTGGCCAAACATTATCTTCAGTGACGTCTCCTATCCCATCTGCACCCACATCAGAATGGTCAGTAAATCCGATAAAGAAGCTCTTGGGTTCCTCATGCTCTCTCTTCCTACTGGCTTTATTCAGTGTTTAACTTGAACATTTTATCAAATCCTTTCCAGATTTGCACTTGATTTCAATGGACGTTGAAGATGGGGTACCACTCTTGTTCAGATGAAATTCTTTGGAGAAAACTTTATTTTTGAAGTAAGGACATTCATAAAAATAAAAGTCTATTCCAAAAAAAATCTACTATGTATCCTGATCTTATTTCTTCAAATTCTGTCACTTTGACTATTTGACTATGATCAAATAATGCAATGCTTCTTCATCTTCTTCCCCAGGCAGTGCAGACACTTGTGGATAGTTAATAAATATTATCCTAAATTCTGGAATTTTGGCAATCAATTCTGACCTCTTCTGAAAAAATGGTTGGCGGAGTTTGGTATACATCTATGCTACTTTCAATATCTCCTGACTAGCGTGTTTATTAAGTTTATTTCATTTGTACTTCACCAGTATGTTCAATTGCTTCTTGTTCTTTTGTTCCCTTGGGCAGGCCCAGCAAGGTCATGCTGCCTCGGATTTGGGGGCCAGACTCTTGGAGCTTAAGAGATGGGTGGAGCAAAAACTGGCAGTTTGAGGTTATGAAAGGAGGGAAGTTTTAATAGGAGCCCCGGGGTTACCTAGGACCACAGGAAGCAGATCAGGAACCCAGAAAAACTTTTATCAAGAGAGCACACAGAATCCTGAACATCCTAATTTCTTATGGAGTATGTACTCGTGTTCAAAAAACTTCAGGCTTGGTTAAACCCAAAATTTAAAATCAAGTAAGATACTACTTCTGTACATGTTCACTGAAGGCTGACTGCTTGCCAGGCACTGGGTTAAACTTGCAATCCAACTACAAATAAGAGTCTTGGAATTTATAATCAGGAGGAAAAGGGCGAAGTTAATGGAACAACTATGCTGACAATAAAGATACTGAGATAGTGAATGAATAATGCAACTTCAATCACTGAGTTCTAGTTAAGCCTCTTTGGGAGGGGACATCTGAAACAAGAACTGAACAAGGCGTGGGACACAGTGGTACACGCGTGTGCTGGGAGGAAGACAGATCCCAAACTCCAGCCTAGCCTGTTTGGCAACTTGATGAGATCCTGCCTCAAAAATTTAAAACATTTTCAAAACCAATTCGTGATGTAGCTAAACAAAAAGACCCTGAGTTCAATCCCCAGTACAATAATATTTGAAACTGAGAAAATGTTCATGGTTGAGTTATAGCAGATATCCAACATAGCTCTCCTCGGTCTATCTCCGCCAATAGAATTAGCTGAAGTGAGAAGGGGCAAAGACTCTTTCCTCATTCCTGAAATGAATGTCCAAGATTCAAACACAGAATATGTTTGGTGAGGGAAAGCCACCTATCAATGAAACAGGCACGGAGATGGAGGGTAGCAGAAGCAAAAATTAAGTGAGTCAAAAAGGAATGCAAGACATCACATTACTAAAGCAAAGTACACCAAAACTACCCAACTGTTACCTGAAATGTCTTGTATCTTAGACGACTCATAAGCAGAAACTGCTCATTCCCTCAACCCAAGGAAACAACATACAAAAAGACACAAGAGAAGCCAAAACACGCGCAAGACCCTCGAGACTGTCATGGCAAGAAAATAGAAGTCCCTGCCTTCTCTTTGCTGTCAGGGCAACGGCCTCAAACTAAAGAGATAAGAGAAAAGCATCCTCTTACGGACCAGTCCTGGGGTGAGATCAGCTACCAACTGCAGTTAGGGCTTGAGAAAATCGTTCCATCGTTGTTGGCAAAAACACGTCAATGGGGCGCCCAGAGGAGAAAGCTCTGAAGGCACCTCCTCTACCCTAGCAATGTACCCTCTTCGACTCTTAGCCTCACCCAAGTGGAGCTAAGGGAGGGCTAAGACAAGCCCCATCCGTTCTCGCGGAGTAGGTCCTTCGCCACCTTCTCCTCCTTCACCGGCCAGATACACAGGGGAATCTGTGTAACTCCAGAAACTCTGTGAAGAGCTGGCGAGCTGAAGACACGGACGTATCCCAAAGCAAAGACGTAAAAGAGAAAGACGAGGAACCCCCAAGAAATAAGTGTAAGTGCGAAGGGCAGGTGGAGAGTGGAAAGTCCCAGAGAATTAAAAAGATTACAGGACAAGAATTTCTGAACCGGCTCTTACCGTCTGTGGGAGACGCCATCTTCCAACCCATGTCACGTGACGTGGTCAACCGTCGGCGGGAAAGTGAGAATCCATAAGCCACGCCCTGAAAAAGATAGCCTATCCCCAACACGTACCTCTGTCTCGTTTCCCCGCCCCAAAAAGGGCACTATTTGCCTATCCCCGCCCCCTAAACGCCACACCCACCGCGCCGTTGTTAAAGTGGAGCCAGGACAAAATTCTAGGAGGATCTTATTTACTTTCCTCAGTGAGGGGACGGGACCTCGGTTATGCAAGTGGCCAATCAGTGTCTCGGGCTAGGGGGCTGTGTCCTCCTAGAGCTTAATATAGAGTACCCACATTAGGGGCGGCTCCATATCTCCGCCAATAGAATTAGCTGAAGTGAGAAGGGGCAAAGACTCTTGCTTCTGGCCAATCACATATCCCCAAAACTAGCAGTGAGGAGGGTGGGGTCAGATATTCGCTCGAGTGATTGGCTAGAGAATATGGTTCTGCTTCCCAATGAGGAGGTCCAACAGGATGGTGGGCGAGGCTTGGAGCTTGGGCTGCACTGGTGGCGGAGGTGAGGGGAACCGAGCTGAGGCGGTCGAGAGCCATGGCGGCGGTGGTGACGGCGGCAGCGGTGCGGGCGCGGATTCTGCAGGCGAGTGAGGGTGGCTCCGAAACTAGCAATGGATCCTTTCCACCCACTCTCTGAGCCATGCACTTGCAGGACCGACTTTTGGGCCAATCTGTTCTTGGCCCACCCGACTCTCCGACCCTGTCCCACTCTCACTCCTTACGGTCCCTCGCCTTGGGTGCAGCTCTGGACTGTCGACCCTGGCCCTCTGCCCTTTCACTCCTGAGCCTCCTATTTTCTGGTTCTGGCTCACTGTCCTCCAATCCTGCTGAGCCCTTGCTTGCTTGCTGTCACCTCGGTCCGACCACTCTTTCCCTTTCACCTCTGCACCAACCAGTTCCCTCTCCCTGGAAACGCCCCTTTTGGTCACTTATTTTAGAGCTCATTCGCCTGCTGGGAGCGTCCAAATTGTTACACATACACATGCACACACGCACGCACAGATGCACGCGCACACACACACACCCGCCATCTTCTCAGTTCTTAGTGCAAGATGAAGGGGGAGGGTTATTTCAGGGGGCGAGGGGCGAGGGTCAATGGTTGAACTTTGAATCTCTTAGGAGCCTAAAATAGATTTTCACCATCTAGCAGCCTGTTTTGCTCTTTGTATTTTTACAAGTTCTGAACTTTCTTGCCAAAACATTCAGTTAAACTTCCAATGAAGTTACAGTGTTTAGATTGGAGATAAATAAGGACACATCGTTAAGCTACTGCTATATTTTATGTAGTTCAAAGGACTAAACATCTTTCCAAAACAGGTGATAGAAAATGAGAGCTGAGTAAGACCCAAAGTTCCAAATTATTACCCCTGCCCCCCCCCACTCTCACCCCACGCGCTGTCAGCTCTTTAAGGTCAATATACCTTCTGCTCGGTTCCCTCTGAAGCCAGCCTAAAGAAAAACAGTAGAGCTCCAGAAACTGCATGCCTGAGTCTCCAGTCCTGTATATAGCCTTTCCTCTGTGGCTTACAGCCTAGCAAGGACATAGAATATGAGGCAAGATTTACTTCTAGCAAGACACTCAAACCTGCAAGAAATGACATTGCCTTTCTTATTTGTTACATCCTGCCCCAGAACTTCTATATTGCTGTGCTGCTAAGTAATATCATTATTTATCAGATTTCAGTAGGTTCTCTTGCAGAAATGTATGCATTTTTAAGATTCTTGGCAGACTTGGGAAAGGCTCGTGTTTGAATATGCTATTTAATGGGACAGTATGAAGAATGGGCAGGAGGAGTTAGATTGGTTTGGCTTCACTCCTGTCTCTTGCAGGGATCTGTTTCTGTTCTAGGATTTTTTTAGTAGGAGGGAAACAGAGTTTCCATCTTATGTTTTCCACTGCCAACTCCTTCTTGAAATCTTGTACTGAAATTAGCCTGTACTCTCACCAGAGTGAGAAACTGAAAATCTTAAGACAGTATTTTGTCCTTTGTACCAAGGAGAAACATCTCTCTTGTAGTTTGGAGACAGACACTGTTTTTTTTTTAATTCATTTGAAACCTTTGAACTGACTTAGAAAAGACCAAAAATAATAGCCAACTAGGAGTTGCTCTAACATGAAACTTCAATAAATAGTCTAAGCCAGGTGTGATAACTCTGGCCTGCAGCCCCAGCTACTTGGGAGGTAAGAGGATTGCTTGCCACCAAGAGTTTGAGGCTAGTCTGAATAACATAGAAAGATCTTATCTTAAAAAAAAAAACACCTAAATCCTGGTAGTTGTGGTAGTACTGTGGAAGGCTGAAGCAGGAGGACTACAAGTTTAAGACCCTCCTGGGAAAATTAGTAAGATCCTGTCTTAAAATTAAAAGGGCTAGAAGAGGTAGCTCAGCACTCCTTGGGTTCAATCCTCACTACTAAAAAACAATTAAAAAGAAAAATGATTTATAAACATATAAGTTCATGTTTTAATTATTTAGCTTATCTTGTCTGTTACCAAGAATATACGTAAAATCTCTCTGTTCTTGTGATATTTATTCTCATTCAGAAGTAGGAAAACCAGTCTGAAAGACACTCACTGACTTGCCTCAATAATGTGATACAAGGACTTCAAGTTTCATAATCATACTTAGATTTATTTTTGTCCTAGCGTCACCTCTTCTTTGGGGGATGGGTAGTACTGGGAATAGATTCCAGGAGTGTTTTACCACTGATCTACATCCTTCTGCCTCAATCTCCCAAATGCTGGACAACATAATGAGAACTTGTCTCAAAATAAGAAGTATTTTAAAAGGGCTGAGGATGTAGCTCAGTGCAAAGGCCCTAGATGTAATTCCCCAGTAATACACATGCATGCACAACATAAGTGGTCGAGAATGCTCAAGTTGATTGATCAGTGCCTCTCCTGTCCTACATGAAACAAAATTAGTATCAAATGGTTGCTTGGTGACCACTCATTCTTTCATTCTGCAGATGAGTGCTTCCTCTATTCTAGGAACCGTGCTAGGAGCTGAGGACACAGTGGTCTAGTGATCTAAAGAGAAAGATAAATACACTGTTATTCCATAATGTGAGATGACGAATGGAGGAATTCAGCTGCTTTAGGAACTACACAGTGAGACTTCCCAGGGCAAATGATGGCCAAGTAGAGACCTAAATGGTGGGAAAGACACGCAGTGCTAACAAAGAGGGACCAACATAAGCCAGGGCAGAAAACACAAAACACATTCTGAGTGGCTGCAACAGAGAGAGCGAGGAGGAAAGTAGAAACTGTGACACAGGAGGAGCCCCCAGGCATGAGGGTACACACCTGCAAACTCAGCTACTTGGGCAGCAAAGGTAGGAGGATCACAAGTTCAAGCTGAGCTTGGACAACTTAGCAAGATCATTTTAGACTTAGCAAGTCTAAAAATAAAAAATACAAAGGACTGGGAATGTAGCTCAGTGATATAGCATGCCTTGTTCAAGCCCCAATACCAAAGAAAGAAAGAAATTAGAGAAATAGAAATTAGAAAAATAATACATAGAGTTTTCCAAGCAACATCAAGAGGAGTAGAAAGGCACTGAAGATTGTTTTGTTTTGTTGTGGCAGGGAAGAAGCCTAGCTAACCCTCATGCATACTAGGCAAATACCACTGAACTACATTCTTAGCCTCATTGGAAGGTTTTGAACAAGGGAATGATTTGACCAGATTTGTGTTTTAGAAGGAGCCTCTATCCAGTGGAAACTACATTCAGAAAGTTTAAGCTGGGTGTGGTGGTACACACCTGTAATCTTAAGAGGAAGGCTGAGGCATGAGGATTGCCCCAAGTTTGAGGCCAGCCTGAACTTGTATAGGGAGACTCCATCTTAAAAAAAAAAAAAAAAAAAAAAAAAAAGCTTAAGATTAGAGGCTGGGAGCCCATTAGGAAGCCATTATTGATGTCCAGGTGACAGACAAGAAAGAGTATGGTAGAGTGGAGTAATGGCAAAGCGGTAGTGTGTCCAAGACTTCTAGGAAAACAGGTTGCCAGGGCTCGTTTGACCAAGGAAAGAGAGGGATGAAATAGCATGACATTTAGGAGCTTCACTCTAAGCTGCTGCTAAGTGGGCTGTAGAAGGCAGAGCAGCCTGGCAGGAGGAGTGTTCAGCTTTTCCAACATGTGCTGAAGTAGAGATGTGAGGACGTGATCTGGATGCTGCCTGAAGAGGAAGAGTCTACGAGCTGCAGATGTGGCCATCATCGGGATCTAGAGAACCCATGGGAGCTGATTAAATCACCCAAGGAGTATACACAGATTGAGAAGAAAACAAAGCGTAGGAACAATGAATGAATGGCCAAGTGGGAGAGGATAAACCAGAAAAAGTGGCAGAGAAATGGCCAAAACAAAGGAAGAGATGCCAGGGCATCCAAAGACAGTGCAAAGGGCACGCAGGAGGAAGACAGGTGGCCACATCACCCCTGCTGGGAGGTCCAGTGCAGGGAGGACTGAGGAAAATCCATGGGATACAGAGAGGGAGTCACTGGTTGTCTCAGTCACATTCCTTGTTCCTGGGACAAACTGCTCCACTCTACAACTCAAAGGAGTTTATTTCAGCTCACAGTTTGTAAAGGTTTCAGTCCATATTCAGGCAGCTCCAAGGCAGGACATAATAGCAGAGGCAGAGGAGCTAGAGCAGGAGATAAACCCTTCCAGGCCACACGCCCAGTGACCCACAGCGCCAAGGCCCAGTCACTTCCCCAAATCCACACAAATGAGCACATGAGACTTTCAGGGAACATCTAGATATAAAAAATGACATTCTGCCCCTGCGCTGGAAAAAACTCATGCATATTCCTTTATGCAAAAGGCATTTAGTCCATCTCTAAGGATTGCCAAAGTTTTAACAGATTCAGCACTATTGAAAATTCCAAGTCCAAACTCTTAACTGCAAGCTCTTGTAAAATATCAAAAGAAAGTTAAATATTGCTGACATACAAAGGCACAGGGTAAACAGTGATGTTGACCCTGAAGGATGGAGTAGATTGAAGCAGGAGATGATGAAATAAAGATACTTAACAGAACCTTTTTAGGAAGAGTGTAGTTAAAGAGTAGGGGTCTCAGATATGAGGAAGGATTTTATTTTAGTGTAATATCCTAGAAAGTTAGATAAAGGTTTAAGGTACAGGAAAGGATAATAGATGGAACTGTCAAGATATGAAAAGTTGGCTTCAGAGCCCAGGGGCAGAGATTAGCTTTAGATTTCTTTAATCTATAGACATTGGACACATCTGTATCTCTTCACTTTGCCTTCAGCTTGCTGGCCACCTCCATCAGGTGCAGGTCACTTTTTCAGGTTTGCTAATAAATTGAAGAAGTTAAACTTCATTAGATGCACAAGTGCATGCCTGTAATCCCAGCAACTGGGAGGCTGAAGCAGGAGGATCATGAGTTCAAAGGCAGCCTGGGATAATAAATGGCAAGTTTGAGGTCAAATTGGGTTACATAGTGATACCTTGTCTCAAAAACCAAAATAAACTGGGGATGGTGGCACATACCTATGATCCCAGAATATAAGGGGCTGAGGCAGGAGGGTTGCCATAAGACCTGGGCTCCATAGTGAATTCAAGGCCAGCCACAGTACACAGCAAGACCCTGTCTCAAAAAACAAACCAAAGGAAAAAAGGTCAATAAGAAGTTGAAGAAATTCCCATCCCTCACCCTACTGTTTCTGTTTTCTCTGAAGTAAGAAAAACAAAGTGATAGAAGTAACATGAGTTGAAATTTTTAAGAGAATTGTTAAGTTTTGAAGTAGTGAAGAGTAAAAGCAAATCAGCATATATGATAATATTTAGTGAGCACCCCACTGCATTCTAGTTACTTTCCATCTGGACAATCTTGATTGTAGTAACTGTAAAGCTCATGAACTAAACAGATTCAATGGCTACGTCATCTGTCCTGGAACTCAGTCTTTTGAGATGACAATTACCTAAGCAATTGTAGCCTCCAAAAATAAACCTCAGTGGGGAAATACCAGCTGCTGTGGAATTACAAAAGAGGAGCTTCTGACCTAATCTGAGGTAGGAAGCAGACTGCTCTGGACCTTCCTTTGTTTAAACATCTACCATGTACCAGGTTCTACACTGGCTTTAGAACCCTACCATGTATCAGGTACTTTATTGGCATTGGGAACACGGCTATAAACAAGGCTTGCTAGCCTCTAGGAGAGTAGTGATGGTCTGATTAGTTTTTGTGGGGAATGAGAGAGGAAGCAGACTAGATATTTGGAAGGATTGTCTGTTGGCCCAAAAGCCCATCACGGCACCCTTTACAGCAGAGAGCACTGCGGGTGCACACAAATTCTTGTGCTTTGGTTAATACTAGTATCTCTTCAGACAGTATCTCTTTCTCTCTCTGTCTCTGTCTCTGTCTCTGTCTCTGTCTCTCTCTCTCTCTCTCTCTCTCTCTCTCTGTCTCTCTGTCTCTTTCTCTTTCTTTCTCTCTTTCTCTCTTTCTTTCGTACCTGGAATCAACCTCAGGACTTTGTACTTGCTAGGCAGGCACTGTGCTACTGAGCTACATTCCTGGCCCAGCTTTCATGTTTCTTAAGTCAACTTCTGCAACGTCTATACAAACTGTTTTTCAGAGTTATAGTTCAAGAGTTACATTATTGTAACTGACCCTTCTTCCCCCCTCACTGATTTAACTTATACTACACAATTTTATCAGATATTACCAATACCACACAATTTTTTTCTAAAAGGTAACTGTGGCAGTTTTTTTTTTTTTTACTAAAGGTACCTGTACCTTATTGAAATAAATTTGACATAAAATAATAAGTACATATTTAAAGTGCATAATTTGATCAGTTTTAAAGCTTGTGTACACCTGTCACCATCATCATAACAAAAACATCACAATAGGGGGCTGGGGATTTGGCTCAGCAGCATAAGCGCCTGCCTTGCGAGCACGTGGTTATGAGTTCGATCCCCAATACCAATAAAAAAATCAGCATCACAATCAAGATAAAAAACATACCCATTACCCAGAAAGTTCCTCTCTTACTATCTTCCCCATCATCCCTGGGTAACAACTATGCTTTCTGATACTACAAATTAGTTACAAATTTTTATATAAATGAAACCATCTAGTATATAAGTGAAATAATCTTGAATTATGTGTGGCTTCTTTCACTTGCCATAATTAGAATTATCCATGTTACATGTATCATTTCATTCCTTTGTACTGTTAAGTAGTACTCTGTGCCTAGATAGGTACGTCAGTCTCCTTATTCACCCATGTAAGGGTGGACCCTGAGTCATTTCCAAGTTCCGAGCTGTTACAAATACAGTAGCTATGAACGTAGGTATTCAGTTACTTATATGTGTGCATAATACTCCCATTTAGTTAAGTACTGTTTATATTTCCAGTGATTATGTACTATATTAATTACAGTTTATTATAGTGATTATATTGTCTTCAACACTTACATAACATACTAAGCACTTCCATATTGCTAGGTTTATGGTGATTATATTTTCTAGGCCAAAAATTAGGAAAATACGATATGACCAAAAAAATTTTTTTTGACTCAAGACTGTCCTAAAAACTTAACTGGACACAATCATTTTGATTTGTCTTGCCCTCAAACTGTTCTATGTCTCATTGTTTAATACCTTTTTAAAATAACTATATGACCCTTGAGCATAAACACTCAAGTTCTTTTGCGCATACAGTAGTAGTATAATGTTGAGCTTAGAGTAGTCATTCACTAAATTTTTAATCATTTTTTGCTCTCATTGATCAAATCTTTGTCTCACAGGTTTCTTCCAAGGTGAACTCTGTCTGGTATCCAGCATCCTCCTTCTCTTCTTCAGTGGTGAGTATATTTAGCACTAAAGCTTTACTTCTGAGAAGGAATTGGTTAATTTCAGGCTATCTTCTTTTCTTCTTTGTATTATTATGAAGATACTATATATGAAATTATGTCTTGTTTTTCTTATGAAATATTATTTTCTCTTATGTTGTAAACACTGATGCATGTGTGCATGTTTTATTTTATAATAGTATTGGAGATTGAACCCAGGTATACTCTACTATTGAGCTATATCCCCACCCCTTTTTATGTTGAAACAGGGTCTCAAGTTGCTGAGGCTGGCACTGAACTTATAATCCTCCTGCCTCAGCCGCTCAAGTAACTGGAATTACAGACATGTGTCACTGCACTCAACTGTAATTATGATTTTTAATGGCTGCATTATAGTCCTCCATCAGGCACATATAACCTGAATTATGTAATACTTTCTTCATGTAACAGTTCAATGACTTCAGTTTTTCAATAATACAAATTTTTTATAGTTTTTTCTTGTTTACTTACTACATTAAAAATACCTCTAAAAATGGCCTCTAGAAAGTAATACCTTTTTTTTTTAACAGTCTTGCTATGTTGCCTAGGCTGGTCCTGAATTCTTGGGATCAAGTGACCCTCCTGCCTCAGCCCATTGAGTAGCTAATTAGCTAGAACTATAGGCACACACCACCATGCCCAGCGTTTTTTAGAGGTGTGGTTAAACCTGCCGTACAGTTGTCTTCTTCACAACGTTTCGACTTGTTTTTCCCAGCCATCTGATCTGCAGTACCTGAGCAAGGGCTGCTGCTTGAAACCTTCTGCTACAGAAGCACACACACACAGTCACACAGTAACGCTTCAGTCTTTGGTTCTCAAGCCCTGCAATAGCTTGAATATAGTTTGTCCCCTGCAGAGTATAGTTGAAATGTGATTGCCATGGTGGCAGTATGGGGAAGCGGCACTTCTATGAGATGATGAGGCTGTTAAGAGAATTAATGACTTTCTTGGTTATGGCCCCTTCAACCTTTTGCTGTGTCACGATGCAGCTACCTTGCCTTAGATGTTGAGCCTTTAGAACACTGAGATAAATAACCTTCTTTCCTTTATAAATTATATAGTCTGTGATAATCTGCTATGAGTAACAGGAGTCGGGGGGTTTAGCTCAGCGGCACAAGTGTCTGCCTGGCAAGTGCAAGGTCTTGAGTTTGATCTCTGGTACCTAAAAAAACAAAAAACAAAAAACCAGAAAGCATGTAAGATAGACCTCTTTGGGGCCAGGGTTTAGCTCAGTGGTACAAGTTCCTGCCTGGTAAGTGCAAGGTTGTGAGTTCAATCCCTGGTACCAAAAAAAAAAAAAAAAAGATAGGCCTTTTGGAAAAGTCAGTGAAAGGAGCTACTTCCAAAAGGGGGGCGGGAGGGACAGGAGACATCTGACTAGAAATACTTTAAAAGCCAAGCATGATACTGCATGTGTATAATCCCAGCACTTGGGAGGCAGAGGCAGGCAAGAGGATTGCTGCAAGTTCAAGGCCAGCCTGAACTACATAGTGAAACCCTGCCTCAAAAAGATAATGAATAAATAAATAAATAAAAGTAACAGATACGTGGTCGCGTGACAGAAAATCTGCGGGTCCAACAAAAATCAGTGGCTAATCTGAGTTAACACAGAGTGGCTGCTTTTTAAATATAAACTTCACAGGGATGCTGGGCATGGTGGCACTTGCCTATATCCCAGCACAGAGGGAGATTGAGGCAGAAGGATCACAAGTTTGAGTTCCACTTGGGCAACTTACTGAGATTTCTGTCTCCTAAAATAAAAAGGACTGGGGATGGAGAAACCCTGCGTTCAGTCCTCACTACTGGGGGAGAAAGAGGGGGCGAGGGAGCTCCCCAAGTAATGTGTGTCCACTCGTGACATTTACTTGGTGAACAGCAGGGAAATTGCCGGTCTTAGGTCACAATATTGAGATGCTGCCCTGTAGACAAGCACCGTATTGTGTGGATAAGGTGTATCCCCTCCTTACTGGTAACACTGCCTTGCTGTTCTCAGTACTGGAGTTTGATCCCAAGCCCTCATGTGTGCTAATGATGCAGGCATGCACTCTGGCACTGAGCTACATTCCAGCTTTTTTTTTTTTCTTTTTCATTTTTGCTTTGAGATAGGGTCTTGCTAAGTTGCCCAGCTGGACTTAGACTTTCTATCTTCTTCCCTCAGCACCCACTCCCCACCCCGAGTAACTGAGAGATTCCAGGCCTGCACCTTGCCCAGCCCTACTGGTAATGTTTCTAGAGAGTAGGAGGCTCAGTTATCAGCCTGAATTCCTCCTTCTTTGGAAAAATGAAAGAGGGAAGCAAAACAACCAATTAATGTAAACTTTTGGTTTCTTTTTTTTTTCCAGCCAACTGTAAAACTCTTCATTGATGGGAAATTTGTTGAATCCAAAAGTGACAAATGGATTGACATTCACAACCCAGTAAGCAAAGCTTTAGAACTTAAAACTGCTAGCCTAGAATCTTGGGGATACGGTGAAAGGTGAGGACCTGGGCGTTTAGTATGAAGCACATAGTACCGCTTCAGTGACCAGACAGAACACAGAGAGGGTGGCACTGGCATGGCGTGAATGGCTTCTTTTTCCCAACAGGCCACCAATGAGGTTATCAGTCGGGTCCCTGAGTCCACCAAGGCTGAAATGGATGCGGCCATTGCCTCCTGCAAGCGTGCTTTTCCCGCATGGGCAGACACATCAGTGTTAAGCCGGCAGCAGGTCCTGCTCCGCTATCAACAACTAATTAAAGAAAACTTGGTATGAAATGTAAATTGTACCACTTTCCACGCTGTTGCCTAGGGAGAGTTGGTCACTCCTCCAGAGACCTTATCAGTGCCCTCCCTAACTCTACAACAGGCAACACTGACCGTGGCCCTCGCCCTGGTTCTCTTCTCCTGCAGTTTTGTGCTTCCTTGGCTAACAGAGAATTAAATGGAGTAACACAGGGACTAGGGATGTAACTTGGTGGTGGAGTGTATGCTGGACATGTTGGCTCTGGGTTCAATCCCAAGCACCAGAAAGATAAATAAAAAAAGAAGGAAGAAAGGAGGGAGGTACGGAGGGAGGAAGGGAGAGGAAGACATGGAGGGGGGAAGAAGAGAGAGAAAGGAGGAGGAGGAGAGGGAGAGAGAAGGGAAGAGGGAAAGAAGAAAGGAAGGAATGACATAAGAAATATCCTTGCATTATTTTCTATCTGCGTGTTTTCTCTCTAGAAAGAAATTGCCAGGTTAATCACAATGGAACAAGGAAAGACTCTAGCTGATGCTGAAGGAGATGTCTTTCGAGGCCTTCGTAAGCTGGGAGCCCCTCATGGGAGTTTTGGGAAAGAGCAAAAAAATGACCGGAGGCAGAGATCCCAGAATGGGGAGGTTGCTGCTTTTTGCAGATTTTGCTATCCTATGATACTTTTTTTTTTCTTTTGCAATACTAGGGATCAAAGGGTGCTACAGTACCACCACTGAGCTACATCCCCAGTCCTTTTTATTTTTTACTTTGGGACAGAGTCTCACTAAATTGCCCAGACTGGTCTTGCACTTGTGATCCTCCTGCCTCGGCCTCCAAGAGTTCTGGGATTACAAGCACGTGCCATGACACTTGGTACCATCATACCTTTTTTAATACTTATTTTAAAAATGGCAATACCTGTCAAGTACTATTGAGAATAATTTATTTCATTTTTTATTTTACTAAAATGATCATCTGGTAGGTATATACATATCACTGTCTTTTCCCCATACTGAGATTTCTTTTTTTTCAGTACTTGGAATTGAACCCAGGCCTTCACAATGAGCTACAACCCCAGCCCTTTTTTATTTTTTATTTTGAGACAGGGGCTCACTGAGTCACTAAGTTGCTTAAGCTGGGCTCAAACTTGTGGTCCTCCTGCATCAGCCTCTCAGATGCTGGGATCACAGGCATGAGCCACCACTCCTGGCTGAGAAACTCATTCTGTACAACCTCTTCACATGGAAAGACAAATCAGTGTTTCTCCCCATCTTTGATCTGAGCCACTCCCTCTTCTAAGGGTTGCACAGAGCATGACAAAACTAAACTCAGTACTCAGTGTGGAGTACTGGAGCCTGACTTCTTCTGTGTTCCAGAGGTGGTTGAACACGCCTGCAGTGTGACATCTCTCCTGCTTGGGGAGACCATGCCGTCCATCACCAAAGACATGGACCTTTATTCCTACCGCCTGCCTCTGGGAGTGTGTGCAGGCATCGCGCCATTTAATTTTCCTGCCATGATCCCCCTCTGGATGTTTCCCATGGCCATGGTTTGTGGAAATACTTTCCTAATGAAACCATCAGAACGAGTCCCTGGAGCAACTATGCTGCTTGCTAAGTTGCTCCAGGATTCTGGTGCCCCCGATGGAACACTGAACATCATCCACGGAAAGCATGACGGTAAGTGCCCTTCTGCATGTGGCTATTTAGTCTGGCTACCAAGAAACCAAAGTTCTGGGTAGTAACTAGGTACTTTAGGATGCAAAAACTAGAGAGAAAGGGAGTTACTAACAGTTACCTCCATGTCTGAAGGTAATGTGTGTTGACTGTTTAATTGCCTGTGTGTGCTCATGGGGACATCAGAGATACGGATTAGGACCAGAGAGAGATAAGAGTAAAGAGAAAAGTTTTGTCTTAATGTTGAGGGGATTCATGAGGAATTTAACTGAAAGAATTTGTAGACACCAGAGAAACTGATGGCTTTTTAATTCATGTAATAACCAATACTTAAGTAGTGCCTCTGTGTTTCAGGCACTGTTCCTAGTTCTACTTCACATGGTTGGGAGTGTAGCTCATTGGTAGAACACGTGCTTCACTGAATATGTACAAGGTTCTGGGTTTGATCCTTAGCAAAAAGTAAATAACTTAGTAAAGAAAAAAGTTTTCTTTTCTCAATAATCTTTGTGACAATTACTTAAGGTCAGTACTATTGTTTCCCATTTTAAAGATGAGAAAATTAAGGCATAATAAAAGTAATTTGCCTATAAGTCCTAACACTAGGATCCATCAGAATGTACCCAGGGAGACTGATTGGTGCATGTGTGTGCACTTGTGGCTTGTTTTATTTAGACAGGGTCGCGCTCTGGAGTTCAACCTAGCCTGGGCTGGCCTCAAACTCATGGTAGTCTTTCTGCCTCAGCCTCCCATGTGTTGAGATTACAAGCGTGTACCACCAGGCCTGACTGGTCCTTGCTGTAAATACTATGCCCCCTTACTTCTCACAGGAGGGCACTGTACTCTCTGAGGGTCTCACTGCACAGAAACAATTGAGGATGTATCACATTCTGAAAGGACAGAAAGAAAGGGTCATATATTGAAAGGACAATAGTGGTTATAGTCTTCAGAGTTAGACTACAAGTGGAAATCCTGAAATAGTTAATGAGAAAAACAGTGAAAAGGAAGAAGTTAAATGGAATTAGTAATGTAAAGAGTTTAAGAGAAATAAATATGAGAAAACTCATAATGGGAATTCAGTAGAGAAAAACAAATGTATGAAAAGTTGATTCATTGTAGTGGGGAAGGGAAAAACGTGTCATCTTGAGAACACTGTGACTATTTGTTTACTGTGGTAATCATTTATTTTCTTCTTAAAGCTGTCAATTTTATTTGTGATCATCCGGACATCAAAGCAATCAGCTTTGTGGGGTCCAACCAGGCAGGAGAGTACATCTTCGAGAGAGGGTCAAGACATGGCAAGAGGGTTCAAGCCAACATGGTGACGTGTTACTCCCTTTCCCCCAAACTTTGTTATATGCATTTGAATGACCTAGGATGTGTGTTTGTGTGTGTGTGTGTCACACACAAGATAGCTAAGGTAATTACACTACTAATTTCTATTAGTTCATTGAAAAGAACGGTTTGTACTTACATTGTTTGATCAATTTTTCATGCCTATATCTGGTAATCTGAGCAACTCTTCCAAAGATAATACCACACAATACACAGTATGTTAACCATTGGTAATCTCCTATTAGTTTGTTCTGTTTTTTTGTTTGTTTGTTTGCAGTACCAGGGATCGAACTCACGACCTCATGCTTGCCAGGCAGGCACTTGTGCCACTGAGCTAAATCCCTGGCCCTATTAGTTTGTTCTGATATTCTGTATAAATGTTTTTTATGGTTTTTTCTCTTTAAATAAAAAATAAATGACCTAGGGACGGCCCTCCGCAGGGAGTCACTTATTTCCCTCTACTGCCAGTGTTTCTTAATCATATTTCACCCTGACTGTCTTCCCCTTAGCCGTGAAATTTGTAAGTTTTACTCTCCCACTGATCACCTTTTATCACATACAACAAATGTTGGCGACTCGGGGCACATTCCTCCGCAAAGATGTCAAATTCTTTAGGCTTCAGTAGCAACAGCCAGATTTTGGTTCTATTTTTTCTTTTATACCGTGCTTCCAGCCCTTAATCTTTCCTTCTTTTAAGGAATATCCTAACTACTAATGTCAAAGATATGACCTTCCCTAAGAGGTAAGTCTATTTAAAGCACCAGAAAAAGCTAAATATCCCTAATGATATGTGTGTAGGTTTACTGTTCTTTCTAGTTCCTTGCCAAATGTTGAGGGTGTGTGTGTGTGTGTGTGTGTGTGTGTGTGTGTGTGTGTGTGTGACACTAGGGATTGAATCTTCACACGTGCATGCTAGGCAAGCATGCCATCACTGGACTACATCCTGGCTCTTTTTATTTGTATTTTTTATTTTGAATCAAGGTCTTGCTTGCTAAAGTATACTGGTAAGTCTTTGTGATTGTCATGCTTCAGCCTTCCAAGTAGCTGGGATTACAGCCATGGGCTACCATGCCAGGCTGAGACTCTTAGATACTAACTATAAAATCCTGTTGCACCTGTCTTGCCTTTCTCCCCACCTCCACCGCAATCTCTCCAGTATTGAAGCTATGGCCTTTGCACTGAGCTATAACCCCAGCCTTTTAAAAAATCTTTGAGACAAAGTCTTGCTAAATTGGTTGGTTATGGTTGTACATGCCTGTAATCCCAGCACTTGGGAGGCTGGGACAGGAGGCTTACTGTAAATTTGAGATCAGCCTGGGTTACAAAGTGAGTTCAAGGTGAGCCCGAACTGCATAGTGAAACCCTGTCTAAAAAAATTTTTTTAAAATACCCCATACATTGCTAAATTGGCCCTCCTAGAGTGCCGGGATTGTAGGCATGTAGCTCCATGCTTAGCTATCTCGTCTTTCTTCCTTCCTGTTGTACAAGAGATAGCCTATGCACAGACTTAGAAAATTCATAATATGCCCACATTTTTGGATTTTTTTAAAAAGAAAAAATCAGTACAAGATAATTATTGGGTAACAATGGTTAATACACTGCACATTGGGGGGTTTTTTTTGGTTTTTTGTTTTGTCTTGAGATGGGGCCTCGCTATGCAGTTCAGGCTGGCCTTGAGCTCACTTTGTAGCCCAGGCTGGTCTTGAACTCGAAACAATCCTCCCACCTCAACCTCGAGAGTGCTGGGATTACAGGCGTGAGCCATCACGCCCCGCTCAATACATTGCATATTGTTATCTTTAAATTGGTTACTCAGAGTACAAGATATTGGCATGTAATTGTCCAATGATAGTACAAACCTTTCTCTTCAATGAACTAAGAAAAATTAGTAGTATAACTATCTTAACTATCATATTAATAATTTCAGCTTCTTATATGAGGGAGACAATATGATGTTTACACAAGTGAGTCTGATTTAGTTATTAGTATGGTCTCTAGTGGCATTTATTTACCTATAAAAGCCTTGAGCTTATCCTTCTTTATGGCTGAGTAGTACTCCATTGAATAAAAATACCATCTTTTTTATCCATTCCTCAGTTGATGAGCATTTGGGTTGTTTCCAAGATGTAGCAATTATAAATTGTGCTGTTATAAATATGGGTGCACATATATCACTGTGGTATAATATTCTGAATGCTTTTGAATATGCCCACATTTCATGATTGAATATGTTTAATTTGACACAAGTCTTTCCCACTCACTGTTTACTGAGTATATTCTGTGTTCAACATTGTGCATAATGGGATGAAGTAACAGACATGGTATCTATTCATGCTGCTAATGGAATTCTTATCTGGAAACTTACTGATCATCCTACATAGATAAGACATACATGTAGCTGTATCATATAAAAACAAGTCAGTATTTTGACTTTCAGCTGTTTACTGGCTTTACTATTTTTGGCAGTTTTTTGTTTATACTGTTCATTTAACTGGAAACCCAAATAGACAACAAATTCTTTCCTAATTTAAGAAAAAGGAGGATATTTTCCTCTGTTCCTGAATGTAACGTTTAACCTATTGGATTGAATTTGATTAGCGTTTTTTTATTTCCTCCCTTTGGTGGTAATAGGTTTTTTTTTTTTGTTTTTTTTTTTTTTTTGAGACAGGGTCTCTCTTGAAGGTCAGGCTGGCCTTGAACTCGCAGCAGTCCTCCTCAGCCTCCCAAGTGGTGGGATTATAGGTGAGAGCCACCACACCCAGCTAATAATTTTGATCTAAATAAATACATATTGCTGGGTATGATGGTTCATGCCTATAATCCCAGCACTTGGGAGGCTGAGGCAGGAGACTCACCATGAGTTTAAGGCCAGCTTGGGGTACATAGTGAGCTGGAGGCCAGCCTAAACTACACAGTGAAACCCTGTCTGCAAAATTAAAAAAGGAAACAAAAAAGGTCAATAAATACATACAAAGATAACTATCAGCTTATCAACTGGATAATGGAGGAAAAGTAATGTGGAGACCTGCTCAATCTTACTAAGACATTAGCACTAACAGTATTAAAAATAATTTGTCCATCCGCAAAACAACAAATGAATTCTCTAGTCCTTGCTTAAATTGTCTTTTGGTATTTCAGGTTAATTAAGGAAAACCATGAACTTTTTTATTTCTTTAGGGAGCCAAAAACCATGGGGTAGTCATGCCAGACGCCAATAAGGAAAATACACTGAACCAGCTGGTTGGGGCAGCGTTTGGGGCTGCAGGTCAGCGGTGCATGGCTCTTTCAACAGCAATCCTCGTAGGAGAAGCGAGCAAGTGGCTGCCAGAGCTGGTGGAGCGTGCCAAGAAACTGAGAGTCAATGCAGGTACTCACCTGCCTAGCAACTCTAGGTCCTGCATCTGTGCAGGAAGTGGCATGACGCTCCTGGTTTCCGCATTGTCCTTGGCCAGGGGAGAACAATCATGTCTACTCTTACCATTGCCTCTCTAACTATTACCTGTCACTCAGATTCATCTCTGACTAGCAGCCGTATTTTAAGGTAATAAAGACCCATCCTCGTATGTCTTTTTGTAGGAGACCAGCCTGGAGCTGATCTCGGCCCTCTGATCACCCCCCAGGCCAAAGAGCGAGTCTGCAATCTGATTGGCAGTGGGCCGAAGGAGGGAGCTACCATCCTCCTGGATGGGCGAAATATTAAAGTCAAAGGCTATGAAAATGGTAACTTTGTTGGACCAACCATCATCTCAAATGTCAAAGTGAGCAACTCTTATTTCATAAGTATTAGTGCCAAAGGCACCTTAGAGGCTATGGAATTTCATCCAGTTTATAAACAAAGGCATTTAATTATTAAAATCACAATCCCCACCAATTGCTCAGGTATTTTACCTAGCATCTGATGAACTCTCCTCTTCTGACCCCCAGCCAGAGCTCTGCCCTACACCAGTATTCAGCACACTCTCCATGTCGCCCTATCATTGCAGATGGTTTCTGTCCACACTACTCAACTCCTATGTGTTGTGTAAAATCAAGCCATAAACATGTGGCTGTGTTCTAATACAACTTTATTTATGGACATACATTTGAATTTTATGTAGTTTTACATCATGGAATATTCTTGTGGTATTTTTCTCAGCCCTGAAAAATGTAGAAATCATCCTTACCTGTGGACTGTACAGGTAGCCAGCCACATTTGGCCCACAGGCGGCAGTTAGCCAACCACTATCTTACATTACTTTGGTTACTTGTTTAGTTCTGTTTCCCATTCCTTCCTCCCACCCAGAGCTATCGCAGTATCTCAAACAATATGTTATTTACCAGTTTCTTCCCCTACTGCTGAGGAATGGGCCCAGGGAATACTGAGCTGTTTACTGAGACTAGATCTTGCTAAGTTGCCTGAGTTGGCCTCAAACTCAGCTTCTGCCTCAGCCTTCCACACAGCTAGGAGTACAGGTCCACCACGATTTATTGAACACCTACTCTGTACCCAAAAGTTAGCTGTATTTTTCACAAGAAAATTACAAAAAGAATTCATTGGTCAATTTTTATTTATCAAAACTCTGAAAGTCAGCTAATATTTGACTAGGTTGAGAGTAGAAAGTTTTTTTTGAAATTCATATATCCCCACTATAATCATGAATTAGGACTGAACACTTGCCATAGAACCATAAAGAAAAAAAATCTACTAATTAGCAACACAGCTGACTAGATGCAGTACTGAGGATGTTTTGACTGTTTAAGTGTGACCCAGTATCTAAGTAAAAATGTACAAATGTACTTGGAAGGCAAAGAAGTGAATGATAAAATTATTAGTTATAGGAAATTTAGCATGGCATTCCTATAAACAAACTTCTCTTGGTATATTTAATATATGTTTAATTATTAAAATGAACTTCTATGTAACTTTTTGGTAACATAAGAATTGTATGGAAGTAGTAGTACTTGTATTAAATAGGAGGCTTTTGATGTTTCATGGGAACTAGAAATGGGAGTATATTATAATTAACAGGAGTTTCAAGTTATTGTATGTTGGTTGCCCAGATTCTGGAACACAGAGAGGACCTTTTTTTAAATAAGAGATTTAATATGAAGCAGACTGCAAATACGCAAGCTGTCCATGTAAACAGCTTGACAGTAAAAGAACCAAATAAGCATAAAATATTCAGAATCCAAAAAGCTGACTTCTTTCTGGACATATCACTCTTGGTAGCCAAATATGACCTGTTACAAAGAGGAGATTTTTGGCCCAGTTCTTGTGGTCCTGGAGACAGAAACATTGGATGAAGCTATTAAGATTATAAATGACAACCCATATGGAAATGGAACCGCCATCTTCACCACCAATGGAGCCACTGCTCGGAAATATTCCCACCAGGTGGATGTCGGACAGGTTTGTGATTAGGGGTTTTTAAAATTCTTCTAGCTCTTTACCATGCTAAGAGACAATAAGTAGTGACCAATCACTGCAGCTTGTTTAAAGATGCCCCTTTAATTTTCCCCAGTGCTCCATTTTCTCCTTCAAGAATAAAAGTTTGTGGGGTAAAAGATACCTAGTTCATTGGGTCTCTCTCAAAAAAAAAAAAAAAAAAAAACCAAATTAAAAAAAAAAAACTCATGAAGTTCTGAAATTAAAAAAAAAAAATCAGATCAGTCTTTTTATTGTCTTTGTGCTTCTACATGGAGAATCCATAGTCAGGGTCCTCTGTGTTCTTTGCTTGGAATTTGATGTGGATTTGTTCTGCTTTAGGTGGGGGTCAATGTCCCCATACCAGTGCCTTTGCCAATGTTCTCATTCACTGGCTCTCGAGCTTCCTTTAGAGGAGACACCAATTTCTACGGCAAACAGGTAACTTGAGTTAAACATTCTTCCCTTTGAGAAAATTTCTTGAATACATTCAGGAGCAAGGATTCTGCCGAGAAAGGCTTGTCAGCAGCTCTGTGGTCTCATATGTTGTTCTACATGGTTTCTCAGAAAGACCCCTAGAAAAAATTAGTTGAACTAATTTTAATTAAAAGAAGTTAACAAACTTTTGCCCAAACTGCCTCTTCCTAAATACTTCAAGGCAACAGTTTGAGGAAAGAGCACCTGGAATTCCAAGCCTTTATATGTGTCATTTCCCCTGCCTATAACTGTTCTCCATCTCTAACTCCTCCCCTGGCACATCACAGCTTAAAAAATAGAGTCCTCCAGAAAAATTCCCCTATGATTCCCCCCCCCCAACTCTTTCCCTGATGCTGGGTGTGTGCTCCTTGTGCTTCCACTGCATATATTTCACCTAGGATAGTTGTTTAAAAAAAAATTTTTTTTCCCCAGTACTAAGAATGAAGCTCAAGCCTCTGTACTGAGCTACATCTCCAGCCCTTTTTAAATTTTTTTATTTTGAGATAAGAGTCTTGCTAACTTGATCAAGCTGGGCTTAAACTTGTGATCCTCTTGCCTCAGTCTTCCAGAATACTGAAATTACAATTGTGTGCCACTACACTTGGCTATTTACAAAAAATATGAGTGTGTTGGGTCTGATAGCACACACATAATCTCAGCAGTCCCAGGAGCAGTGCAGGTTTCAGCTCAAACTGGGCAACTGTGTAACAGCAAGATCTTGTCTCAAAAAAAGTAAAAAGGTCTGGGGATATAGCTCAGTACACAGACCCTGGGTTCAATCCCCAATATTGCTAAAATGGAATAAATAAAATCAAACTATAAAATAAAAATTTTAAAGGGCTGCAGTTGTAGTTCAATGTCAAAGTATTTGCCTAACATGTGTGGTACTAGATTTACTCTCCCTACATCATAAAAAGAAAAAAGTTTATTGAGTACTTTCTTTGTACCAAACACTATCCTTGGCATTATGAATATAGTGCTGAACAAGAAAAACAATGCTTGCAAAGTCAATCAAGCAATAAAAAAAGAAAAGAAAAACACTGCAGATCTGGAACTAGATTGCTTGGTTTCATTGTGACTTGGGAGATACCCTAGTTTAGGCCTCAAGCTTCTGCATCTGTAAAAGAAGTACATTTCATATGCTTTTGAGGAATAACTGTCACCACATACATCAGCAGGCACATGTCCTGTGGCAGGAACAGGCTGTTAACAGCAGAAATGAGCTGGAGCACAGTACATAAATGAGGAGGACACTGAGAATAGATGAAGTCAGTGAGGCAGAAGCTAAGTCACTGTAGGGCCCTTTAATCCACGTTAAGAAGCCTCATCAGACTATCAGGTGAAACGGAATAAGCCAGGCACAGAAAGAACACACAGCACATAATCTCACTCAAGTGGAATTTAAGCAGGTCTCACAAAAGGTGAGAGGGGAATGGTGGTTACCACAGGAAGGTGAAAGCAGGAGAAGACATGGGGAAAGGGTGATCAGCGCAGGGGCTAACTTACAGTTAGCTAGGAGCAAGCTCTGCTGCGTTACTGCATAGCAGTGTGACTGTAGGTAATAGGAGTATACTGTACATTGCAAAAAGGAGAAGGATTCTGGAAGTTTTCACCATAAAGAAATGATTTGGGGAGATCATTATGTTTAACCTTATTTAAACATCATGCAATATATGTATGTATCAAAATGTTCTATATATAAAATGTTAATGTGTATTTTTATGTTTTTCAAATTTTTTCAATTAAAAAAAGAAGTCCTCATCATATTATAATTCAGAAGAAATCTTTTGTTTTTTGAGACGTTTCACTTAGTAAATAAACTATCTTCGTTAGGCTTGAAATCGCAATCTTCCTGCCTCAGCTTCCCAGGATTACAGGTGTGCACTACTACACTAACTGTATTGTAATTATTGTTTACCTATTTGTAGTACCTGGCCCAGAGCAGGCTACCCAAGCATTTATTAAACAAACAGTTCTGTGCAACCTAAAAAACACACAACTACTTTGGAACCTTCATTAAAAAATTATGTATTTTATAGGCCTCCCCTTCTATAGGTTAATAAAAACATTAGTAAGATTACAATTTATAATAGAATTGCATAACAGATATGATAATGTGGCCAAGGGATTAAGATGGTATGGTAACTTAATGGCTGCTACTTTGCATTCTGGAAAGAAGATATGAAAGTATTATTATTACAGAATAATGTACAAAAGCCAAAGTAGCACATGCTTGTTGTTCCAGCTGCTCAGGAGGCTAAAGCAGAAGGATCATTTGAGTCTAGGAGGGAAGTCTGAACAACACAGTAAAACCTCATCCCAAAAATTATATATGGAGAAAGACAGACACAGAGAGAAACCTTAAACCTGCTGTATTTTTTTGACTCACACATGAGTAATTTAGAAGCGAATTCGTTTCATTTTACTTAGCCAGGCGTGGTGGCGCATGCCTGTAATACTAAAACTCAGGTGGCTGAGGCAGGAGAATCACTGCAAGTTCCAGGCCAGCCTTGGCTACATAGTGAGTTCAAGGCTAGCCTAAACTTTATAGTGAGACCGTGTCTCAGAAAACAAAAACAAACAAAATTTACTTTAGATTGTAAGATATTCTGAGTTTGCCCTTTGAATGTAGAGCTCATTCTCACTGAATGTAGACCTTATCAAAAGTGGTCTAACATGTATCATGCCTTTTATTCCTTTTCCTTTGTGGGATAAAAGATAACAATTGTTGAATAGGAGTTACTTGGTAGGATAATTTTACATGGTATTTTCTTCCAGCAATGCTATGAGGTGAGCATTGTGTCACTCAGATAATGCTCAAGTTTAAACTTCAGTCAGTAAGCCGAGAGGCAGGATCTGAGAAATTCTGTGGACTGCAGGGTATATGATATTTAGCTCTGAAATAAAATGATCTGCAAGTTTGACTATGTTACTCAATTTTTCCACTTTTGATACTCTTGGTTGAAAAGTTTTAATTTCAGAATATTAATGATGATGAGGATTTGGCTGTTTACTAAGTGACAGAAAGAATCACATGAGCACCATAGTGGATTTTCATTGTACCTATGAATAGGAACATGAATGGCATTCATCTTCCAACGCTAAATTAAGTGTCTCAGAAGCATGCTGATGTCTCCCAGAGGTACATGCTAATTCACTCTCTTTTCCTTGTTCTCTTTAGGGCATCCAGTTCTACACACAGCTAAAGACCATCACTTCTCAATGGAAAGAAGAGGATGCTACTCTCTCCTCCCCTGCTGTAGTCATGCCTACCATGGGACGTTAGAAATAAGTTTCTTCAAACCTACTGCATCCTGCATAACCTTCCTACATTGTTGACCAACTTCATTTGCCAGCTTTGTCCAGATCAGATCTCTCAGATTGGAGTATGTTTAACTGGAGTCTTTCTCAGGACTTGGCCCCTTCAGAGTTGCTGTAGGGAAACATCTAATATAATACTGACATCAGATTTTCACTACCTTTTCATACTTCTGGTTTTGAAGTAACTGATATAACTATGGAATGCTCATCTAGACAGAGAGCATAGACTTGTTTTCTAAAAATTTTTTCCTTTTCTGACAGCTTGAAAGAGGGCAAGGCCAATGTATTTACAGGAGATCATACAATGGAAGAACCCTTGGGTGAGGAAATAGCATGGAAACACAGTTCTCTCTGGCTGAGCCTCAAACACACTGGCTGAGCCTCTATCACTACTAGTAGGCGAGGCCCATCTGCCAAATTTTCCTGAGCCTGTCCCTCATCCCACAGAACACAAGATCTAATCTGCTTCTACTTATCCCAATAGTGTGACAACTGCTTTACTTTTCTGCTCAATGCCACTTTGTTGTCCTTGTGATTTATGACCACTGTTCAGTTCTATCAGTGTCCCTATTCTGATTCTTAAAATCACTTCTCAAGAATACCTCAGTATTCAGTGAATAAATCAGTTTTTTTATTATGTATGCCAGATGTTGAATTTCAGGGGTTACTTCAAATCATTAATGCCTCAGCCATTAATCCAGCTATAAGCAGTTTTCTTAATTATTTCAAAAGTTAGTTTAGACAAATCAAGTGTTTTAATCATGAATGTGGATAAGACTCTTAGCTAAAACAAGTCTAATCTGCTATTATTTGCCAAATTTTATATATTTTCTCTTGCCTGCATTTCTCATTAGGGATGCTTTTTTTTTTTTTGTCTTTTTCGTTTTTACCGGTACCAGGGATCGAACTCACGACTGCCTGCTTGCAAGGCAGGCGCTTTTGCCGCTGAGCTAAATCCCCAGCGCCCCCCCCCCTTTTTTTTCCTTACTGTTACCAATTGGGACCTAAGAAATTTCAGAGTTTTTCTTTACCTACAATTAAAACACTTTTTAACAGTCTTCTGCTAACTCAAGTGCCCTTATGTCTTTTGTCTTTGAAGTCAGAACAAAAACTGATGTGCTAAACAGAATGGATTCTGCCCTTTTGCTCCTCCATCCCAACTGAGTCCTAGCTTTCTGAATTAGAAGGCCGCTGGCTCTGGTACTCCTTACCCACATGGTATTGGTCATTTTCTTTTCTGCTTCTTCATTTGTCATTTGAGTAGTTTATTCAGTGAGCTAACGGTGGTGAAAAACTTTGCAAAATTGCACTTTGAACTTTATTACTATCATCAGTTGGATAGAGTATTAGAACATTCAATCTAATAAAGTGACAAAACTTTTAACAAAATATACTTACAAGAGTATAGGGTCTGTTTGTTTGTTTTTGTTTCTTAAAGGTAAGGGAGTAGAAATTTACAGTTTGAGAATAAAATGCCCTTTGTTTTATGTTATAAAACACAGCTAATGTTAAATCCAATGAGTTTAGGCTGGGTTGAATAAAAAGTTATTACTGTCTAAATTCCAGGTGGAATTAAATATAATTACGACTCCTAATATTTTTCTTATATTTAAGGGAAACCACTTTTTAAAAAAAATTGACTGGGGGCTGGGGATTTAGCTCAGCCGCATAAGTGCCTGCCTTGCAAGCAGGCAGTCCTGAGTTCGATCCCTGGTACTGGTAAAAACGAAAAAGACAAAAAAAAAATTGACTGATCAGAATTGTGTTAATATAATTGGAATCCGTTCATTTGGCCAGCCCCTTGATACTCAGAGGTGTTTGTTTCTTTTTAGAAAAAAATATATAATTATATTCATAGTAGTACTACCTAAAAATTCAGTTTTATTTTTTTTTTATTCAATACAGCCTTGTTTGAACTTTCTAAGATTTCACATTGCTCTAATTAATAATGAATAACAAATAACAAATAAAAAGCACTTAAAGATTTTTAAAAACTGGCTTTTTTGTTTTTACTGGTATACTTTAATAGCTTTGTTTCCTAGGTTGTAGTGAATCATACTTTCTATATCCAAAGCCAACAGTTACATGAGCATTGTGTTTGTGCTTATATAAAAGACAGTGGAGGCTGGAGATGTAGCTCAGCAGCACAGCACTTCCCTGGCAAGCACAACGTACTAAAGTTCGATTCTCAGTACAAAAAAAGACTGGAGGTATAGCTTTATAGTATAGTGCTCCTTTAGCATGCACAAAGCCCTGGGTTTGAGAGAGAGAGAGAGAGAGAGAGAGAAAGACACAGAAACTAAGTACATATTTTGGCTAGACTGCTTATCTGTTTTTGTTTATCTATCTGTTTTGGTATGTGTGTGTTTCCCACACTAAAAGAGGTACAAATATACATTTGCATTGCATGTAATATTCCTTTAGTGTGGACACTGCTAGGACAATTTTCATGATCTTAGTTATTTGTTACTCATTCCACTGGTACCTGAGACTCCTGGTTGGCTGGTGAAGAAATGTAAATTAAGGAGAAGTTGCATAGAGAAGGATAACTGTTGTACAGTCTGATTGATTATAGATTTCTTACCATGTTGGACTCCTGTAATCCTTTCAGAATACTGGACATTGCCATTTCAGAGTCTGAGACTGGAACTTGCTGAGTGATGAATGTCTGATCTTGAAGCCTACTTTCATCTGTTTGATCCTGAGGCTTAGCTTCACTTGTCTGACCTTGAAGCTTACTTTCATCGGTTTGATCTTGAAGCTCAACTTCATCTGTCTGATTTTGAAGCTTACTTTCATTTCTGCAATAGAGACAAAATGTCAGTTCAGACAATTACTATAGATGGAACTTGGTTCAGAACAACAGACTTGCCACATTACTGTCACTCAATCCTAGCGCATATAAGATGCCCACAGAACCATCAGGATCAGAGTCACATTCATGGACTTTGGCAAGAAAACTCCTACCCAATTCCTTTTCTCCACTGTCAGAAACAACATATTCTGTACCTGTAGGCCTAGAACTCTGGTCATATTTCCTGTCGTGCATAAAAGTTAACCAACATAATGAGGCACTAATTCCCCCGTATTTCACTATATCCTTGAAGTGCTAAGTGAAATGCTTTGGTTAGATGAACTTCTTGTCTTCAAAATGAACTTTTACACAACCATTGATGCAGTGTGTTAGACACGGTAATTTATTTACTTAAAATTGAGACATGTTGATAGGCATGCATGTCTATAATCCCAGGAGCTTGGGAAGCTGAGGCAGGAGAATGAATCACAAGTTCAAGAAAAGTTGGACAATTTAGTGAGACCTGATTTTTTGCTGTTTTTGTTTTTTAAGACTTTGAGTTTTAAAGTTTTTAAAAAATGGACAGAGATCTAGCTCAGTGTTCCCTGGGCTCAGTCCTCACTACCGCAAAACAAAAATGAAAAAAGTTGCAACCTGTCAAACTCAAGAAATAAATACCAGGGCTGGGAATTTAGCTCAGCGGCACAAGCACCTGCGTTGCAAGCGTGTGGTTGTGAGCTCGAGCCCTGGTACCGATAAAAAAAAAAAAATACCTATGAAAATGATAATGAAGGTACTCATCTACTCTGTCATGAAGGATAAACTTTATTCATTTTTAGGTAAATGGATGTACCTCCAGACCATAATTTTAAGTGAAATAAATCAGACATGCAAGTTTAAATATTGCATGGTTTCTCTTACGTGAGAAACCCAAAGGGTAAATAAAGAACAAAAATGGAGCTAAATATTGGGAAGTAGAAACAACATGCTCAAAATGAAAAACACAGGGGAAGAAAGGAATTTTTTTTAAAAGGGAAAAAATGGAAACAAAGCTTTCGTTAAGCGGGAAGGGAAAGAAAGGTAGAGGAAGGAGGATGGGAAGCAAAGGAGAATTAAGGCATATAATGTACCAATTCCTTGTGATGAATGTGATCATTATGTATGGAAAATATGTTCTAACAAAAACAAATTTTTAAAAAATAAGGTACTTGCCTTGCAAGCAGGCGGGCGTGAGTTCGATCCCTGGTACCGATAAAAAAATAAAAAATAATAAGGTACTTACACAACAGCTATTAGTTGTGATGGACAGGGTGGCACCAGATTGACCAAAACACCAAGAAAAGCTCTCTTCCCAACTAACAAACACCCTAATCAGTCCACCTGCCTTAGTAGACTTTCTACTACAGTGGTACCTCAGTTTACCAACTTAATTTGTCTTATGACTTTGGGGAAAATGGCTGTATTTGTGTTTGTGTGAGAAAGATGACCATAGTCATATCCGTCACCCAAAGCAGTGTTTGTAAATGAAAGCAAAATTTTTGTTGACTATTTTTGTGACCTGAATTGTTTACAAACACAACTGCTCATGAACTGAGGTATTACTGTACCTAGCTTCTCCCTATCTTGTTTGCACTTTCCCACTTAATCTCATCACTATTTCACCATCTATTCCTATCTTCTTTTCTTCATTGTTTTGGCATGAAATTTCAATAGGCTTAAACATGATCCCACTGTGAGTCATGTACAAGTTCATTGTGTTGGCGTAGACAATCTCAAAGTTCTGTTTCTCCAAGGTTGAAAATAACAGTATGGGGCTGGGGATTTAGCTCAGTGGCATAAGCACCTGCCTTGCAAGCGCACAGTCGTGAGTTCAATCCCCGGTACCAAAAAAAAAAAAAAAAAAAAAAAAAGAAGAAGGAAAATAACAGTATGGAACTAGAGCCCTGGAACTCTGGCTATGTCCTTGGGTATAGAGATATCAGCTCACAGTGAGACAATCAGTACCTGCAGTCTAGAATTTACTCCATCTCTAAAAACTCTCTAGAAGGTTACCAGTGACAAAAGAGCCATTTCAAAGTCCTCCACTTAACCAATAATTCTTTAAACCCTCCCCCTTTGGTTGTAGTCTTCTCTTTCCCTGTTTCCTATTGTGGTTACTCCTCAGGGTTCTAGCCCCACCTCTTTACTCTCCATCTTCACCCACACCAAATCCCAGTTTTTACAAAGCATCCCTCTCTCTCTCTCTTCAAACTCCAGTTCCTATTTACAAATGCCTTAAAGCTATTCTTCAGTATTGCCATCAAGATTAACACTGAAAATACCACTATTTCCTCTGCTTGGAATGTTCTCTGATTTTCCCTTTTTTGTTCCTATTTATCTTTTAGAAATCAAATCAAGGTTTTATTTCTTTAAAAATTCTGCTTCATTCCCCAATGACATCATATTCCCTTAATCTAAGCCTTTTTACCACTGTATAATCCCTTTAGCCCTGTTATAATTGTACTTTTGTATTTATTTCTGTGATAATTGAAGTGTTTTCTTTTGGTACCGGGAATCAAATTCACGATCTCGTGCTTGCCCAGGCAGGCAACTGTCCTGCTGAGCTACATCCCCAGCCTGCACAAGGGATACAGTTCAGCAGCACAGTCCGTGCCTGGCAAGCCTGAGGCCCTGAGTTTGATTCTTGGTACAAAAAAAAAAAAAAAGTTTCATGAACCATAAACTCCTTGAAATTAGCCATGATGCCTTCATTTTTCACATTGTAACATTTTTAATAGTAGGCATTTGGTGTTTATATTAAGTGAATTAATGGATGGAATAAACAAAATTCGAGTATTTTTCTCATGCTGACTTTTCTGATCTTTATCTTTAGTACCATGTACCTTGTTTTTTTTTAAACTGAAAAAACTTAAATTTTTTCTTCCCTTCATTCCTTTTGTCCTCTATCACCAAAACCTTCTCTTTTCTATGTGTCTGTTTCTCCCCACCCCACCCTTTTTTTTTTAAAGGCAAAGTCTCACTTTGTAGTCCAGGCTGGCCTAAAACTTAGGCGATCCTCCTGCCTTAGCCTCCTGAGTACTGGGACTATAAGCATGTGACACCTCACCTAGCTCTCCTCTTCTCTGACTGCTCTCACTCTTGGTTGAAGCACCACCCCCAACATACTCAAGAGTAGTGCAGTGGCCTGTGCTCTGCCATAAGTAGCCTCTGTGCTCCATTAATGTCAGCTTTGCAAACACCGACACTGATCTGGGACCCCAGAGTCCCAGGGTGGTTTAGTCCTCCTCATATTTCTTGAAGGGATGGAAGTAAATACGATACACAGCATTCTGAAACCTACAATGGCAGTAAATTCAGACCTTCTGAGTGATTTTTAAGGCTCAATAAAATTTAACCTTATAAAATCGTACTTTTAATTTCTCTGAAGCATCATCAAATTTCCTCAAACCAGTTAGTTTTCTCTCAATGTTCCCCAAACACCCAACACCCATTCCTAAGCCTGGGCTTGTGTAATGTCTACTAAGTTCCTTCTCTAATGGTCCCTCTCTTTACTACTGTCCCACTATCCTACAAAATACACCAAAGTACCTCTTTTTCTTTCTTTTTTTTTTTTTTAATTTTATGTAAGGAGAAAAAGAAAAAAAAAGGGTACAAGTTATACAGAATTTCAGAAAAAATAAACAGTAGGAAATCACTAGTTAATAGATTATATTGTTATCTTAGAAATAGTTGTTCAAGTTACAAAATTAAAGCATATAAAGTAGACTTTCAAAAAGTGAGACTGCAAACAGTTTTGTTCAATGATCCAACAGAATTCAGTAATATGAATTTTTTTTTTTTTGTCTTTTTCATTTTTATCGGTACCAGGGATCGAACTCACAACCACCTGCTTGCAAGGCAGGTGCTCATGCCGCTGAGCGAAATCCCCAGCCCCTGGTTATCTATCTTATACACTTAAATATATATCCTTGAGAGCACTTTCTTTTTCTTTCTTTTATACAATGACAAATACAATGACAATTACACATTTTGGGTTTTATTACTCCCATAGTTCTTATTACTTTTTTTTGAAGAGAGTAAAACCAAATGTGACATAACAGAAGAGAGTCAGTCAAATCAAAAGGATGGACATAACAATGTAAAAACAAAATACTAGGTGATCAAAGTACCTCTTTCAAGAATATCTTCCTACTGCTCTCATCATTGACATGTTGTCTGAATAATCATAATTTATCATGCCATCTAATTTTTCCCTAGTTATATTTGGTTTTAAGCAACTAGTTCATAAACTCTGAGTTCAAAGGCAGTTACTCTTCATTCTTTTGAATCCCTGATAGTACCTAAAAGTTCCAAGTATATGTACTTGATATGTATAATATGTGCTTGACTTCTTCTAGCCAGCTATATTTAATACCAGGTTTATACAGTCGCTGATAAAACAGTGGACAGTCAAGGCAGTGGTGCATGGCTGTTAACTCTAGCTCCTCCAGAGGATGAGGCAGGAAAGTGACAAACAAGGCCAGCCTGTCTCAAGATGAAAATGGCTGGGCATGTAGCTTAGTAGTAGAATGCTTTCATAGCATGCCTAAAGTCCTAAGTTGAACCACCCAGCACTGCAAAAAAGTAGGGGTCATGGCAAAAGTCGACAGATCCAAAAAATTCCTTTTAATGATTACTCGGTCTGTCTCTCTCCCTACCCCACTAGTATTTGAGATTCACACTGAGCAAAATCCCCAGCTTTTCTTATTTTTAGGTAGTGTCTCACTAAATTGGTAACTTGCCCAGGCAACTTACGACTCCTCTGCCTTAGCCTCCCAAAATGCTAGGATTTCAGGCATGTACCACCATACCTCTTATATTAGGGAACCCCCTGATTAATGTATAGTTTAAAAATCATTTACTTATTTTGGCAAACCAACAAAAACTTAACAGTTGTTATTTGTTATGGGTCCCTTTGGGTTCTGTGCATTCAGCTTAGCAATGTTCTAACTTCCTGGTAAGCATTACAGTAAGCATCACCTTAAACATGTAACATTGTTTTTTTTTTTAATTTTTTTAACATTATGTTTTTTGAGTGTGGTGGCACACACCTGTAATTCCAGTACTAAGGAGGCCAAAGCAGGAGAATCACTGCGAGTTCAAGGCCAGCCTGAAATACATAGGGAGAACCTGCCTAAAGAAAAAATTCTCTCCACTTCAATTCCAAATCACCTTATATTTTCACAACCATTCATTCATCTCCTATTCTTTATCTTTGGAAGTTGCAATAGCTAGATGTAGAACCCTTTTGTATTTTTTTGGTCCTTAAATATGTTTTCTTTAATTCTATTTAGGAATAAGTTCATTATTTCCATGTGGTTTCTAGGTTGGACAACAACTTAGCATTTCACTACAGAAATAATAAATTACCTAAGAACAGAACCATTCATTTTTGCAAAGAGCAATCTCAAGACTTTCTCCTTCTGCTCCCAAGTCAAATCTCCAATATCCACATTTTTTTGAGTACTTGTCCTAAAGGATTTCAAGGGGTAAAAAGGAGAAAAGGAAAAATGTGGTCAAAATAAGCTTAAAATTCTATACTATAACTGAATATTACACAATGACTACAAAACGAAGTTCATTACAAAATCATAAAGTAAAAGCAGATACCAATATGCTAGCCAATCAAAATGTTAATATAGTTATGAAGATGAGAATAATAAAAAATGCCGGATGTGGTGGTACATGCCTGTAATCTCAGCACTCAGGAGACTGAGGCAGGATTGTTACAAGTTCGAGACCAGCCTTGGCTACAAAGTGAGGTCAAGGCTAGCCTGAACTGCAGAGCAAGACTCAGTCTCAAAAAGACAAAAAAAAAAAAAGAGAGAAAGAAAAGAAAATGACAAAAACTGTAACATGAAAAAATATTTGTGCTCAAACATTCAGCAAAGAAGCAAAATAAGAATACTGTGATCTACCATGTATCCAGATATGGTCAAAGACAAAGTAAGAGAATGTATTGGTGATATTATTGGTGGATGTTTTTCTTATAACATTTCTTTTTATATTAAATATTTTAATATGAAAATAGATTGAAAAAAGTTTTAAAAAACTTAACATTAAATTACAATCTATTTTCGCACCTCAATTAAGGTTGCTTTTAATCTTTCCGGGTAGACTTTTTCCATTTACAGTATTGAGGATTGAACCCAGGGACTTCTCACTGTGTTGCATCCCAGGTACCCAGCCCCCCACCTCTAATAAGTCACCAAATTGCTCAGTCTGGGCTCAAAGTTGTGACCTCTCCTACCACAGCATCACAGAGTGCTAGGTTACAGGCTTACACCACCATTCTTTTCCTCAGGCAAGTCTATGTACTATAACTTTCCCAAAGCATTAGTAATGCACTTACTTTTTACAAAAGTTAATATGTATTGATGTATAACGTAAGAAATATGTTTGTAGATAGCTCAGTTGGGTTAGGTTCTTTAAAAGTTTATGTTTTGCCAATGGATACCATTTATTTCAACTGTCTTTCACCAATCTGCCTCTTAAAATGTAATTTTCTTTCTTTAAAATATGGTGCTACAGATTAAATCCACATGCTAAACATGCTCTCCACTAAGCCACACTTCCAGTTTTCAGAGTTCCTAATATTTTAACCACTGTTTCTGCACTGCTTGTAGAGGCAACAGGACACTGAAGTTAAGTGCTAAGATGCCCAGCAGAAAAAATATCACACAGAAAGCAGAATGGGAAGTCTAGTTTCTACACTAATGTGGCAAATCATATTTAACTTCTCTAACATTTATATATAGTACCTTGTAATATACTGGACAAAATACATATAATACACTGGAAAGAAAGTATACAGAAAACTGCCTTATACATAGCAGAGACTCAACTGATTACATTACATAGTGAAAATTATCAGTCAGGCATGGTGGCACATGCCTGTAATCCCAGCACTCAGGGAGGCTGAGTTCAAACCTACTCTGGGCAACTTATCAACTTAGTCAAATGATGTCTCAAAATAAAAAAATTTTAAAAGGTCTGGAGATATACTTCACTGCAAAGGTCCTAGGTTCAAACCCTAGTATAAAAAAAAGAAAAGGAAAGAAAATTACAGCAAATCTCTTGTTAACACAAGTGGTATTCAGGGGCTGGGGATTTGGCTCAGTGGTGTAAGCACCTGCCTGATAAGCTTGAAGTCATGAGTTCAATACCTGGTACCAAAAAAAAAAAACCCCAAAATCACAAGTGGTATTCAGACTTCTGAATATGGCAAAAAAGTAATAAATTATACTATGGGTATGTAGCCATGTCATATCTGGAGTCTGCCTCTCATGGCTGGCACCAGCCCAGGAGGTTGCCACAGAAATGTTGTGACTCACGGGCCTTGCTCCCTTTGCCTGGGCACACAGATAAGTTTGGTCACAAACAGAAAAATAAAAATAAAAATAAATAAATAAATTATACTCTGGGTATTTTTGAAGAAGTATAATCCTTTCACAGGTCATTAAGCATGTCCAATCCTCTCCACAGCTCTAGAATTCTAAAGAACCTACAAATTAGTCCCTTAAAAAATAATTTAGGGCCTGGGATATAGCTCAATGGTACAGCAGTTGTCTAAATGCAAATGGTTATGGATTTGATTCTCAGCACCACAAATAACAGTAACAATAAGCCGAACACAGTGGCGCATACTTGTACTCCCAGCACTAGAGGCAGGAGATCACAGTGAGACCCCATTTCAAAAAACAATACAAAAATAAATAAAATGCTAAATGTACAGTAGTAATGAGTCCTTTAATTTCCTGAGACCTATGAAGAATCCAATTAAACTGGCACTCAAAGCATACTTTCTTCTCAAAAATCCTCAAAATGCACCATAATTTAATCAATAGCTTACCGGGGAAAGGCTCTGCTAAGAGACACAATGCTAATAGGAAATAATTGTTGTATATAGTCTGCAACTGCCTCATTCGACTACCTTTATCACAAAGGCAGTGTTTTGGAAATTTTGGGAGATTTTTGGTTAATGCAATGATGGAGAAACACTAATTAATATTCTCCAATCCACAGACCATTTCCACACAAAGAATTATTACACTGATTTTTAAAACTTAAATGGTCAATTAATATTTTATTACCTATGAATTTCAACTCAAGATAGTAGAGTACAAAATATATAACAAAGTACGTTTATCAAAAATGTTTAGGGGCTGGAGGTTTAGCTCAGCGGCATAAGCACCTGCCTTGAAAGCAGGCAGTCCTGAATTCAATCCCCAGTACCGATAAAAAGGAAAAAGACAAAAAAAAAAAAAAAAAAAAAAAAATGTTTAACCAGATTCCAGCATTCTGGAAGGCAGAAGCAAGAGGATCACAAGTTCAAGCCCAGCATGGGGAACTTTGCAAGACCTGTCTCAAATGGAAAACAGGGGCTGGTAATGTAAATCAGAATGAAAGAGCTGGATTCAATTCCCAGTACTACCAAAAACAAACAAAGAAAATCACAAAATTATTTATATGTTAGTAAACTTTTAAGCTCACAAAAGTGTGAACAAATTTATCAAAATTCTAATTTTTGTTTGAAAGTTTGAGTTTTATCACTGGCAATAAATATTACCAATTATTTTCCTTAAAGTAACAGGCTCACACTGATTTTATATATTGACACCTTGGTATATTTGATTATTACATTTGCTAAGTTTTTTAGAAATCTCTCCAAAATTTTTATATATATGGTCATGTCTTTTGTAAAAAAAGATATTTATTTTCCACCTATTAAAAAAATCAATTTAACCTAAATCTAATCAAGCCTTTATAATCAATTTCCAACTTCTGTGAAGTAAGATAAAAGAGCCAGGTGTGGTGGCACACGTCTGTAATCTCAGCACTTGGGAGGCTGAGGCAGGTTCCCTGCAAGTTCGCTGCAAGTTCGCAGTCAACCTAGGTTACAAAGTGAGTTCAAGGCCTGCCTGAACTGCATAATGAAACCCTGTTCTCAAAAAAGATTTAAAATAAAGGAACAGGTCCAAAGATATCACAGTGACATTCTATGGGGAAAATAATCTAGTTTCTGACAATTTCTGTCAGAAGAAAAAAGGAGACATCTACTGATAATACAGACTGAACCATGCACCCACGCACATGCATGTTAAATGTAAGGGTTACAAAGATATATAGTCAGTTCCCACCTTCAAATAACTTACTGAGAAAATTGTTCAACAACACTGAATATTAACTAAACTTATTTCTTTAAGGCACACAAAAATAGCACAAAGACAACATATCAAAGTGTTATCAGTACCATTTTTCAGCCTCCATGAGATCCTGATTCACACTGTTGGTGCTGTGTTCTCTGCCGTCAAATGTCCTGATCTGGGGATACTGTGTTTGTCCTGCACAGGCCATTCTCATTTTTAAATTGAAAGCAGCTTGTGCTACCTGTTTATAATGCTTTCTGCTGCTTAGGATCTGTCGCTTCACTTCATATAGAGCATCTAAAAAGAAACTTTCCACTTCTGTTCTCTCGTCCAGTATGTTCTTGGCCAGCTTCTTTATTCGGTTCATTTCCCTGTCCTTCATTTGAAGAAGCTGCTGCAGCTTGTCAATTTCTACCTGACCTGCTTGATTCTCTATCATTGCCTGTTGCTTCACTTTCAAAACTTCAGCCTCAAATTCTTTGGTCATAAAACTCAGAGCATTCTCCAAGCTTACCACCTTCTTCCGAAGAATGTGGATTTGTGCTCTTTGCTGGGTAAGTTGCATTATCTTCTCTTTAACCAGTAGTTCATTGATCTCCTAAAACCAGAAAGATGAGAAAGGGAAAGGGTGTTTTTTACTTCTATCATTCTGAAACCTATAATCACCTCCATAATGTCTATTAATTCAAGAGATTTAAGTTTGATGTCAGAATGAGGTGACCATTTTGGTATTTCTATGAATAGAAAGTCTCGACTTGTGAAGGCAATGCGCTGATTTTGCCAATTATGAAATTTTCAACCTCCTTTAAAATTCTGAAAGTTTAAATATTTTACATTATCAAAGTCAACAAAACTAGACAGTAAAATATTAAACTATATAAAGGAAATTGTGATAGTCTCCTAGTTGCCTTTCTCAGTACCCATTTTCCTTTTCCCTTTCTTCCTCAATAATAAAACCTCAATTTTACTGGACAGTAAGCCCAGCTGAAAAGTTCCCAGTCTCTCTTAAACGGTCAGCATTAATCAAGTGCTAGTCAAATAAATTGTAATTGGAAATATGTGTAGGGCATTCAGGAATACTTCAAAGCAATGTACACCTTTTGTCTTCTTGTCTTTCCTTCCTGCTAGTATGAATAATGAATATAGCTTAGTGAACCTCTTAGTCATTAGGCAACGTTGATGAAATAGGCCATACACTGTAAAGCAGAGCAAAGGAATCTAAGTATCTTTTGACTTTGTGTCACTATCATTCTTGCTGTGGATTATTTACCTCCAGTTTTCCATTAGGTAAAGGAATAAACCCTCATGTGCTGACACTACCTATGTTAGGTTTGTTACACACAGCAGGACTTATCCCTAAGTGATTCAGGAACCAACTATAAACAAAGTAAAATGAATATTCTAAGATAGTAGAGGATAAGAATCATATTTATATTTCTAATGTATTACTTTTTGTTTTGCTTTTTTTGTTTGTTTTGAAGACAAGGTCTCACCATGTGGTTCGAGCTCTCTTGAACTCACAATATAGTATAGGCTGGCTTCAAACTCCTCGCAATTCTCCTGCCTCAGCCTTCTGAGTGGTGGGATTATATGTGTGCACCACCATTCCCAGCCTTCTTATATATTCTTTACAAAGTCATTTTTAGAATTCTTACAAGTCATTCCATATTAATCTTTTCAGAAAGTATATCATTCAGATAGAAGAAAAATGGTCCTATTCTCCTTATATATAATTGTTATACTCAGTTATTAATATTCACCAACTCAATCCTTAAAAAAAAAATTAAGAAACAACATCTAAATGAGAGTGAGAACCTTTTGTTGTAACAGATTGGTATGACTTTCTTTCAGATTCTGGGAGGTTTTTTGTAGAGCATCAGCTTCTTTCAAGTGATATGCAAGACTTTTCTGGAGATAAACATTTTCTTTAAAAACATTTCTTCCAGCAGCATTCAATTGCCTGAAATACACATAAGATCATAAAATATAGGCCTACCTTTTAGATATTAACAAATGAGAATAATGATTGCTTGATCCTCTAACATTAATAATGATGATCTCTGGGCTGGGGACATAGCTCAGTGGTACAGCATTTGCGTACCACTTGAGGCCCTGGATTCAATCCTCAGCATGCATGCATGCACACACACATACAAAGTCACCACTCACTTAGCTTATAGTGGGTACTCAATAGGTACCAGAGGATTTTGTGACTAAGTTCTCACACCACAGGAAAGTGAAAAATAATATATTACTGCCAGATACAAGTTCCCTATACTTTCTCCTACCCACACAACTGAATCTGAAAGTATCTTAAGAATCCAAAATGGGAGCTGGGGATTTAGCTCAGTGACATAAGTGCCTGCCTGGCTAGCACCAGGTTGTGAGTTTGATCCATGGTATACACATACACACACACACACACACACAATCCAAAATGGAGCAGGTTCAATATGGAAGCAGCTCTGCTTCCCAAATGAGCATCAGAGAAGAGCTCCCAAATCCACACTGGATTGTAAGATGAGCAAGAAACAAACCACTGAGACCTGGGAGTTAATCTGTTACTACAAAGCACCTAGTGTTACTGCTGTGAATATACTTCATGACAATCCTGCAAGCTTGCTAATGTTAGCTCTATTTTTAGATGGTGACATTTACTCAGTTGATCAAAAATACAGTGATTTTTTTTAAAAAAAGTAGTAAAAGACATGTTGCCATTAATCCCCCTTAAAATACTCCCTCTTGCTCCAAACTCACATATCCCATCATTCTTCATACTTTCAAAGCAGTCTGGCATTCTCTTTTTTTGTTTTTTGCTTTTCTTTTTAAAAGGCAGTGGCAAACTTTACAAGAGTTTACAAGAAGCTAGCTCTGCACAGCAAGCTTGGAGCAAGTAAATAGAAAAGGAGAGGAGACCAAAGATAAAAGTACAGGCATGAGGAAGCATAGTGTGGGGTATCTGGAAAGCTATCATAGCCTGGCATCGCTTTTTATGAGAGTGTTTAGTGACACTGTCACTACTATCTTGTTCTGAATCACTTCGAAACATTTAACCTTCATGGCCATTTTGACTCTGGGGAAGACCCAGAAGTCACACAGTGTGCTAGATCTGGTAAATAAGGTAGATGAAGACAACTGTAATGTTTCTATAGGCTTGCATTTCCACTGATGGTACTAGGCAGCAGCACTCACATTTTTTTTTAAATCACATCTCATAAAGACAAGCATAAAACAAGACTTTTAAAACTGCTTCAGAAAATGGCAGAACTATGTGATAAGCCTGTTTTTGAAGCAAGGGGGATAATTATGAGGAACATTAATGACGACATGTCTCTTACTGTTAATAGTTTTTTGAAATGTAAACATTTCAGGTATTTTGATCACACTTTGTAATTTCAAGAAAGTTAAGAAATGATAAAATGTTCAGTTAGTACAGGTACAGAGATTTAGGGTCCTACTTCAAAGTTTTTTTCACCATATCTGCTACAGAACAGTGAAGGGAAGTGGGTAGGGAAACAGAGAATGAAACAAGTGAGGGAGAACAGAACAGGTCACTTAAAGAATATAAACCAGGAGACAGGGGGACGGTGAAAAGCTAAGAAGAAAACAGACCAACAAAGAAGCAAGACAGGCTACCAAGAAAAGGTGGCAACAATCTCTTACACCACGGCTTCATGGTGGGCTCTCTCTGCTAGCATTATTATCTTCTTTTCAGCCTCTTGTTCTAACCGGTGCTAAAAGAGAAGACAGGCTGTTTAAACACACAGTTATACAAAAGAGAGCAATTATTTCAGGACTGGAGGTGTAGCTCAGTGGTAGAAAATTTTTCTAGCACACATGACTCCCTGAGTTTTAGTCCCATTACCACCAAAAAAAGGTAATTACTTCAGAATGTCAAATAAAATACTGTCGTTCACATGGCCTGATGTAAGGAATTCTAACACTGTCAAGTAGCCAGCAAAGAGTGTGCAAACGTGAGAACCTTAGGGTACCTCCCAATTCTCTACTAAATAAACAAAATGACACATATGTGGGGTGGTTGTGGGAAGCCACATCCATATTAAAAATGAGAGCTGGAAGAACTTTCTACTAAATGCAATGTGATGAGTCACTCATTTACCCATTGAACACTATTACTGTACCAGGTTGTTTCAGATACCAGCAACTCTGTGGTAAACAAAATAGACAAGACCTTTGATCTCATGAAGCTCATTTTCTAGAGTAGGATTCAACATTAATCAATAATTACAACATACTGAGCATTTCCTATGTGCCAGGTACAGTTCTTAGAGCTTAATATGTATTATTTACGTCTCACAACAACCCTATGAGCCAAATATTGTTACTATTTCCAAAAGTAAGGACTGAGGAAAAGAGAGATTAGAGATCTGTTTGAAGTCACAGAGCTAGTAAGTGGCAGCTAATACACAGGCAACCAGCTGTTACACAAACTCCCTTATGAGAACACAAATGAATAAAAGAGTTAATAGGCTGTGATAAGTGCTATAAATAAAATAAATGTAATTACATGGGTAGGAACTGGGGGACATTTTAGTTTGCAATTTAGGAAGTCTCTCTGAGAATATGGCATGAGCTCTGAAGAATGAGAAGAAGCTATAGTGAGGGAAAACATTCTAGGAACAGACATTAGCAAGTATTGAAATAAGAAGATAGGACAGCACTTTGTGGTTCAAGGAACAGAACAGAATAAATAGGAAAACAAAAGCTAGCACCTGTAAGCTGGGGAAATACTTTATGTGACAGAGTAAACGCATACTTTATGTGATAAGGTGAATGAGCTACTGAAAAGTCTCCTGCCATGAAGCAACAGCCCTAGGCTCAACCTCACATGGGAGATATACCCAGGAAGTCTCTAACCATTTGGCAAGGTGGACAGTGCTGTGGATAGACGGCCAACACTTAATCCCCATTCTACCTTTTCCTTTCCAACTCCAACTAGTGATTAAAAACACAAAACACAAACTTGTTTCTTATATCGCTTTCTTATATTCTGTTTTGTTGTGTTTAATTTTACCCTCTTTAAAAACTAAAAAAAAAAAACCACACTTTCCCAACATCATCATACAGTTTTGGCCAGATTTGTAAGAACAAATCTAGGAGCTTCTAGGAAAGCTTTTATGTCTTCCAGATAAAGGGAGAGATACAGCTAAAACTTTTCCTTCTTTGTTACCTCAAACACAAAAAATCTGGAATACAAAACTTTCTGAGCTGTATTCTTACCCTTTTTACTTTTTATTTTGAGACAGTCTTGCTAAGTTTCCCAGGCTGAACTCAAATTTGTGATTTTCCTGCCTCCGTCTCCCAGAATTCTGAAATTACATGTGTGCACCACCATCCCTGGCTAATACATATAATTTCTGTGTCTTTATATATCAAAAATAAATTTTATAAATAAAGGATCTCTGGATTGAAGGGGGAAAAGGACTAGACATGAGATTTCTTTCTTTCTTTTTTGGGGGGAGGGAGTGGTTTGAGACAAGGTCTTGCTATGTAGTTCAAGGATGGCCTTTGACTCACTATCTAGCCCAGGCTGGCCTCAAACTTGTGGCAATCCTCCTGCCTCAGCTTCTTGAATGCTGAATTACAGACATATGCCACCACACCTGACTAGGCACTGAGATTTCTAGAACCAAAAGCTTTGTTTTACAAGTTTTGTTCTGCTATTACTCAAAAAAATCTAACAAAATACCAGTTGGAAAGTCAGTATTTCTCAAAACACATATAAATACTTATGTTGTTCTACTAACTAAAACATTTCCTTATTAACACTAATATTCTGTACCTTTTCTTCAAAAAATTTGCCTTCCATTCTTCTAAGAGTTTCCTGATGTTTCTTCTCTGTCACTCTTAAATTGTCTTTTAGCTAAAATTAAAAACAAAATGGTCAATGAGAAATAGGGCTTAGTAGAGCATATTCCTAGAAAATACTCAATAAACAAACATTTTCTGTTATGCATTATTTTCTAGTCTTAAATACACACAAAAATTCAGAGTCCTCACCTCTAAGTACCCTATTTCCTCAGTTTTTAGTAGATTTACAAGACCAATATTAAGATTTACACTTTTGTAATTAACAGTTCTCAGGGCATTCAGACAAGTATTTCTTAATCATATTTTCAAAATATCTTCATTTCAAATATGGCATGACAAAATAATAAAATTGGAGAATTGCAAAGGAAATTACAGTCAAATAACAATTATCTCACTTAATAAAAATCCCTTCTAAGAGAAAAATATGTTGGTAGAAATCCACATCTCAATACACCATGTTCCTCATTAATAGTTCTCATTTTTAAAAATTTCTTCCTAATATCAATCTAATAAACATCTTTCTATAATTCCCATGGAGGGATCCTTTTCTTTTTTCTTTCAGTATTGTAGATTAAACCCCTGACAAGTGTGAAGTTGGAGTTTGACTCCCTGTACAAAAAAAAAAGGTTTTAGGACCAGGGGTGTAGCTCAGTGGCTCAGGGCCTGCCTAGCAAGCATGATGTCCTGAGTTTGATTCTCATACCCCCTCCCCAAAAAAATCTCCATTTAGATTAAACCTAGAAAACACTGAGCTACATTCTCAGTCCTTTTTATTTTTAGACCAAGTCTCACTAAATTGCCTGCACTGGTCTCAAACTTGTGATGTTTCTGCCTCAGCCTCCCAAGTAGCTGAGATTACACGTGTGAACCACTGAGCCCAATAGGATGAATCATACTACTGTTCTCTAAAACTGTATAAACTAAAAAAGATATAAAACTTTTAGACAAAGAAATTTAATCTAAAGCAATGATCTGTAGTCTATTGGCAAGAATAAATTATGGCTGAAATAGGCATAGTTTATCTGTTGGTCCATTAAAACAGGCTGTAGAATATAAAAAAAAAAAAAGGCTGTAGAATAAGGCTTTCCATTAGATAGAGTGCTCTCTTCTCACTAGCAATTTGATTGGGCTAATCATTTAACTTCTCTAAGTCTCAGGCTTCCAGGTTAAAAAAAAGAAAGAGGATAGTAATAGTATCTATCTCATAGAGGTAAGGCAAAGATTAAGTAACAACAGGTGTAAAGTACTTAAGCATAGTAATCATTTAATATATTGATTAGTTAATATCATTTCTAATATTGTCCTTCCTTAAATGTAATGACTGTTCTCCCTGTGATCTCTAACTGTATTAAATCTCCATCCATTATATTTTTGCAGTACAGGGGATTAAATCCTTTGCATTGAACCACACAGGCTATCACTAAGTCATTAAATTGCCAAGGCTAGGTTTGAATTCATATTCCACCAGCTTCAGTTTCTCAGAGTGCTGGGAATACAGGCCTGTACTACCACACCCAGTTTAAACCTCCATTTTATATGATCTTTTTCAGATGTTCCTTTTTCCTTTTCCTAATTTTATACATTTATTTTTAATGGCCTCTTAATTGTTTCATACTTCCAAAATTAAAGTCACCATAAGAATTTAAGGAAACATTTTCCATACTGCTGTAAGGAAATAAATGGTCTTTTCATATGCCACTAGGCTCCTCCCAAACTCTAAATTAATCTTTCAAAAGATAACTAGGCAATGCACAGCACCTTTAGAAGTTCATGAGCCAGAAGCCAGGGGTGGTGGTGCACACCTATAATACCAGCACTTGGGAGGCTGAGGCAGGATCGCTGAGTTCTGAGTTTGAGGCTAGCCTGGGCTACATAAGTGAGTTCAAGGTCAGCCCGAATTACATAGTGAGACCTTGCCTTCAAAAAACAAAACCAAACAAAGAAACCTTCATGATCTTTTTTAAACAGAGGGCATGGGAACTCATTATACTGCCCAGGCTGGAGTATAGTAACTCTTTACAGTGCCATCACACTTCAGATTGGCAACCTAGCGGCCCCGACTCCATGTGATGGTCACCATGTGATGCCACCAACGTATGGACAACCAAGAAGCACAGAGTACTATGGCCTGAATTCCAACCCCCACCTCCCAGTAGCAAAGATCACATACACGTCACCAGATAATGATGCCCATATTGTTTAGCCCATATATTCCACTTCTAAGAAGTTATCCTAAAAATTAAAAATAGAAAACTTCATTTCATAGATGTTCATCACACTTTCTAATAGTGAAGTCCAAATGATGACAGCAAATAATAATATATTTACCAAATGGAATTCCATAGTTATATCAAAGAGTCTGTAGATTTTTTTTTTTTTTTTTTTTTTGAGACATGGTCTTGCTATGTAGTTCAAACTGGCTTTGAGTTCACTATGTAGCCCAGGTTGGCCTGAATTTGTGATGATCTACCTGCCTCAGCCTCTTAAGTGCTGGGATTACAGGCATGCATCACCATATGCTGGTATTTAATGTTACTGAAATATTTAAATAATACATTATGAACAATCAGCCTAACAGTTTGCATGTCATGATTTAACTTTTATAAACATAGCATACTGAAGTTTTAAAATATATTTCTGGTGCATGCCTGTAATCCCAGCACTCAGGAGGCTGAAGCAGAAGGATCGTTGCAAGTTTGAGGGCAGTCTGGGCTACAAAGTGACTTTAAGGCCAGCCTGAACTGCATAGTGAAATCCAGGCTCGAAAAGACAAAAAAAAAAAAAAAAAGACCATGCACCAAAATATTAACAATGATCATCTCTAGCTAGTGTAATTGGTGGGGGTAGAGTTACTTTTAATTTTCTTTTATCTGTTAGGCTAAATTTTTTTTTTTTTGTCTTTTTCCTTTTTATCGGTACCGGGGATCGAACTCACGACTGCCTGCTTCCAAGGCAGGCGCTTATGCCGCTGAGCTAAACCTCCAGCCCCTAGGCTAAATTTTTGAAAATGAACATCACTGTTAAAAGAAGACTAAAATGATTTTTAAATAACTGCTACCAAAAAAACCAAAGAAATAAAAATAACTACAACCTACCTGTTCCTTCTGTTATTCTGTAGACAGACATTGGGCATATAGGCAACCACCTGTAATCCCAGCACTCAAGAGGCTGAGGCAGTACAACTGCCTTAGTTCCAGGCCAGTCTAAGCTAACTAGCAAGGCCATTATAAAAATAAAAAAAAATTTTAAAACACAATCCTCCACCCAAAAAAACAAACACAAAACATAAAGTAGAAACTTTTTTTAAAGATGTATGCTTTGAATATTTTTTGAATCTTTTTTCAAGTTGTTCAACAAATTCTATACTGTATATATACAGAGCAAAACTTTCTGCCTTAATGCATATCTTGCAATTTTAAATTCATAGGTCCCACATCTTCCTCATTTCTTCGTTACTTGGGATTCTACAGAACCATCTTACATTTTCCATAAACCATTAACTTTTGCCTTTGAATTTTAAACCAGCAGTCTCCTTTCACCAGTCCTGAATTTATTTCTCCACCAGGTGGCAACACTTGCTTCTTAAAAACGAAAAAAATGACACCAAGGACCAGCAGAGCACGAACAGCTAGTTTTCAATTCGAGTCAGAATGTGTATTTGTACATGGGGTGGCTACTTTGAGAGTTCTTGAGAGGTTAAGTATATTAATTCAATCAGCAACACCTTTACATAAAACAAATAGTTGATATTTCTTCCAGAAAATATATTTCTTCAATTGTGGTTGTTTTTGCTTTTAAGACTACCAAAGAAAAACAAAATATTTAGAGATCTGACAATTTTGGGAAACCTAAGTAATGGGAGTTAGACCCGATGAGGGTCTTCTGGGATATCAGAGGGACCATCCTCTGAAGTAGCTCGATGCTTCTCCAGCTTAGCAATCACTTCTTTAGCAGGATTGAATACACCGTTTGTCTGCTGGTCACAGACATAGCAGCGCGAGGTGGTGCGGAAATGCTGCAGTGCACAGCTCTCGCAGAAATAATGCTTGCACTTGGTGACAACTGGGTTTTTAAAGGTCTGACGGCAGATGAAGCATTTGAACGGTATTTCCTCATCATCGCTTCCCACTTCGTAGTTTTCGTCCTCGCAGACACCATAACGACCCTCATCCAGCTCACGCTCGATCTGCCATCCGTGCTTGTAATCTGAACGGTCGTGGAGGAATTTGCAGCTGTCTCCGAAGCCGCAGAAGCCAGTCTCCTTGTAGTCCTTACAGATGTCGGGCTGGTAATCCCAGCGCACGGTGGCCCGCAGATGTTCAGGCGCCCTGATGGGTCCCTTCCTCACCATGCCGGAGGAGGCATTGCCCATAGACGTATCCTTGGGTTTCATGTATTTCTGGTAATTATTGATTCCCCTATAGATCTTGTCATCCTCCTTGCCCCTCAGCTCTTCCTGGATCTTCTGGCTGCGCTCAAAGATGGCCTGTGCGTCTCGCTCCTTCTCTGTGTCCAGTTCGTAGACCGCTGTCGCTCCCATATCCTCTGGCCCCACAGGCTTCGCCGAACGCGTGGACTTGTACACCACACCCAAACCCTCACTCTCCTCCTCTTCCTCGCTGCTCAGATCACCGTAGGCAGCCTTCTGTTTACTGCTGCCACGGGTCTTCTGTATCATCGGGTTGTGGGTCGCCCGCTTCTTCTCGGGTCGCACCACAGTGCTGCCTTCGTCACCACTGCTATTGCCATTTCCGGGCTCCGCGTCACACACCGGGCGCTTTCGGTTGCCCGCGGCCCCTTTCCGCCTGGGCTTTTTGAAGAGAAAGGTGCACACCTGGTCTGCCGACTCCGCAGGAGAAAGTCGCTCCGCCATGTTGGAGAACTAAGCGCCTAAACTCCTGCTGAGGCGGCGGCCGCTGGGTGACGCGAACCTTACGTCACTGCGCTCGAGCGACGCGCTACGCCCGAGGCCCGGACCGAGAGTTTTAGTGCGCAGGCGCCAGCCTCCCCAGCAGGGTTTCATGGGGGAAGGTTTTGCAAAGCTTTGCTGTGTACCTTGTATTTTGTCAATATAAACACAACGCCGTTCGTGCCTCAAAGAATTTACAGTCTTACACAGGAAAAGACAAATAAATATGTAGTATGGCCTAAGTAGTATAAAAAAATATATATAAAATGCCATGGAAAGGTATAGAAAATAAAGTTCTTTTAACAAAGGCTTTTAAGAGAAGCTTCATGGAGAACAAGTTTTTGAGTTGAGCCTTTGAAAGGTAAAAATTTAATGGACAAAGAACTAAAAATATATTCTAGCCGGCCGTGATGTCCCACAACTATAATCCCATCACTCAAGAGGCTGAGGCAGGAGGATCCCTGAGTCCCAGGTCAGCCTGGACTTCAAAGTGAGTTTACGACCAGCCTGAACTATATAGCAAGACCCTGCCTCAATCAATCAGTTGAAATATTTAAACTATTTAAAGTGTCAACAAAAGGGAGAACCTTAAGAAATAAGTGAATATCCAGTTCGAGAGAATTTAAAGGAGCGTGTGTGCAGAGAAAGCCAGGGTGGTGTAGCAAAGGAGATAATGTCTTTAGGTAGGTTAGGGTCTTTTGTTTGTTTGTGATTGTTTGTTTGTTTGTTTGTCTTTTCCCTTTTTATTGGTACCAGGGATCAAACTCACGACCGCACACTACTTGCAAGGCAGGCACTTATGCCGCTGAGCTAAACCCCCAGCCCTTAGAATAGGGTCTTTAACACTAATACTTTTGGGACAAGATGCCGTTTAGAGGGGAGAAAGTGAAAAAACTTTTGGGAAGTGGTAGTACATCCCCAGTCCAATTTTTCAAATTCTCCCCTAGTTTCCCAGGCTGAGCTCAAACTTAGTCCTCCTGCCTCAGTCACCCAAGATGCTGGGATTACAAACTCAGCTCCCAAAGATAATTCTTGAGGGAAGTGATATCAGAACTGTGATATTTCCAGGTTACTCCTGCAGCTGTATACACTTTGGATTCAAGTGATATGATGGTCTTAAGATACATCCATGAGCAACTCATTCAGGACCCTCCTGTCTCTCAGGAGCTATTCTGTTCTTCATTTCCCATTCCTATTCCTCATTCATTTTCTCCAAGAAATTTTCCTATGCTTAAATAAAATAAAAGTAAAATACATCCACAATTCTTTGACACTCCTCTCTTCAAATGATGAAACCTAATTCCCTGCCCTTATAATGTGGGCCATCACTTCTAAATAATAGTATAAGGCAAAAATGATACTATGTGACTTGTAAGGGCAGAGTATATGCATTGTCAAGGAAGGAAAAAAGAAAAAAAGGAGGAAGGAAGAAAAAAGAGGGAAAGAGGAAGAAAGGAAGGCTTCTGGTTGTCTGTCTCTCCTATTACTCTAGGTAATCTGCGATTACCACCAGTCTCATGAGGCTACTCAAGCACTTAGAGAGAGTCTGAGGTTTCCTAATCATCAGCAACAACTTGACAGCTATGTGAAGTGTGTTATCTTGGAAGTGGATCCTCAGCCTCCAGTCAAATGTTGAGATCACTGTATCCCTGCCTATAATATTTATACCATGGAAATTAGCAAATGTTATAAATCAGGACCTTTAAAAATTCTATTGGTACATTTTAGATATACATGTATAATGATCGTATTCATCATAGGGAATTTGTACCTGTACACGATATATCTTGCTTCTTTTTTTCTTTTCCCCTTGCCTCTCATCAACCCCTTTCGCCCTCCTTATTTACACAAACTTTGTTTCCATTTTTCCTTTTTATTCTCTTTATTTTTCTTATTCTTTCCTTCTCTCCCCTCCATTGTTCCCCTTCTCATTTGAACATTTTCTTCCTATTTTCTCATATTTATTATACATTTGGGCAAAACTTTTTTTTTTTTTTTTTTTTTTGTCTTTTTCCTTTTTATCGGTACCAGGGATCGAACTCACGACTGCCTGCTTGCAAGGCAGGTGCTTATGCCGCTGAACTAAGTCCCCAGCCCCTGGGCAAGACTTTTAAATATATATTATTTCATGTCATTCTACAACAACCTGCAATAAGAGTGTAAGACTATGTTTGTTTGTTTGTTTTAAGCCTTTTTTTTTTTTTGTACCAGGGATTGAACTCATGACCTTGCATTTACCAAGCAAGCGTTTGAGCCACTGAGCCAAATCCCCGGCTCCTTGTTTCTTTCTTTTTTAAACAGGGTTTTGCTATGTGGTTCAGGCTGGCTTTGAACACTTTGTAGCCCAGGTTGGCCTCAAACATGCAGCAATCCTCTTACCTCAGCCTTCCAAGTGCTGAGAGTAATTCTTATCCTCATTTTACATATGCAAAAAATAACTTTGCCTACACTCAAAAAGCTCATTTCAGCTAACAGTGTAATTTTTTGTTTTGAATCAAACTCTGGACCTTGCACTTGCCAGGCGACACTTGTTGCTGAGCTATATCCCTGGCCCCATAATAGTGTCATTTATTACATTATCACCAAAACAATAAAATTATATTCTGAGCTAAAGGAATGAAAAGCAAGGAAAAAAGCATAGCAAGGTCTAAGAAATTCTCTGAGAGGGCTTAGCATTCCTCACCCTATGTACCTGTATCCAAAGAGCTAAATTTTTCTAAAATTACCATTCATGATACTATATCTTCTTTTACAAATTTCTCAAGTCTCTTTTAAGAAAAAGGAAAGAAAAAAAGAGAAGAATCTAACTTACATCGTTTAATTCTTTCTCCATTTGAATTTTTCTCCTCTGGAATTGTTTTATTGTTTTCAGCTCTGTCTGAATCACGCCAATTTCTTTGGCTTTTACATTGAACTGTGCCTCCAGCCTGCTTATTTGCACAGCATACTTTTCTTCCTGTATTTGAAAAAGAAGTAAATGAATTAGGAGAAACAGAAGTCCACAGAGTCACGTTCTATTTGAAACCCTGAGGCATTTATATTTATCTTCTTTGAAGAAATAACCTATCTTTCCCGTAAAGTTTAAATTTCTGTAAAATGATACCAACTTCATTGAATTAAAAAATCCCGGACTGCACTTAAGTCACAAGTTAAAGTTCCACCAAGGCAACTTACTGAGATCCTGTCTCTAAATAAAAATAAAAGGCCTAAAGATGTTGTTCATTGTAGGGCACTCCTGGGTTTGAGCTCTAGTATGGTCCCCCAGAAAATTCCTGGAAAATTTTCTTTACACACTGGTCTTGTATAGGAAAGGAAAAAGTAAAATAAAAAGGATGACTCAGTGGTAGAACACTTGTCTAGCATGTGCAAAGCTTTGTGTTCAATTCCCTGTGCTGTCAAAATCCAAAAAAACGCAGGGAGGGAGGGTTGTACGATAAGAAAAACAGATCTATAACCTGTAAGAAGGATAAATGACAAGTTATTCAAGTTAAAATTAGTAAGCTAGGGGCTGGGGATTTAGCTCAGCGGCATAAGTGCCTGCCTTGAAAGCAGGCAGTCATGAGTTCGATCCCCGGTACCGATAAAAACGAAAAAGACAAAAAAAAAAAAAAAAAAAAAAATTAGTGAGCTAAGGGACAAAAGGAAGGTAAATATCCCTAGTAAACAACAACAATAAAAATGGTTGAAGGAAGAAAATAGAGGGAAACAAAAGACAGGAAAAGGAGAAATAAGATAAGAAGTGGAAGGTAAAAGAAGAGAATAGAAGGGGCTGTGGATTTAGCTCAGCGGCATAAGTGCCTGCCTTGCAAGCAGGCAGTTGTGAGTTCGATCCTGGTACTGATAAAAACGAAAAAGCCAAAAAAAAAAAAAAAAAAGAAGAAGAGAATAGAGAGAGAAGGAGATGAAAAGGACAAAAATGAACAAAAGCTATTTAAAAAGTGTAAATGGCCCACAAACATATGAAAAATATTCAACCTAGCTCATAAGAAGAGAAATTCAAACTAAAACTACACTGAAAAGCTATTTTTCTCCTATTACCAGAAAAAAGTTTGACCATATAGCTTATTGGCAAAGCTATGGAGAAACATGCAGTCTCATGTAATTAGTGGTATTGCAAATACCTATACAAGGAAATTTGCCAGTATTTACAAAAATCACATATTTTCTTTGACCTAGCAAAACCACTTACTGAAATATATCCCAAAGACACAGTAGCCAAAACATGAAAAGATGTGATCACAAGGTCCTTTGTTGGAGGCGGGGTGTGTTGGCAAACACCTGTAACCTCAGCACTCACAGCACTCTGGAGGCTGAGGCAGTAGGGTCCCCATGACTTTGAGGCCAGCCTGCGCTATGTAAGCAAGTTTAAGGCCAGCTTCAACTACATAGTGAGACCCTATTTTTTTAAAAAAGATGCTTTATTGGAGCACTAACTGTAGTAACAAAAGACTGAAAACAACACAATTATCTGTTGAAAGGAAACTTCTCTGAGCTGAATGTTGGTGCCACCCTCCCACCGAAATCATACATTAAAGCCCTAGTTTCCGGTGGTATGTATGTGGAGGTCCAGCCTTTGGAATGTAATTAGCTTTAGATGTGGCCCAGAGGGTAGAGGTTCCGTGAGGGCAGTGGCACCTTCACAGGAGATGAACTTGTCCGGAAGTTTCACTCCCTCCATGTGAGAATACAGGAAGGAGGCAGCTGGCTGTGAAGCAGAAGGAAGGCCCTCACCAACAACCTAACCATGCTAGTGCTCTAACTTCAAACTTCAAGCCTCCACAACTATAAGAAACAACTTTTTTGAGAAACAATTTTTTTTAAGCTACTCAATTTACTCTGTCACGGAAGCTCATCTGACTTAAGACAGAGACCATTTGAGTAAAATATTCTATATCCACACAATGGACTACAATACAACTATAAAAAATAATGCACATATACATAACTATCATATACACATACATATTGTCATGGTATCTCCAAAAAATACTATTAACATGGAAAAAAAGATACAGGTCTTTGCATTCTTTATGCTACCTTTTATTTGAGAAAGAGGAGGTATGGTATATATTTATACTTATTAAAAACATAAGTTAATATATATATTTTGTTTTGTTTTGTTTGAGAGGCTGAACTTGTTTATGTAGCCCAGGCCTCAAACTCACAGGGATCCTCCTCCTGCCTCAGCCTCCTGAGTGCTGGGATTATAGGCTTGTGCTACCATGCTCTGCAGTAAATATATATATATATATATATATATATATATATACACACACACACAAATATTCCATTAAAAAGGATTACTTACTATATAAAATACATAGATAGAGGTTAGATTTCTTAACATAAACCTTATTTTGTAGTGTTGGTATATTTTATGTAAATGCAATAACTATAAAATTTTACATGTAAAATCACATTTTTTTTAACTTTTTTTTTTTTAACAGTACCCCCCAGCCCCCGTAAAATCACATTGTTAAAAAGCGAATTCTAGGCTGGGTTTGTAGTTTGGTGACAGAGTGCATGTTTAGCATGTACAAGGTCCAGGATTCAATCCTTAGCACCAATTTTTTTTAAAAAAAGCAACCTCTAAAACTCAAAAGCAAAAGCCATTGCTGAGTCAGTACACAACCTCACAGAAAATAGTTTCTTTCTGTGGTACTGGGGATTGAAGTTAGGCTCTTCATACGAGGCTGCTTCTCCAATTCCCCTCACTTTTTCAATGTTTAATTTTAATTTCTTGTTGCTGTTGGTACCAGGGATGTAACTCATGACCTCACACTTACCAGACAGATACTTATGCCACTGAGCTAAATCCCAAGCTTCAATTTTTAATTTTAAAACAGGTTCTCATTAAGTCACTAAGTTGTCACGGCAGGGTTCAAGTTTGCAATCCCTCAGAAGGCAAAGAAGAGGGTAAATGGGGCTGGGGATTTAGCTCAGCGGCATAAGCGCCTGCCTTGCAAGCAGGCAGTCGTGAGTTCGATCCCTGGTACCGATAAAAAGGAAAAAGACCAAAAAAAAAAAAAAAAAAAAAGAAGGGGTAAAAGAAAAATGCAGCCAGGAGGGAAGGGAGAAGGAGAAGGATGTAAAAAAAGTAAGATGTGTTATGTACCAACTCTTCATGATGAATGTCATCATTATGTGCCACAAACATGTACCAATAAAAAAAATCTGCAATGCTTGAAATGACAAGTGTGTCACCCTGCCCCCACTCTTTTCACTTATTGGGTCTTACACACCTGAGCTCACTAGAGACTTGACTACCAAGTAAGTACACATACCAGTTTTTCCTTCTCCTCTTGGGCTTTTTCCTTTGTTTCAACCAGTTGCTGTTGCAGCTTTTCAATCTGTAGAAGACAAAAATAGAGTCGGAAAGATGAACAAATTTCTACGTCTTACCTTTATTCATGTTTTAGTGTCTTACATAATATTAAGACTTTTTAAAATATCAAAACCTTTAATGTCAGAAATGAAGTGAGGTAAGAGAGTGGGAGTGGTCAGAACTTCCCAATACACTTAATCTGCTATTGCCAGTTTCCAAAAACCAAGCCACCATCACAATTACCCGGGTAACTTTTTTCTTTAAAATTATGGTTAAAAAACATAACAAACCAGATGTGGTGGCACATGCCTGTAATCCCAGCACTCAGGAGGCTGAGGCAGGAGGATCACCATGAGTTTGAGGCCAGCCTGGACTACATAGTGAGACTGTGTCTCAGTAAAACAAAAGTAACAACATTATATTTACCATGTTAACCATGTTTAAGTATACAGTTTAGTACACTTAATTATAGTAAATTATACTGTTTACATTGCTGTACAAAAAAATCCCTAGAACTTTTCATCTTGCAAAATTGTAATTTGGTGCCTATGAAACACCAGTTCCTCCCTTTGTTCCTCTCTAATCCCTTAGCAACCACCTCTTTGTTTCCACAATTTGACTACTTTCTATACATTAAATGAGTGGATCTCTTGTTGCTGTCTTATTTCATTTAGCATGATATTCTTGAGGTTCACTCATGTCACAAGATTTTTTTTAATCTTTTTGAGCCAGAGTCTCACTGTGCAGTTTAGGCTGGCTATGAATTCACCCGGTAACCCAGGCTGGCTTCACACTCACAGCGATCCTTTTGCCTCAGCCTCCTGAGAGCTGGGATTACAGACATGTGGCACCACACCAGGCCCGGCTGCTGATGTTAATTTTAATCAGTTAGTTAAATTTATAGTTTTCCAGGTTCTCCATTTAAAAATTGCTCTTTTCATCTGGCGTGGTGGTGCACACCTGTAGTTCCAGCACTCAGGAAGCTGAGGCAGGAGGATTGCTGCAATTTCAGGACCAGCCTGGGCTACAAAGTGAGTTCAAGGCCAGCTTGGACTGCATAGCAAGATCCTGGCTCAAAAAAGAAGGAAAAAAAAAAAAGCTCTTTTCCATTTGTAATTACTATGTAATTTGTGGGGCCGTATTTTGAGAATTTGCAAATATTCTTCTCCTTATCAAACTTTCACCCACTCCATCTAACATTTATAGATAACTTTTGACTGATTCACCTACTACTATAATGCCAAATGGTAATTTTCCTTTTTTTTTTTTTTTTTTGTCTTTTTCCTTTTTATCAGTACTGGGGATCAAACTCACCACTGCCTGCTTGCAAGGCAGGCGCTTATGCTTATGCCGCTGAGCTAAATCCCCAGTCCCTCTTCAAATGGTAATTTTCCTAACTCCAGCATTCCTTAAAAATGTATCAACTAGCATTCCACTGTAAGGAAAACTTTACTTGGGGATGGGGATTTAGCTCAGCGGCATAAGCGTCTGCCTTGCAAGCAGGCAGTCGTGAGTTCGATCCCTGGTACCGATGAAAAACGAAAAAGATATAAAAAAAAAAAAAGGAAAACTTTACTTTTACTTGTTTTGCTTGCTTCTTCATTTTGCGGTGCTGGAGAATTGAACACACAGCTTTGTATATCCCAGCTAAGTGCTCTATTAACTGACCTATATCCCCAGTCTTTAATGTATGCATTGATCTATTAGTAGTGTGAATTCATGATAATCTATTATTGTCATGATTACTTTTGCTTATCCCAGGTTTTGAAAATTCAAGACCCACTAAGCTGGCCCCTGTGTCCTTTAACATTTTTTTACTTTATGACACAATAAGATAGTCCTGTTATATCTTTTATATATCTTGCCCCAGTCCTGGAATCAATAATTTCTCTAATCAGTTCCAAGCATTTCTCCAAGGAATGCTGGTTCATTTTAGTAGAGAAGTGGAATAGCTTTTACACTAAAGATTCATTGACAGTTTTAGAATCAGGGGACACAGAAGTGAGATATGGATGTAAATACTATCTTAGACCTGATTAAGAAAAATCTGGAAATTGTAAAATAATAAGTTGGCACAGTCCTGAATTATACTGGACTGTTTCAATTAATCTTATTAATAAGATTGTTTTATGATTGACTCAACAAAGCCTAAATACAAAAACTCATTCTTAAGAAAAACTTCCCTCTTGAAAAATTTATAAGAAAAGCACTTAATTTTGTTCAAGATAAAAGTTTTCTAAACATTTCATAAAATGTGCAAATATTGTACTGTTTCATAAAATGTGTAAACATCATATTGTTTCATTAGTCTGAGAAGCTGAAAGAAAAAACATATATATGTATATAAAAATAGTTAAGATAGTTATACTACTGATTTCTCTGAGTTCGCTGAAGAGTAAGATTGGTGCTGGTATTGTTCAGATAATTGAACACAGATGTCTCATGCTGTGGGTGAGTGATTTGGGGATGACAGTATACAAAGTATATACCATTGATGTCCCTGATTAACATGTTTTGAAATTTTGTTGTTTTTTTTTTTCTTCTTTCTCTTTCTTTCTATCCTTGAATAACTTGAATCTGGAAAAAAATCCCCTACTTAAAAAAGAAAGAAAGAAAATAACATATTTCCAGAACACAGCAGAATGGGTAATAAACTATGGTCAATGCCCGGTTTGGTGGCTGTGCCTGCTGCCCAAGCTACTCAGAAGGAGAAGTGAGAGAATCATTTGAGCCTAGAAGTTCAAGGTTACCCTGGAGAACATAGGGAGATCCTGTCCCAAAACAAAACAAAACAAAACAGCTAGTTAACCAGGATAAATTTAATCTATTTTTTAATTCCTTCCAAAATAGTTTCTGTGGTTTATTGTTGCTTGCTTGGTGTTGGCAATTGAATTGAACCCATTGCCTTGACTATGCTAACCATGTGCTCTACAACTATGCTACATCCCTAGCCACAGACCCTTGTTTTTAATGGGAATCCCTTGTTGCAAGAAAACATTTGCTACAGCCAGATGCTAGTCTGTAATAGCATCTGCAGATGACAACCTGAAAACATAAGTGATACCAATAAATACAAATCATTATCAATTAGTTAATACAGGACACAAAGCATTTATGGAGTAAATTTTGAAAATAATGTTTATGGTTGGTGAAAAACTTACTTTAGAATAATGTATTTGTAATAGCTACTGTTCAAAGAATTGTTTTATTTTATGCATGTATCTATTTATTTTGAGACAAGGTCTCACTGTGTAGTTCAGGCTGACACTGAACTCACTATGCAGCCCAGCCTGTCCTCGAACTCAGTGATCCTCCTACCTAAGCCTCCCAAGTGGGATTATAGGTGTGCACCACTATGCCAAACCTTTCCAATTTACTTTCAATATCATCTTGAATTTAGGTTTTATTGCTACTAACTATAAGGCTACTTTCTTTATGGATTCATAAGTAAATAGTAAAAGTAAAAAAAAAAAAAAAATATATATATATATATATATATATATATATATATGGCAGGAAGAATACATCCTGAACATAGTGGAAATTTCTTTGGATTTCCAAGTGGTTTATAGAAGCAGAAAGGAAAGAGAAGAATTTGGTGTAACTATATGATTTGGGGCTATCCACTCTTTCTGAGAGTTGGTTTCTTTGCAAAATAGGAGCAACACACAAGTGTAATAGTGCAGAGCTGTAATCCCAGCCGTGGGACACGAGACGCAAAAGAATCACAAATTTGAGGCCAGCCTGAGTAATCAGGGAGAACTGGTCTCAAAATAAAGGAATGAATGGACTAGGGATGGAGCTCAAGTAGAGCACATCTGCCCCAGTACGAAGAAAGAAAGAAAGAAAGAAAGAAAGAAAGAAAGAAAGAAAGAAAGAAAGAAAGAAAGAAAGAAAGAAAGAAAAGAGAAGCAATATTGTAGCTAAATGCGTTTCTTAAAAGGATTGAGTAAAATAATTCAGGCACAGCACCCAGAATAACTCATGACACCTTCCGGATGTGGTGGCACTGCCTGTAATACCAGGACTAAGAAAGTTGAGCCAGGAAGATCAAAAGTTCAAGCCCAGCCTGGGCAACTTCTTGATTTACAGAGACTGTATCTTGAAATTAAAAAAAAAAAAAATTAAAGGCCTGGAGATGTGAAGGCCCTGGGTTGATCTCTAGTCACACACACACACACACACACACACACACACACACACACACAGTTAACTGTACAGTCTTTACAAGATTCCTTGATCTCCTGAGGTTTCAAGGAATTAAAATTCTTGAAAAATATAACCAGGCCAGTTACTACAGAGGTAATGAAGGCTTTCTACTTACATACCTACCATATTATCTTTTTCCTGCTCCTGCCTCTTCATATAGTTTAATATAGACATGGTGTCTTTCTCCATTTTATACTGTTGTTTCTTAAAGTCTTCATTACTTTTGGCAAGTCTCCAGCAAACATCACGATACTCAGTCCTAGAGAGTTCCGTGATCTCCAACCTTCCCTCCCAAAGGGAGGCATTCGCCTTGGCTTGATCCACCACAGAGATAGAGTCATCTATTTTTCCTATTTTCCTGCATGGGAAAAGGATGTTGATAGTATAGAACTGTGTCTACTATATCAGTGAGCAAATATTGTTGCATGAACGGGTTATGTAATAATAAATATATATTTACTAGTATTCACACACTTTCAAGTAGGTACTGATTCCTGGGAGAAGAGAGCTATAGAGTATCTGAATTCTATTTTTTTTTTTTTATTGGTACCAGGGATCTAACTCACAACCACCTGCTTGCAAGGCAGGCGCTTATGCCTCTGAGCTAAATCCCCAGCCCCCTATGTATACATCTTACCCGAGTTACAACCCCAGCCCTTTTAAAAACATTTTTATTTTGAGAAAGCCTCGCTAAATTGTTCAGACTGTTTGACCTTCCCAAGTAGTTGGGACTATAGGCATGCATAACCATGTGTGTCTCACAATCTTTCATTTACCTCTTTCTTTCATATTTGAACTATCTTTTCTATTTCTACTCATTTGGTTGAGAATTTTGGTTCTCTTCACTGGAGACCTATTCCCTAATTTGTTTCTTTTTTCATGAGGATACACTATTAAGGTACCTGTAATCTCCCCATTCGTGCTACCCCCAATTTTGTTTTGGGGTTTTTGTTTTGGCTAGGCCTTGTATAAAAGAGTAAGTTACTCTGGCAAATACAGCAAATATTTTGTTAGCTAGTACTACAGTGTGCAAGACAATAAAAATGTCTGAGAGACAAATATCATTCACACGAAAGTGGAGAGAAAAAATATAGAGAGTAGGGTTGTGGCTCAGTGGTGAAGTACTGGATTTAATCCCTAGTACCATAAAAATAAAATAAAATACATTGGTAAATAATAAAAGGATAATCCAGGTACAGTAGCACATACCTGTAATCTCAGCACTCGGGAAGCTGAGGCAGGAGGATTGTTGCAAGTTTGAAACCAGCCTGGGCTACAAAGTGAGCTCACGGCCAGCCTGAACTGCATAGGGAGTCTCAAAAAGGCCAAAAAATGATAATAAAGGGGTACATTCAAAGATTAAAGTGATAAAAGGGAGCTAGCTAAGGTGGTACATGCCTGTAACCTCAGTACTCAGCAGGCTGAGGTGGAAGGATTGCTGGGAATTCCAGATAGTGTGGGCTACATAGTGAATTCAAGGCCAGTTTGAACTACATAAGCAAACCTTGTCTCAAAACAAAAGCAAAAAAGTGATAAAAGGAGAATTTTTTTTTTTTAGCCAGGTGTCACGGCATATTCCTGTAAGCCCAGTACGGAGAGTCTGAAGTATACATAGTGTGAGTCCAGCATGGGCAACTTAGTGACTTAGCAAGATCCTATCTCAAAAGACAACATAAAAAAGGGGCCTGGGGTTGTAGCAGGAAAGCACCGGGTTCCTCAGTATGAAAAAAAATATTTATTGAACAAACAAAATTGTATGGTAGGTACTAGTTAAATGTAGAATATATAAAAATGTCACTTTATTGGGGCTGGGGTTTAGCTAAGCAGCATAAGCACCTGCCTTGCAAGCAGGCAGTCGTGAGTTCCATCCCCAGTACCGATAAAAAATGAAAAAGACAAAAAAAAAAAAAGTCACTTTATTTACCTACTAAATACTCTCACACATTTTTTTTTTTGTCTTCTTCGTTTTTACTAGTACTAGGGATCAAACTTACGACCGCACACTTGCAAGACAGGTGCTTATACCACTGAGCTAAATCCCCAGCCCCTCTCACACATTTTTGAATAGACCTTTTCATAATGCACTCCTCAGTCCTGGGTTCTCAGCACCTTCCCATTCCTACTTTTGTTCTCTTCAGATTAGGGCCAGCCCCAGCCCCAGCCCCTCACCCCCAGACTGTTACAAGGTGTTGACCTCAGAATCTGTGATTTAGACACCAGTAATAATCACCTTGTTGTAAATCATCCAGCTGCCCTCTGAAGGTACCAGAATAGTTAATGCAAGAAGTTAGACACCTCACATAGAAGGACCACTATTATGGTTTATACAGAGAGTATACCCCAGAGATCTCAGGCACTCACAGCTGATGGCTTTGGAAAAGGCTTAGTGGCAGTACTACTGACTTGCTATTAGGAAGGGGGTCTTGGTGCTGTGGGTAGGGTAGGAGGCAACTAGTTTGGGGGCATGAGCTGAAGGGGCACATATCATTCCTCCTGGTGCTCCCTTGTCTTTCTGTTTCCTGGCTGCCATGATGTGAGGAGTTTCCTTGGCCCACATCCTTCTGCCATTACTTTCTGCCTTGCAGCCAGATGGCCAAGGATTTAAAACAGACCTTTCCTTTCAATTGAGTGTCAGGTATTTTGTGCCAGTGAGGAGAAAGATAGTATATCCACTAACAGAGACTGGAAAAACAAAACAAAGTTTCTGAAACACGGAACATCCAAGGAGTAAGAGGTCTTTTAGCCCCAGTGGTCCTCATTTTGCACATCCGCACTGTAGATGGATGGGGGTGGGAGAATCCCAGGGCCTCTGCAAGGAGCCACATTCCCAGGCCCTTTTTCTCTCTTTATTTGGAAATTGAGTCTAATTTAAATCATTAAGTTGCCCCCAGCCAAGCTTGAATTTGAGATTCTCCTACCTCAGATTTCCAGAGAATGTCTTATGAGCTGGTTATCTATGGATGATGGGATTATAGGTGATTTGATTTATACCTTTGGTAATTTATGTTTCCCAACTTCCTGTACCAAATATGAACATAAATGAGTTTTGTTTTTGAAAAGCTTGGGATCAAATCCAGGGCCCAATGCATGCTAGATAAGCTCTTCAACACTGAGTTACAAGCAAGTTACTTTAATAAACATCACAAATTAGTTGTCCCATATTCATTGCGGGGGCAAGGGGAAGTTTGGACACTGCGTAACTCCAACGAATGAAACCCCTGAGGTGTCTACGGTTGCCATACCACCCTGAACGCGCCAGAGCGCCAGATCTCCGGAAGCTAAGCAGGGTGGGGTCTGGTTAGTACTTGAATGGGAGAAACCCATGAGGTGACCAACAAATCAAATGGCAAACCAACAGCAACTCTTGAGTCTCTAAAGGGTTAATGCTAGAACATTTACCCACTTTGTCAAGAGGCTCTGATAATTGTTCATAGACTTAACCAATTTCCCAATCTGATCAAATCCACTGTGAAACAAAAGGGATTCCTGAAAAATCCCAAGGAACTAAATTCAATCATCCACACGAGGTCATTTCCTAGTAGTTCAAGACCATCTCAACTGCATAACAGAGACCTCTCAGGCTAGGACCAAGAAGGAGTAACAGGAGCTGTCCTTAGAGCCCGGGAGAGCTGGAGGAGGCAGTGGGCTGGCGAGAGGCAGCAAGTGAGCCAGTCCCCAGATTCGGAGGAAACACTTAGGCGATTTCTCCTTACTTCTTGTTTTTGCCTTTGCTCTTGCCTTTCTTTTTGTCCTTTCTCTTCGATGGCATCTTGAGTGCTTTGGTTGCCTGGCCGCGGCAGCCACGGCCAGCTCAGTCTCTAGGGAAACGAGCAAGCCAGCGCGGAGCGCCCCCTGCCGGTTTGCCGGCGCGCGGAGAGCGCATGCGCCGTGACGTGGCCGCGCGGTCTCCGCGCAAGGAGCGAAGCGGAGAACTCGCCGAGGGCGGCGGGCGGCCGCGTTAGTGGGGCGGGCGCGGTGAGTGTACGATCCGCTGCTGTGCCTTCCTGGGACTGGGATGGGCAAGTGCCGGGGAGTGGGAGCCGAGCAGCCCAGGGTTGTAGGGTGGCGCCCTGCGATCCGGGCATCACTGCGGTGAGGACGCCCTCACTCGGGAGGCTTGTTCCGCGCGCGTCGGAGCCTGGCTACCTGTCTTGCAGTTTCCCTTTTCGCCCGCGGGTCGCGTCCTCTCTTCCTTCCTCGCAGCGTCCCTGCCCCTGCCTCTGCCAGCCTCAGGCACTCCCGCGCTGCCCGACTCCTGCTTTCCTTCTCTTTGCTGCCTTCTAACTCTTACGGATTCTGTAAGAGATGGCGCACCAGCGGACATCCCTGGCCAAACATTTTCTGAGAGGCAATTGAGGGCTTTTTCGAATGTCAACCTGCCTGGGCTCCCTGCTCTGGGGCATGATCGGGAGGAGAGTCCTTGACCGCCTCGGTTCTGAGTGGCCACTGCCGTCGGTCCAGGATCGGCCTTGTATTCCTCCCGCGCCCACAGTCCCTTTTTCTTCAAATCGCATAGTTCAACATGCTGCCCCCTCCAATTCTGATCACACTTCTGAAAAGGAAATTCTCAAATGTGTTCTGTTTTTTAGAGGAGGAGTTCTGTGATTATCCTTTTAAGTCACTGACTGTGTCGTTAAGGAAGACAGGTATTCTGGCTGCCAAGTCAGCAACAGAGTGGTTAAAGCTCTGCTGTGCGTTATCCTTTATTTCAAATTGCGTTTACAGTTCCTTTAAAGCATCATTGTAGATCCTCCTTTTTCATTTCTTTAGGGAGAGTTTAATCCATATGCCTCTTATGGAGATTTTTAGCTTCTAAATCCCCCACCCCTTTTACTTTTTTATTTGTTTTTTGGAGACTCACTAGCTAGTGCAGGATAGCCTTGGACTCGCTTATGTAGCCCAGGCTGACCTTGAACTCACGACAGTCCTCCTGCTTCAGCCTCTCTAGGGCTGGCATTATAGATGTGCATCACCTACCCGCCCCTTTTGCTTATATGTAGTTTGGGGGGGTTGTTTTTTTGTTTGTTTGTTTGTTTGTTTTTCCTTTTTATCGGTACCGGGGATTGAACTCACGACTGCCTGCTTGCAAGACAGGCGCTTATGCAGCTGAGCTAAATCCCCAGCCCCTGTAGTTTCTGTTTCTAAATTCTGTGACTACAAGAAACGTGCTGATCTGGTAAGGAACTCTAAAAACTTTGTTAGATGTACCATCTGCATGATATGGCTTGTTCTGACTGCACTGGTGCATTTTCCCCTCAAATTGTGTGTCACGCTTTCATGAGTCCATGGGTACAATTGCCATACGCTAAAAGGATTACCTCTGATGTGAAATCTATAAAGTTAAGATTAATGTTTTATGTCTCCAAGTTTTGCAACTGGTAACTTGCATAAAAGAAAGTAGTGCATTTTCTATCACAGACGTGATTTTAGAATGTATTTGGAATTCACACTAGAAATTGGTTGCTTTGTAATATGAAAGGCAATCCAGAACTTATTTTGACATAAACACATAGATTCTTTTATATACATAAAATATGACTTTATAACACATGCATACTACCTTAAAATATTTTATAGTTTATTTTATTATGCATAGACTATGTTTGATTTTGTAGATAAAATTATTATGATGTAAATATAGCTAAGAAAAATGCCAAGAGTTTTTACCCTGGTAGAGGTGGTTCTAGAATCTGCAGTGTTGGGGCTGGGGATTTAGCTCAGCGGCATAAGCGCCTGCCTTGCAAGCAGGCAGTCGTGAGTTCGATCCCTGGTACCGATAAAAACGAAAAAGACAAAAGAAAAAAAAAAAAAAAGAATCTGCAGTGTTCTGAATCTCCATATTCTCTGCCAAAGAACTGAATTTACTAATCAGCTATCTGTTGGTCACAAATAGCTGATGGTACAGATAGTAAAGTGGGAAGTTGCTGTTTAGCCATTTATCTGGTAGTATTTCATCCCACAATTGCTGGTAGATAATTTTACTGTGATGTTTCAGGGATTATTTTGCTGCATAAATTTGCTTTTGTCGTTTAGAATGCTAATGTTTTCAAAACTTGGAACAAGCCCCTTAGTGTTGTACTAACTTGTGTTTGTAATTCTTTTTCTGCCCAGTTCTAGTTCCTGGCCAACATAGAAATGTTGAGTATCTTGGCTGAATCCTCATGCAGATGGAATCATTATGGTCCTGGTAAGTACAGCAAGTGTTCAGACATAAGGTAACATCTCCGTTAGCTTACCTCTGCACAAGTAATTCATATGTTGTGGGTAGTGGTTTTTTTTGTTTTGTTCCATCTCTGAAATTGCTTCTCTGTCTTTTGCTAAGTGATATGCATTTTTCTCTTTTCAGTAATTATATTACCTTCAAGTGTGGTTTTGTTGAAGATACATGTAGAGTTTAGTAGTATGTTTAGAATTTAGTATTCCTGTGCTGGGGATATAGCTCAGTGGCATAACACTTGCCTGGCAAGCTCAAGGTTCTGAATTTGATTTCCTGTACCAAGAAAAAAATTTTAGTATTTTTTTTTGTTTTGTTTTTTGGTATTTCCAAAACCAGGTTTACTCTGTTAAGTCATCTGTGACTTTACTGTGGTTTGCTTGGAAAAACCAAGTTTCTCTTCATAAATCATCCTAGGAGTCACTTGATAGCTGACAATACTCTCTAGATACAAAAGAGTAGGTAAATAGCTTTCAATATTGTTTTCACATCAAAATCCTGAGTATATTAGTCAGCTTACTGTTGCTGGGATAAATTAAGTGACATGTATAGTTTAAAAGAGGAAGGGTCTATTTTGGCTCACAGTTTCAGACATTTTAGCCTATAATCAGCTGACTTTAAGGCAAAAACATTATAGAGGAAGGGCATGGCAGAAGAAAACTGATTAAGCCATGATAGGCAGAAACAAAAGAGATAGAAAAAGATCCATTAAGGGAAGGGCCACTCCACAACCTACCCAATACACCAAGAAGTATGTTTTGTTAATCTCCGAGTTATTTCTTGAGCAAATCAGCTTGACAAGATAACAACCACAGGTCTACCTATCTCTTGTTAACTTGATGTCCAAACATATTCTTTAAACTATACTTACTCTCCAAGTAAAAACAATAATTCTACTCAGGATGATATAATTAACTCACTTACAACCTGAACCACACTAATTCCTTTGCCAGAGTCCCAGCATTTCCAATGTTGCTTAAAAGTTCAAATCCTGAATAAAACATTGATCCCACAGGAACTATCCCAAAAAATCAACAACCGGGATCTCATCTTATTAAAAAGCTTTTGCACGGCAAAAAAGCCACCAATGGAGTAAAAAAAACAACCTGCAGTGTGGGAAAAAAATTTTTGTCAGCTGTTCATCAGACAAAGGACTAATAACCAAAATCTATAAAGAGCTCTAAAAAATCAAATCCCCCAAATTCACACCCAGTCCAAAAAAATGGGTATCTAAAATGAGTAGACACTTCTTAGATAAAGTAGAAATGACAGATAAAATGTGAAAAAATGTTCAACATGACTGGTTATTCAAAATATGCAAATTAAAACAATGCCAAGGTTCTATCTCACTCCAGAAAGAATGGCTGTCATCAAGAATTCAACCAGTAAGAAATGCTGGTGGAGCAGTAGGGAAAAAGGAACCCTTCTCCATTGTTGGTAGCAGTTTAGACTGGTACAATCACTGTGGAAATTCCTTAAAAAACTAAGACTAGCTGGAGATATAGCTCAGCAGCACACCTGCCTGCCCGGCGAACATGAGGTTGTGAGTTCAATCCCTGGTAACAAAACAAAACAACCCTAGGGCTCCCATTCAACCCAGCTATTTGCCTTATTATCTTCCCAAAAGAATTAAAAGCATCATACCATAGCAATATATGCACAGCCATGTTTACAGTGGCACAGTTTGTAACAGCTAAATCTTGGAAATAGCCCAAATGCCCATCAACCAATGAATGGATAAATAAAATGTGGGTTTTTTTTTTTTTAACACAATGGAGCACTGATCTGCCATAAATAAGTGTAAGCTTGAGACATTTCTAGCTAAATGGATGCTCCTTGAGACCATACTCTTAAGTGAAATAAATTTTGGACACACCTTCAAATATTGCATGGTTTCTCTAGTGTATGAAACTAAAAATATGAATAAGGACCAAAATGAATAATAAATATTGGGAAATGGGAAGAAAATGTTCAAATAAGGAGAACAAGGGAGGTGGGAAGGGGAAAAGAAAGAAGAAACACACACACACACAAATAGAAGGAAAAACTGGAAGCAAAGCTTTTGTAAATAAAAAGGAGAAGAGGGATTAGAGGGAGGAGAGGGGACTGGGAAAAAAAGAAGCAAGATATATCACATATACCTGTAATCCCAGTACTTGGGAGGCTGAGGCAGAATGATTGCTGTTTGAGGCCAGTCTGGGCTACATAAGTGAGTTCAAAGCCAGCCTGCATTATGTAGTGAGACTCTTGTCTCAAAAAAAGCCCCCCACCAAAGATATATCATGTATAAGTACAAACTGCTATGAATAATGTTATCATTATGTATATCTAAAATGTACCAATAAAAACAGTTCAAATCCAGTCTTCTCTGAGACTCAAGGCAAAATCTTACCTGTAAAATTCATAAAGCAAGTTATATTTCTAAAAGGTGGAAGGGTAAGCGTTCCTATTCTCAGAGGAAGGAATAGGAGAATACAAAGGAATTGGAACAAAGCAAGATCAAAGTCCAGCAAGACAGACATTAAGTCTTGTAGCTTTTGTCCAAGACCCTGGATGCGTGCTGGTGAGATGTAAACTGTGGAGGTTTGGTACAGTCCTGCCTTGCCCACATGGCTGGCTCTCTTTGCTGCCTGCATCTTTTCTTGATAGATTTTTCACATTCCTCATGTGTCCAATTTCCTGGGGTCTCCATTGCACCTCCATGGCTTCATAAATTTCCCTCTGATTCATAGGCTCCCAGCAGGAACTTTAACTCTGTTACCATTGCTTGACCTCTTAGGCTTTCCTTTGAAATCTGGTTGACCATTTTGAACATTTTACATGTGCAATTCAGTAGCATTCATTATATTTACAGTAGTATAAAACTATCACTACTATATATTTTTAAGACTTTTCCATCAGCCCAAACAGAAACTCTAAATGTCAAGCAATAGCTCCTCATTCTTCCCTTCCCCACCCCTGGTGTACATCTGTTTCTATGAATTCGTCCAGTCTAGATAGTTCATGTAAGTGAAATCATACAATATGTGATCTTTTGTGTCACTGAATGTTGTATTCAGGGTTTACAAGGGAAAAGATTTAATTTAAGACATAATTTAGGGGCTGGGGATTTAGCTCAGTGGCATAAGTGCCTGCCTTGCAAGCAGGCAGTCGTGAGTTCGATCCGTGGTACCGATAAAAACGAAAAAGACAAAAAAAAAAAAAAAAAAAGACATAATTTATAGGATTATTTTATAATATTTATCCAAAAAAAAGTCAAATGTAAAAGACTGTGGAAGATCTGTCCACACACTATAGAGACCCAAAGAATCCAGCTGAGGACCTGGATGCCATGGTAGTGTCCTATATGAGTTCAGCTGAAGACCTAGAGCCCATGGCAGCGTCCTCCATGAGACTAACAGGAGGCCTAGAGCCCACAACAGCGTCTCATGGAAGTTTGTAACCAAGATGTGCTCTGGAAGCTAGAGAGTTTGCACCAGCAGGATGAAGGATCTGTGTCAGCAGGCTGAGGGAGCTGCACTGGAGCCAGGAAATGACACTCAAGGGTAAGGACTAGAGCTCTCCCAAAAATAACTGTAGGCATCCTCAGGTACAACGAGGACTCACGCTCCTCTGATAAGAAAAACAGCATGACAGGCTTTTCGTATCAGGAAATCCAGTGTGAGAAGCTTCTTCAGGAAAATCAACAGCATACCATCTCCCCTTCTAGTTTTGTTTTTTTGGATTTTTTTTGGTACCAGTAATTGGTTTTTGTTTTGTTTTTTGGTACCCGGGATTGAACTCACAACCTTGTGCTTACCAGGGAAGTTCTTAAACCACTGAGCTAAGCACAGTTCCTGTATTAGGAATTGAACTCGGGACTTTCCTTCCACATACCAGAGTGCTTCTTTTTATGCTGTTGGCAATGATCCCCAGGTGGTCCTTCCATACCAAGAGCCAGGCTGATTCAGTTCAGCTGGGTGTTCCAAATTGACCATTCCTTAACCCACCAAACTTTGCATAATGTTTTCAAGGTTCAGCCATGTAACATGAGTCAACCAAATAATCTTCTGTTGTCCCCAGCATTGAGGCACGTGCCTGTAATCACTGCACTTGGGAGGCTGAGGCAAAAAGATGTCCATGAATTCAAGGCAAGTCTGAGCTATGTAGGGCTACATAGCTAGACCCTCCAAAAGAAATTATGTTGAGAGCTGAGGATGTGTCTTAGTGGTGCCTTCCTGGCAAGTGCGAGTTTTAAGTTTGAACCCTTCTACCAAAAAAAAAATTTATGTTGTGTGCGTACACCATATTTTGTTCATCCATACATCTGTTGGTGGACACTTGGGTTGTTTCCACCTCTGGCTAGTGTGAATAATACTGCAGTGAATATTGGTATAGAGCTATTTGTTTGAGTTCCTGTTTTCAGTTCTTGTGGGTATGTATCTAAAGGGTTGTCCCCTTGAACCTCATGTTCACACACATAAGGGGTCACTCATTGATCACATTGTGGGGCAACTGGTATTTGAGTCCTCAACAGACCATGAAAAGATCTCATAAAATGCATAAACTTGATTTTATGCACTTATGGGTTTGTTCTTTAGTCGCTGCTCTTCCATTGACACATACGTATTTACATACATACTAGTATTACATATGTGAAATGCATATGCTTATATTTCACAGGGAATACGATTTGCTTCTCTTGCTGTCATTGACTTTATAAATGAACTGGTTCAGTGCTAAGAGTGGCTGACGTAGTTTGAGGAAGAAGAAAGTGTGAAAGATGGAGAAGATCCAGTATTAGAATGTAATTAGAATGTCAGGAGATGAGCTTGTAATCTGATTTCCGAAGGCTGAACAGATTGGAAATAGAAGTGTAAAAAGAGATGACTGAATTGAAAATAAGCCTACTAAGTCAGGCATGGTAGTACATGCCTCTCATCCTAGCAGTTAGGATTGCTGTGGGTTCCAGGCCAGCTTGAACTACATAGTGAGACTTTGTCTCAAAAAAAAGTCTACTGACAACAGAGAATTTTGTTCTTATGGTTATTCCTGTCCATTTTCTATAGGTTGAAAAAGTGACACATTAGTTGAGGAAACAAAGGAAAAAGAAGGCTGGGCGTGGTGTCAAACTATAATCCCAGCACTTGGGAGACTGAGGCAGGAGGATCGCTGAGTGACATAGTGAGTTCAAGACCAGCCCTGCCCAGCAAGACCCATTCTTAAAAACAAAAACAAGCAAAAAATTGTAATTGTGTAAAACTCCTATTCCTTTATGCGTTAAAAAAATACCTTCATACTAGTTCTACCTACTAGTTTCATATTTGTTACATTTTTCATTTTAAAAAGTTTGAAGCAAATAGTTATTTTTCTGTTGATAATAAGAAAGGGAAAATGGGTCTTCGCTTCTCTTCCCATGTCAAGCTGTAGTGTAGTAGTATGATCCTTGTCAGTTACTCTTCTGCACATACAGTATTCCCTCCTATGTCCAAGGGGGATACTTTCCTGGACTTACCAAACCCTATATATATCGCTTGTTTTCCTAAACATATTTTAAGTGTACTAAAGTTGAACTCATAATTAGGCATAGCAAAGAGATTAATAAAAATAACAATAATAAAATACCACAATTATATACTGTGGTAAATAAAACAATATACTCTAATGACAATTCTTTGAAAGTTATAAATTGTTTATTTTTAGAATTTTCTAACTAATAATTTCAAACTGATTGACTGGGGATAACTAAAATTCTAGAAAGTAAAACTATAAGCTCCTCCCACAGTATTTATGGGCGTGGAGGTAGGGATAAATTATCACCTCTTATTTTTATTGTTTGTTCATAGAGTGGCGGAGTAATATGAACCCTTTCTGATTGATAGTACAATATTTTCCTCATGTAGCGAACTTTGATTTTTAATGAATGGGTAAGAAAGACTATGCCTTGTGAAGAAGCAGGAGTAGTAGACACTTTCTCTGTGAAGTGATTATTGTAGCTATCTCAGGACTAAAACAAATGGGAATTGAAGGCATGTACTGCCTGACTCATTTTAGTGAATACCTAAATGGTTTTATTGTACATAATGGGCCTGCCTGTTGGATATTTGTCTAATAATGTTTTGATTGAAATGGAATAAGTATTCTGTTTATAAGAATTATATATTTGTTGGTTTTACCAGTGTGTCAGGTTTTTTTTTGGTTTTTTGGTACTGGAGAGCAAACTCACAACCTAGTGCTTGCCAGGCAGGCACTTGTACCACTGAGCTATATCCCCAGTCTACCAGTGTGTCAGTTTTAATTCCTCTATTGGTATATTGGCTTTCTTGTTTCTGAAACAAAATATTTGACAGCCATACCTTAAAGGAAGAAAGGTTTATTCATTTTACAGTTCTGGTGAGTTCAGTCTGTGATCGGCTGGCTCCAACCCAGATACACCATGGTGGGAGAGATTGGTGGAGGGGAGCAGCTCATCTCATGGCATCTAGAAAACAGACATAGAAATGGAGAACCAGGATCAATAATCTTCCTGGTCACACCCCTAGTGACCCACCTCCTCTGACTAGGCCACACCTCTGAACACATAAGACTTCCAGAATACATTCAGATGCAAATCACAACATTCCACCCCTGGCCCAGAAAAGCTCATTTCCATCTCAGTATGTAAAAAGCATTTAGTCCATCTCTAAGTCACCAGAGTCTTGTCAGTTACAGCACTGCTGAAAAAGTTTCAAGTGCAAAGTCTCTGAGATACAAGAGCTTCTATAAAACTCAAAGATAATTAAATTTCTCCAGCTACAAGAGCATAGGGTAAGCATTTTCATTCCAGAAAGGAGAAATAGAGGAATAGAAAAGAATCAGACCAAAGTGAGACTGAAATCTAGCAGGGCAAATGTTAAATCCTATAGCTTCATGTCCAGCACCCAGGGCAAGTTCTAGGTAAATGTGAGCTCCCTGTCCCCTGTGGACTTGATGGTTGCAGCCCACATGGCCTCTCTCTTGAGGAGGCTCCAATTTCTGCCTGTGACCTTCCCTGGAAGACATGCCACATTTTGGGCATCTCTAGCTTACTGGGATCTCCACTGAATCTTATGCTTCATTGTCACAGTTTCATGAATTATCCTTTCAAGGGCACATTATTTGGCCTCCCAGGGTTTCCTCTGAAATCTGAGTGGAAGACTTCATGACCCCACAATTCTTGCAGTCTGCATGCCTGTAAATTCTGTTAGTGTGAACAGTAGCCAGTTCCACATGGACCACAGCTACAGTGGTCTGTAAGTACCTGGATGACTGAATGTGGGAAAACACTTTCCTAGATAACCCTGAGTGAGCAGAATACCCTGGGACTCTCTTCTTAAAGCTGAGGCTGAGGATTTAGCTCAGTGGCATAAGCTCCTGCCTTGCAAGTGCGCAGTTGTGAGTTTGATCCCCAGTACCAAAAAAAAAGCTAAGTCTATAAGGTATTTACATTTTTATGCCCTTGAACCTGTGATGGGCGTGGTCTTGCTGATTTCTGAAATAACAACAAAGCATCTTTATTTTTGTCTCTGGGAAAGCTACTTGGCTTCTTTTTAGTGGTACTAATCCTTTCAGCAGCCACGCTCTCCTCAGCCCCAGTTTGCAGGCACTTCTTTTCTGAGGCAACTGAAGTTTTTAAAAAGTCATCCATTTCTGCTTTTTGTTCCCGATTCTCACTGCAAATACAGCTAAAAGCATCCAGTAATACCCTGCCTGAATGTTAGACTGCTTCAAAATTTCCTCTGCCAGATCAGTTAGTCCACTACCCTTAATCTCAGTCTCAGACAAAGTTTTAGGACACAGGCAAAATATAGACAGACTTTTTGCCAGAGTGTAGAATGTGTGGTCTCTAGTCCAATTGTCATTCAAGTCTGAATTCTGAGCCTGGTTTTTACCATTTGTGTTCCTGTCATTGTTCTGGTCTTTTACACTCTGACTAAAATCATCCATCAGACTCTGCTTATAGGGATTCCTAATTGACATCTCGAAACCTTGGCAAACTAGTCCTATAAACTAGTTCCAAAGACTTCCAGACCACATGATCAGATACAGTCTCAGCAATGACCGGTTTTCTTTGGTGCCAATTTTCTGTATAAGTCACCTTTCCAATTGCTGGGACAAAATATCTGACACCTGTCACTTAAAGGAGGAGGAGTTTTTATTTGGCTTCTGGTCGTGGTGGATTCAATCCACAGTTGACTGACTCCAAGGCAGAAACAGAAGAGTAGAAGTGCATGGTTAAGGAAATCTGTCTGTCTCATGGCTGCCAGGAAGCAGAACATGAGAAGGAAGAAGCCAGGGACAAGAATACTGTATTTCCTTTTGCTGTGCCTATAATCCTGGCACTTGGGAGACTGAGGCAGGAGGATTGTAGTGAGTTCAAGGCCAGCTCGATCTATATAGTGACTTCTAGGCCACATAGTGAGACTCTGTCTTAAAAAACAATGCACCCTTTCAGATCATGCCCCTTTTAACTTACCTCTTCCAACCAGGCCCTACCTCCAAACTCGTGAGACTTTTGGGAGACATTTCAGGTCCAAACTAACAATTGGGAGTTAAGGTATTTGATCTAAGGGTTGGAGGCACCTTAAATGATGTATCCTTCAACTAACTGCTTTGTGAATCCAGTCTGGACAGTACATTCAGATTTAGGTCAAGATTCGAGGCAAGGAGCTTCTGTGTCTCACCAGTTTGAAACAACTTATGTTATTGGAAAATTCTTCCTACTCAATCTCTTTTTGTGCTCACAAATCTTCCTTTTTTTCTCTTTTTTTTCCTTGTCCCTCCTTTCCATTCTCTCTTTATTCCCCTTCTCATTTGAACATTTTCTTCCCATTTCTAATATCTGTTATACATTTCAGTCTTTATTTACACTTTGTTTCTCACACTAGAGAAGCAATGCAGTATTTAAACATGTGTGAGCTGTGGGTGGTGATGCCTGTAATCCCAGCACTTGGGAGGCTGAGGCAGGAGGATCGTTGCAAACTTGAGACTGGCCTGGGCTACACAGTGAGCTCAAAGCCAGCCTGAACTCCATAGTGAGGCTGTGTCTCTCACAGACACAAACATTTATTTCAATTACTGACTGTTCAGAAATAATGTTATAAAATCCTTTAGTTTTTTTCAAATCTCTGACAACTGTCTTATCCTTATCCACCCATGTCCAAGAATTAATACTATCATTGTATGATTAGAAATCTTTTCCACACATAGCATAAAATTTCTATTCTGTATATTAACAGAATATTTTTACTCTGGATCTTCACTTGTGTGTCTTACTTGACTAGCATTCACTTTGTTAGATTTATTCCAGTTTTAACTGATTAAAAATACAATGACTGGGGCTGGGGATTTAGCTTAGCGGCATAAGCACCTGCCTTGCAAGCAGGCAGTCGTGAGTTCGATCCCAGGTACCGATAAAAATGAAAAAGACCAAAAAAAAAAAAAATACAATGACTATTTTCAAAATAAATACAGTGACTCATTTACTTTCTTAATACTCAAGTGTATTTGACTGATGTGAAACGCCGTAGTTAAATGTAATTTCACTTAAGAAATAAGCAGGACATCGAGTGAATTATGGTTTTACTGATTTTTATTCTTTTCTTGGGGGCCCGGTGACACAGGTTAGTGATGGAATGTTTGCCTACCATGTACAAAGCCCTGGGTTCTATCCCCAGCATTATTTATTTTTCCTTAAGTAAAATATTGATCTATAACGGAAAATAGAAAAATTCAAGCAATTGGATATATTTTCAGAGAAGTTAAGTCATTATGTTTAATTTTTACTAATTTTCTTTTCTCTTTTCCTTTTTTTCTTTACATTTTCTTTAGTGCTAGAAATTGAACCTAGGCCTTACACATACTTTCAAGCTAAAAGTTAATATCAGGCTGGACATGTTGCTCAGTGGTAAAGTGCTTGCCTAGCCTGTATGATGCCCTGAGTTTGATCCTTAGTACCACAAAAATTTAATATCATTTTTTCCAGGTGTGGTAGTATGCACCTGTATTCCCAGATGCTCAGAAGCCCAATGCAGGAGTATCACTGGAGCCCGGAAGTTGGAGGGCAGCCTTGATGACAAAGGAAGACCCCCACCTCAAGAAATTTTTATTTATTATTTATTTATTTTAAAGAGGAAAAAAACAAAACAAGCAGAGCAAAGTAAAACAATGCAAATAACACAGGATTTCAAAAAAAGACAAAGGATGAGGAAAATTTTGTGAAAAGAAAAAAGATTTTTAAAATGTCAATATCATTGGAGTAATGTTTTCAAAAAAAGTCTATAAGCTGTTGATAAAAACATCTATGCATATACACACATATACACACACACACACAATTGTTTGTATTTTCACTAGCAGAGTATAGTGCACTACTAGTAATATATGCCATATAGTCTAGGTACCATTTCGATTTGCACTCTGATGTTTGCACAGTGATATACTTGCCTAACAACAATGCATTTCTCAGAATATATCTCCATCATTAAGCAGTGCGTGACTGTACTGAAAAAAATATCATACTGAACAGACTGGTTTATTTGGTTTACTTTTCTGGAGAGAGTCACACGGTGTTGGCCATCGTAGCCTGAAACTCCCAGGCTCAGCCATCCTCCTGCCTCAGCCTCCTGAGTAGCTAGGACTGCAGGTGCATGCCAATGCGCCTGCATGCAAATATTCAATACAGCTTACAGTGGCCAGCCTTCAAGATGATTCCCATTGGTCTTTATCATGTCATGCAATTGTGTAATGCCCTTGTACATTTCCTCAGGATTGGCTTGTATGACTGTTAGAATGTAAGAAAATGGTAGTGTACACTCTTATGGCTATGACATAGAAGACACTGGTTCTTCTGCCTTGCTTCTGTTGGATCACCCAGTCTGGAAGAAGCCACCACCATGTTGTAGAAAAAAGACACTTGAGCCAATCTTCAAGAAAGGGTGACAGCTGTACCCTCTGTCCTATGTTTATCATGTCTGCCAACTCTGCATTTTAAGTAAGAAGGCTTGTTTTATTTGGTTTTTTTCTCTAGCACCTAGCACTTAGTAGGCATCGACACACATTTGTAGAGTTAGATAAATGAGTAGTCTTAATAAAACTCTCCACTCCAAAACATCCCATATATAATTTCCAGGGACAGTTATATATTTGTGACATTCTCTTGTTCAAAATCTAAGTGCTTTCCTGTTGTCTGCAGAATAAAATATGAACTCCTTAGCTGAGGTTTTGGGACTTTTCTATTCCCCCAGCTATCTGACCTTAATCCTTTATTTCTACTTTACTTCATATTACGGTTAGTCAAAGCAATCCAATCCATTCACTATTCCCAGGAGTTCTCCTCCCTTTTCCACATTCATATCTTGATTCATATTGTTTCTTTTTCTTGAAACGCCTTCCTCTCCTATTCTAATTCATTTCCCTCCTTAGGACCCCCACATGCCACCTTTTTCATAAAGCAGTCTTGAGTGTCTCAGATGGTAGTAATCTCTCCCAGCTTTGGCGTCTCTAAGATGCTGATTGCTTGCTGCCTGTCACATTTTCACATTATGGATATTTACTTACTATAGTCTGTTACAGGGCAGGTCTAGGGTGATTCGTCTTTGTATGCAGCACTCATAAGTATAAGTAGGCAACCGGGGACTTGTAGAATGGCTAAATGAATGAATAAATTAGTAAAAAAGGGACCTGGCCAAGATCCCCAACTGCCTGTATAGTGGTATGGCAAAGGATAAAATAAGAAACAAAGACGAATCTAGTAATAATGTGGAGCTGGGAGGTCAATCCCTCAGGAGGGCAAAGACCAAGGTACCCCAAACCAGCCACCCTTATTGGGTATATTGGGTATATACAAGGGCTAGCAGGGAGATTCCGAGGTGATGACTCAGCAGGCAACGGATAATCCTAGGATGGCTTAAGAGCATGGAGATGATTTTATGCTAACAGGTTTAGTTGAGTTAGTTTTAGTGGGTGAAGAGGATGGCCCACCCCAAAAGAGTAAATGGGAAGTCTCAAAAGGGTAATGACATAACCCCAAACCTCCATTTATCCTTAGGGACATATGCAGAATTAGCCATTGTGAATTTGTGGTCCCCAGCACAGGTACACTATAGTCTTTTTTTTTTTTTTTTTATCGGTACCAGGTATCGAACTCACAACCAGGCGCTTGCAAGGCAGGCACTTATGCCACTGAGCTAAATCCCCAGCCCACTATAGTCATTTGTTTACTTGTCTGTTTTTTATTTTTTCTGGTAGGCCAAGGTCTCTCCAAGAGCTAAGCCTATCTGATTCTTTTGTATATCTAGATTAGCACAATGCCTGGGAAGTATTAGATGCTTATTAATTGGAAATTCAGTGCCCAGTTTTCTAAATTCCATTTTAGCCAGGCATTGTACATACCTGTAATCCTAGCACTCTGGAGGCTGAGGTGGGAGGGTTGCTGAGAGTTCAAGGCCAGCCTGGACTATACAGTGAGACTCTGTCTTAGAAAACAAGCAAATAAACAGATAAATAAATTCCATGCCATGGATAGAAAGTACTGAGAAGTACTTTTAACTTTTCTGCTATTTGATTAACATAAAAACAACACAGAATCCAGTTCTTGAGCAATTTCTGGCCTGTGAGCAATAATTCTATTAGTTGGCACTTACCTGTAATAAAGTGGATGAATCAGTCATGTTCCTGAGGAAAGGTGGAGAAGGGTGGAGTGAAGGTTAAAGAGGGAGTGAGTTAGCAAAATCCACACACTTACAAACCAGCACAAAGGTGACTGCTTCGTGACGTTAGCATGATTCAGTAGAGCTCAAACGGGAGCAAAGAGCAGAGGCAATCACCAGTGAAAGCGAAAAGTCACAGCAGACAGGCAGACGTGAACAGGTAAGCACCTGAGTGGGACCCTGGTCCTGTGCCATTGTGGTTCCTCAGGCTCTGGGAAACAGGGAAGAAGGGAGGCCAGAATCTAAAGCTTTGGGATGCCTGCGTGGGAAGGACTAGTGTTTGCTACAGGTGTAAAGAAACACTGAAGAGACCTTAGAAGGAGATGAGTGACGAACACCAGCTGGCACCAGTGTCTCAAAGGAAAGAATTGATAAAAGAAAATTAAAGACTTTTGGCGGGATGAATAAAAGATAATGAGCCAGAGATGTTAAAAAACCAAATTGTGAAAACAGTGGGTTTAAATATACTAATACATTTTTTCCAAGTCTATTTCAAAAAAAAAAAAAGAAGCATTGACTATCTGCATTATTTTGAGTAGAATATGAAATCTAACACATTTGGACAAGTGACACGTTTATGTAACTGACACAGTTAGAGAAAATCTTTCCTTAGCAGCTTAGAATCCTAATCTTTCAGTGGTTGGGTGGTTAATCATTTGGAAAGAAATTAGATATTATTGAGATCAGATCTAGTTTGATACTATTGTATGTGATGGTATACTCAACTATTTCAAAGAAAGAGACATTATGGTAGCTACTATTAATATCTGGTTATTTTGTTGTGAAGTAGTGTTGTTTACATTGTTCTGCTGATCTGCTTTGTTCTGTCCTCTTTTGTCTTAATCTCTTTAAAATAAAATTTTAAAAAAACTCTTAGAAAATATAAAATCAGGGGCTGGGGACTTAGCTCAGCGGCATAAGTGCCTGCCTTGCAAGCAGGCAGTCGTGAGTTCGATCCCTGGTACCGATAAAAGCGAAAAAGACAAAAAAAAAAAAAAAAAAAAAGAAAATGTAAAATCATTGGCAACCCACTTGGGAGCCCTTTTGTCTCTCTCTCAGACAGAAGCTTTCTTTCTCTCAATAAATACTTCTACTCTTTAAAAAAGGATAAGATCCAGTGTCTGAGTTATAGGATCTTTGTTTATCTCTAGTATGTTTTAGCACGATTGAAGCACTACAGGTACAACAGAAACAAAATCCCATACAATGACTGTTTGTTTTTTTAAAAAATTATTAAGAGAGGCACTTTGCCATTAATCCTCCTCGAAATCCTCTTCTGCACTTTGAATGCACATATCCAATCATCATGCCTTTTCAGAAGCAGTTTTACAAGTCTTCTTTTGTGTCTAGTTGTGTTGTGGCTGCCTAGACATCCTGAATTAATTCAGAAGCATCTACCTTTCATGGTTATTTTGGCTTTGGGGAAGAGCCATGGTGCCAGATCCCACATACATAAGGAAGAGGACACACCGTGATGTTTTTATGGTCTGCTTCTGCATTGAGTAGCACTGCCAGTAGCATTCACCATATTTTTTACCATACCTCATAAAGACACAAAAGAAGGCTTCAGAAGAGCAAGAACAGAGGGATAAGTGTTTTCAAAGCAAGAGGCAGTATTTTGTGTCTTTCACCATAATAATTTTTTTTAAATTTAAAACATTTACTGTATATTTTGATCACCCCTTGTTTAGTTTACATGGGAGACAGAAGTGGGGGAAAGCAGGAAGTGTGAAAAGTAGTCCATTCCATGATGTATTGGAAAGCCACTGGTTTGGAAAGTGCTGTGGAGGGGATCTGGGAATGCGGGGAGCAGGGAAGGGCCAGGGAAATGCTACGAAAAAGAAAAGGAAGATAGAAAATGTGCGTGTGACCAGGTGAATGGGAATTATAAAAGGGGCGGGCACGGAAGGTTCCACTAAGTTGACATTTGAATAAATGTTTTTTAAAATAAATGAGCAAGCTGTGCAAATTAGGGTCATGTAACATAGAATCTGTTCTACAAACTCAAGATTGTTAAGTTTTCAAAACCATTTTTAAGACAGCTGATCCTAAAGAAAAGTGAGGTTGGAAGTGGTGTTAGAAGGTAGCTGCGGAGGGCGGAAAGAGTGTTTTATGTGTTGCTTCTTTGCTAGCCTCTAAAATCTGTTGTTTGTTTATACTCAGCACCTGGTATGACTCTGCAGCTTTCCCTGAAAGTGGATATCTAAGGCGCATATTTCTCCCTTTGAATCTTTTCTTGAAGAAAAACAAATGTTTGCTTAGTGGAAATAGAAGCCGGAGAACTATTTATTTATTTGTTTATTTATTTTTGAAACAGGGTCTTGCTATGTAGTTCAGGCTGGTCTTGAACTCAGTATGTATGCTACCCTCAAACTTGCAGTGATCCCATGGCCTCAGCCTCCTGAGTTCTGAGACATATACCACCATGCCCGGCAATGGAGAGCTTTTTTAGAAACCACAGGAATAAAAAAAATAGAAGTATGCATGTCTAGATGTCTCCCCAAGCCTCATGCAGTTATGGGGGTAGACTTCTAGACTTTGTGATTCATTCAAGGTCCGATGCTGGGATTATGAGTGTGAGTATTGCACCTAACCTTCGAGTGGGTAACCTGCAAACGTTGTAAGGGATAGAAGGATCTTCTCTCCGTGCTCCTTCCTTTGTGCTTTTGTTGTTTTTGTGTTTTCCACCACTGTAAACTGTTGGCCTCTGCCACAAGCCACCCTGCCTTGGACCTAGCAGATTATGGACTGAAACCTCCAAAACTGTGAGCTAAAGGAACCTTTCCCTCCTTCACTTTGGGTGTTGGGTATTTTGTTTCAGCCATGAGAGAAAAATAATCAACACAATGAGTGACCTCTGAATCTGCACTGCACTCCCTAAAGGGAAGAAAGCTGGACACCTTTAATGCACTTCCCGAGGGTGAAGAGGGACCAAGTACTGAACAAAGCAAGAGTCCACTATTGATACTCAGAGTCTTAAGACAAAGCTGTTTCTGTTTTCAGTCATTTGGATTGATCTGCATGACCAGCCTGTTTACTGTAAGAACCAGCCAAAGGGACTGCTTTAAGACGTGAGTATGAATCTGGCCAGGCAGTTGCCCTCTTTTAGTGGTTGATTTCCTGGGATGAAATTTCCTTTGTTTGGGATTGTTTGGGATTCTGAAAGTTGAACAATTCTCACTGTTCCTTTCTGTGACCAGTAGCTCTTATGCTTAGCCACAGAAGTTCAGCCTTGAAAACGATGATTTTGGGGCTGGGGATTTAGCTCAGCGGCATAAGTTCCTGCCTTGCAAGTAGGCAGTCGTGAGTTCAATCCCTGGTACCGAAAAAGACAAAAAAAAAAAAAAAAAGGATGATTTTGGCTTTGCCTTTTTAGTACTATGAACCACTCTAGTTATTTTAAATTCCAAGAACAATTAGCTTTCATTTATTTTATGTAATGTAGCACATCTGGGAAGGGAGGCTTCTTTTTGAGGAGAGGGTGCTGGGGTTTGAACCTAGGGCCTTCACATTGAATATCCCAGCCCTTTTTAACTTGTTATTATTTTTGTTTTAAAATTTTGAGACAGAGTCTCACTAAATTTTCCAGTCTGGGCTTGAATTTATAATTTTCCTGTCTCACCTTCTAGAGTTCTGTGATTACAGTATGAGCCACCACTCCTGTAAGCAAGGCATTTTGATTAAACAACAAACTTGATAACAACTGAGCCTTAATCTAGAGTCCAGTTGTACCAAAGAGGTGGTAAGAATAAGAGACAATAGCAACGGGAAATGGAAACTTTAAAATCAGATCTTGTCACTTAGTAACTCTGACTGCTCAAGAAGTCCAGACATAAATACAGCATAAAAAGACTCACAACTGTTTTCTCTGTTTATTTTTTGTTTTTTGTTTTGGTACCAGTAATTGAACTCAGGACCTTGTGCTTGCCAGGCAGGCACTGTGCCACTGAGCTATACCCACACCTTCCTGTTTTCTCTGTTTAATACCAAGAGAAAAAACAGCCTTGCTAGGAGGTAGATGAGTGTCGAGAGAAGTTTTTGGTTGGCACAATCGGCGTGTTGGGGAGGGAGGAGGATCGATGCAGAGGGTCTCCTGAACAACCTACCACACACAGACAGCCCTACAACAAGGAAGTATCCAGCCCCCAAATGTCACTAGGCCAAGTCAAGAAGTCCTGACTTTGAAGAATTCTAGTTTTCCTGGACAGATGAAATCATAGGATGCATCCTGAGCTTTCTGGCAGATCTGCTACAAATCTCCAAAACAGAAAACACTTAATTATTTAGTTAATATCTCTGGGACAAAAAAAGAAAAGAAAGTAAACTAAAGCAACTACCTAGAATGGATCCCACTATTCCATTGAACACTGCTGAATGTTTTTATCATAGGCCTCAAGAACATTTAAAACTTACCGTAATGTCTCTGGTGCAGTGATGAAAAATAAGCCTTCTGAACATTTTAAAAGTTATTTCCCAGTAATGATAACAAAACCCATTCTATTCTACTTTTCACAATCTCAGCCTTACAAAAACACTAAATTATACTAAAATAATGCATTGTAATTTAAAAACAAACCAACTTACATGCACACACCTATTTATATACATATATCATTTGCTTTTCCTAATAACCATGAAAGGAAGATAGGGCAGGTGCTCTTATTCTAACTTTATAGGTAAGAAAATGGAGTCTCGGAGACTATGTGACTGACCTAAGATCATCACATAACTCCCAGCAGACAGAAATTTAGGACTAAAACCAAGTGACTCTGACCAGGCACTTGGTGCTCTTGCTGTTGTGTTTCATGTCCTTTCTGTAGGTTTCCAGAAGCATTTGTATTTAGCCTCTGTAAAACACAAGTCTGAACACAGAATGTCAAGCACAGTATGTTTTTTGTCTCTGCTGCGCATACGCTAAAAAGCCTGAGCAATCACTTGTCTTAAGGGAGGTGGTTGGAGTCAGTTTAGGCAAGACTGAAACCTGATTTCTGCTCTAGATTTCATTACTGACTTGCTTTATGACTTTCAACAAATCATAGAACCTCTCCGCCTTAATTTGTCCATTTTTTTCTTGGTTCTGTGGCAACAACATAGTATGAAACCTATGAAGGCTGTCTTTAAAACCCATTATGGTCTACTTAAGTGTTTTAAAATTAAGTTTATTTCCTTGGAATATTGTATATAAAGTCATTGGCAGCATTGTCGATCACAGATGGCAGTTCAGTGGCCTGATTTTTGAAGACTGCGAATACCCCAGTGACAGGGCTTTTATAACACCTTGTAACTTTAAAAATTTAATTCAGAAGTTGAAGCCTCTTACCTATCAAACAAAGAAGTTGAATAGAGAAAAACAAAATGGAGGGATGGGTATTTACAGTCTACAGACAAAATTATCAAAATAGAAAAAAATTATATTCAACAGTAGGATCAGGGTGGCATATGTGAGAGTCACCTTACAATTAAAAGCAAAGCATGGGAAAATATATTTTAGGTCCCAGTTTCCTTTCAGAATTGGATACCCTTCAGAAGAGGTGCCAAGGGTTTATATTACCCTGGTTTAGCTTGTTGTACTGGTTATTGGAAATAGAGAAGCAACACCCTGGGACTGGGTGGGATTTCAATGCTAGTGTTTCTTTTGTAGGTTAACGAAGGAAGCCAACTGGACTAACCTTGTATGTCTTTCTCTTGAAAGTCTCCAGAGGAGTGCGAGCAGCACTGAGTTCACAACAGAGCCTCGAGTTACCACATCTCAGGAAGAGTATGGCCACTCCCCGGAGTGCAGTCTTTTTCACAGTGGCGATATCCTGTGTTTGCAGCACAGTCTTCCACAGAGACCAGCAGACTTGGTTTGAAGGTGTCTTCCTGTCTTCCATGTGCCCCATCAACGTCAGTGCTAGTACCTTCTATGGGATTATGTTCGATGCAGGGAGCACTGGAACTCGAATTCATGTTTATACTTTCGTGCAGAAAGTACAGGGTAAGTGCAGTGGGACCCTCACCAGAGGCTAAATCCATGTTTTAGCATCTCCTCCCACACACAGATGTAGAGGCAAGAATCTCACAACTCCTGAGTGTCTTTCTTCAGCGAACACTTTGGATTTTAATCAAACACATAATTTAACTTGATGTGAAGTTAAGAGAAATCTTGGCCGCCTGTAGTCTGAAATCCTTATGTCCAAGAAATATAAATCACTTTCCCTTCTCTGATCTTGGTTAATATCCCAGGGGGTCCAGATATTGAGAATTTTGGGAGTGATCTTGGAAAGGCACGCATGAGAGTTTCCCCATCATCCTTGGAGAAGGGATGAAGGGGACCCTGAAGATTAACTTTTTCTGAATGTCAGCCCTTCCTCAGGGTTACCTAAGGAGCCTGGGGAAACGGGTAGGAGCTAGGCATCCAGCAGAGGAAGGGCAGAGAGATTGCCTCAAGTGGGATCATTAGCACGGGAGAAGAGGAGATTAATCTAGTAGGTCATCAGTTTACACACCCTACAAGCCTGTCTCTTGGTAATCAGCGATCTCTCTTATTTTTGTTTTGGGGACAAAACAGGACAGCTTCCAGTACTGGAAGGGGAAATTTTTGAGTCTTTGAAACCAGGACTTTCTGCTTTTGTAGATCAACCGAAGCAGGTAAGTTTTCTATTATTCGATGTTTAAATTCTCAGTGCCTCGGTAACTTGACCATGCCACTGCTACTGAACACCTCACTGTTCATGAGTGATACTGAGAGCGTGTGTGAGTGAGACCAGTGTTCTCTCATAAGTGAGTCTCCTGGATATCAGTTGTTATATATGTAAGGCTCACTAGGGGGCTGGAAAATAGGTTGTGCTCCTGCAGGAATGATAGCAGCTTTTAAGACTTAACATTACCATTTACCATTTAAGATTTTGAATTGAAGACAACTCAGTGTAAATACAGAAAATAACCATGAAGTTCTGTAGTACATCAAGTATACCCACAGCAGCTAAGGGATAAAGAATTTCATTTCAGAGTGCCTCATGCAGCTGGGTGTGGTGACACACGCCTGTAATCCTAGCCCTCGGGAGGCTGAGGCAGGAGAATTTGCCATAAGTTCAAGGCCAGCCTGGGCTACATAGTGAGTTCAAGGCCTGCCTGCAGTACATGGTGAGGTCCTGTCTCAAAAAAAAAAAAAAAAAAAAAAAAAAAAACTAAAAAGATAAAACAGTCCCTCATGAAGGGGGGAACTATAAGAAATTAGGCGGCATCCCACAGTGACGGAAATCTTTGGTAGTAGAAGATAAAATGGAGTTTGTGGCACCTGGTGGCTGTATTTCTCATTTGAGTATGTGTAATGTGTTATACCAGTGTGTCTTGTGCCAACACTGAAATAAAATAGAGTAAGGCAGAATGTTGAACTTTGGTAGTAGATATAAAGTGTCGTTCAGGGTAACAGAATAATTATTAACCAAGGGAAAAACTGGCATTAAGAATGGGTTGCGTTGCCAAGCATGGTGTGTAAACCTGTAATCCTAGATCTTAGGAAACTGAGGCAGGGGGTCATGAGTTTAAAGCTAGCCTGGACGGAATAGCAAGGCCCTGTCTTAAAAAAAGACTAAAAAAAAAAAACCTAAAGAACAAACGGAAATAAAAAGGTCTGAAAGCCTGGTGAGTTTTATGCACATCTCATTCCAGGCTCAAAATGCTTCAATCAGAGGATCCTGAGTCCAGAAGTTTGAGACCAGCACAGGCAACATTGGACCTTGTGTCCAAAAAAAAGAGGGGGGATGGTTTGAGCTTGGAAACTGAGAGGATATGTTTGCTCAGTTTAGTGTCAATGAGGTATAATTAGAGCTGTTGAAATCAATTACGTTACTGGAAAATGATTTGACATTTAGAAACAACTGTGTTATGGCTACTGGGAATTAAACCCAAGCCTTGTGCATGCCAGGCAACCCCTCTACCACTGGTGTATATCCCCAGTCCCCACCATGACCTTTTTTAAAAAAATTTTTTATGAGACAGGGTCTCACAAAATTGCCCAGACCAACTTCAACCATGTAATCATCCTGTCTCAGCCTCCCACATAACTGGGATTACAGGCATGCACCTGCTGAAATACTAGATTTTTTGAAAATGCTTTTCATTTATTGTAAATTGAGCATCTACTGGGTGCCATGCATTCTAGATGCCAGTGATATAAAAATGAGCCTGACACACTTTGTCCTTAAGGAGACCTGAAAGTATAGAGTGTTAACAACTACAGCTGAAATCCATGGACAGCCATATGCACTCTGTGCCCAGCAGGTCAGTGATGGTGTGAGCTGGCACATAGCTCTCATTGCTTACCCAAGGGAACCAAGTCCTGTGTAGGCCAGGTGACCTATGTTAGGTCACAGGGCTAACAAACCTTCCCAGTGCCCTGCACTATTCCCAGCTTTCTGACTTCAACCAAATTCATTGAGACATCAAACAGCAATCACTGGGCATGGTGGCACATACCTCCTTGTAATCCTAGTATTAGGGAGGCTGAGGCAGGAGGATCATCCTGAGTTCCAGGCCAGACTGACTTACATAGAATGGGTTCTCTCTTTTGAAGGGCGCTGAGACTGTTCAAGAACTATTAGAAGTGGCCAAGGACTCCATCCCCCAAAGTCACTGGAAAAGGACCCCGGTGGTGCTGAAGGCCACAGCAGGGCTGCGCTTACTGCCAGAACAGAAAGCCCAGGCTCTGCTGTTTGAGGTAATTTTTGAGATCAGCCTCTTTGATAATTCTGTCTTTTCCTCTATGTTAATATTTTATTTTCTGAAGTGTCACTACTGCTTGGAACATTCCACAGGTTAAAACACTAGGGTGGGTTCTTCTTGTACCAAGTTCTTTTTTTTTTTTTAATGCAGTACTGGAAATCAAACCGGGGCACTCTACCACTGAGCTACATCCCTACTCTTTTTATTCTTTGTTTTGAGACAGGATCTTACTAATTTTCCCAGGCTAACCTTGAAGTTGCAATCCTCTCGCCTCAGCTATGGTGACTCACACCCATAATCAGGAGGCTGAGGCAGAAAATCCAAATTCAAGACCAACATCATATCAAAAAGATAGGAGATTATAGTTTATTACTCCCAGGATTTAATCCTTAATACCAAATTAACTAAATAAAACAGAGTCATAGAAATGGTTTTTAATCAATTTTGTTGAAGTAAATTTATATATAATAAGACCTGTCCAAAATTATGTCCAAAGAAGTTTCCTTGTTCATTTCCCCACCCACTGAAATCAGGCAACTCCTGATCTTGTTTTGGTCCCTAAAGATTAGGTTTAGCTTGTTCTTACATTTCATATGAATGGAATCATACAGCTAATATTTTCTTTTTTACTGTCTGGGTTTTTTATTCTTAACAGAGTTTTTGCAAATTATGGAGTTTTGCTTGTTGTTTTGAGACAGTCTTCCTATTTAATTCAGGCTGGCCTTGAACTCACTATGTTATCCAGGGTAACTTCAATCTTGCAGTGATCTTCGTGCCTCAGCCTCCTAGGGGTTACAAGTGTGTGTCACTACATCTGGCAAGTTATGGTGTTTTTTTTTTTTAAACTTTTTTTTTTCTAACTTTTTATCGGTACCAGGGATCGAATTCACGACCGCCTGCTTGCAAGGCAGGTGCTTATGCCACTGAGCTAAATCCCCAGGCCCAAGTTATGGAGTTTTAAAGTTTGATTTTGTTGTTGTTTTGAAATAAAGTCTCACTATGTAGTTATATAGTTCAGGCTGGCCTTGAACTCTCAGTAATGCTTCTGCCTCAGCCTTCTCAGTGCTGAGATTACAGGCATGTACCACCATGCCTCGTAAATTTGAAATATTTTTAAATGTCTTATTTATTTATTTATGGTACAGGAATTGAATTCAGAACCTTGCACTTGCTAGGCAGACTCTGTGCTACAAAGCTATGTCCCTGGCCCTGTTTTTCAAAAGTCTTTTTGGGGGGAGTGGGTGTAGGCACTGGGAACTGAACTCAGGACCCATCCTTGCCAGGCAGATGCTATGCCACTAAACTAAATCCTCAGTCCCTTACAAGTCTTTTTTAAAAGTCCTCTTTCTTTTGTATTCAGATGAAAAATGTATAGAGTTTTAGGAAATTCTAGTATTTAAAATTTTATTGTATATATTTATTGTGCAATAAATACATATTTAAATTTTACATTATAGGCAGAAAACATTTATAGGCAGAACCACATCCTTAAAATTTAAAAAAATCACAGCAAAAAAGTGTTCGTTACAATTGTGCTAGTAGTACGCTGACTTTATTTTCCTTCAACAGAGAGCTTCAGTCCTTTCTCCAAGGACAAACAGCCTAGTGTGTGTGAAAACCTGCCCCTCGACCCCTCATGTACTTATTAGTACATGAGTATTTCTGGGGGCTGGCAAAGTTGCTGAGATGCTGACAGCAGGGAAAAGAGAAGACCATCACTGTCTGACACATGGAGTTTGCATTCCATTTCCAGGGAAACAAAACAAACAACTGAACAAGTCAGAGTAAAGTGTGTTGGGCACTATAGATGTTATGGAGAAAAACAGTAGGGTACTGGCCAGGTCAGGAGCGCTGGTACAGCTGCCAGCAGAGATGCTATTTAGACAGCAGTGAGTATTTCAAGTTCTAAAGAAAAACCACCTTCAACTCAGATTGGTGTACCCGGAAAAACTGTCTTTTAAAACTGATGGAGAAATAAGATACTTCCATGACCACATCTGAGGAAATTTATAACCACCAAACCAGCACTCCAAAATGTCCTGAAGGACATTCTAAAAAACATAACAAGGACCACAGCTCCATGAATCCCAACAGAAGGAATCCACCAGGCAAGGCAAACAGAAATGGAAGGGGGAAAAAAGGTGGGGAGCCAACAACAGGAAAATAAAATGACAAGGGCAAGTCAGCGCATGCCAGTCATAACCATCAGTGTTAATGGTCGCAATTCACCAACCAAAAGACACAAACTGGCAGAATGGATCAATAAACGAGATTCAACAATACGCTGCATACTAGACAGCAGTCAAGAACATGACATTTTGCATAAGAATCTCTTGAGCCAGGGTGTGGTGGTGCATACCTGTAATCCCAGCACTTGGGAGGCCAAGGCAGAATTGTCATGAGATCTAGAGAAACCTGGAATACACAGCAAATTCTAGCCCAGCCTGAACCACATAGTGAGACCTTGTTTCAAAAACCAAAATGAAACAAACAAACAGAGATTCATTTGATCGGAGAGAAGTGTGTGGGTAATGGAAAAGCACATATATAAGCATTTTTGAGGAGAATATTTCAGGCTAAAGAAATGGTACAGAGGTCAAGTGAGAAACATGCCCAGGTGTTCAGAAAAGTACCCAGGAAGCCAGCTCAGCTGGAGGAGACTGAGCAGTGAGAGGGAAGCAGGAGATGAGATCAGAGAGGCAGGGGGTAATTTATCCCACAGACTCTCAAAGGCCAAGTAAAGATCTTGGTTTTCTCTAAGAAGAAAGCTAGTAGAACATTCTGAGCTAAGGACAGACAATCTGGTGTCTGTTTTAAAAACACCATTCTGAGCCGGGCATAGTGGCAAACACGGATAATCCTAGCTACTAATGAGTCTGAGGCAAGAGGATCAAGAATTAAGGCTGGGCTGAGGAATTTACCAAGATCCTGTCTCAAAAAATAGGCCTGTAGGCGCCAGGAATTTAGCTCAGTGGCACAGTTCCTGTCTGGCAAGCATGAAATCCTGAGTTTGATTCCTGGTACACACACAAAAAATAGGCCTGGGGATGTGGCACTGGTGTTTGCCTAGTAAGCAGGAGGCCCTGGATTCAGTCCCAAATACTGCAGTAAATAATTAAATAAATAAATGATAAACGCACCCTTCTGGCTGCTGTGTTGAAAACAAATTGGGGTGGAAGAGAGGAGGGAAGAAGACAAGAGCAAATCTGCGCTTATTCCTGTTTGCTTATTGTCGTCTCTTTTTTTAAAATTTTTATTTTTATTTTAAAGGCGGTTAAATTAAACACAAGACAGACAAAATAGGACATAAGAAAGCAATGTAAGAGATATCAATTTCAAAGCTAGACGACCTGAGATCTTCACTATCTATCATAGTGTCTCTTGTTTTCTTCTAAATAGTTGTCCAGGTCTTTGCATACGGAGAATTCATACAAAACAACATGGTATAAAACTGATCCGAACAGGATGAGGAAGGCATTTTAGGTCTTCAAAATCACACAACAGGGAAGTCACTAATGGCTGTTGTAGAGTCTCTCATTCTCTTCAAAATAGCTGTCCATACTTTCGTGTATATTGAAGTTCAACAAAACAAAACAGTCAGGGGGGAGGGGTTGCTTGGTTTCCCAGCGCTCCAGGTCCCAGCATGGCACGGGTCCCAGTAAATGCCAGAGGCTCCCATCCTGGGCTGCCGCAATGCCATGCTCACAGCTGCTCCCCAGGGGGGAGGAGGGATTGCTTGAATCCCCCCCCCCCCCCATGCTGCAGGTCCTAGTAAACGCCAGTGGGCTCCTGTCCTGGGCTGCCGGAGCCTACTGTCTTCTCCTTAAAAGCTTGTTTTTTGGTTTTTTGGTTTTTTTTCTTTTGGTCTTGGGGATTGAACTCATGACCTCATGCTTGCCAGACAGATGCTTACACCACTAAGTATACTGCTGAGCTAAATCCCCAAGCCTAAAAGCTTGTTTATAGTTCACCTAACTGGCTTTCCTGGTAGAAGCAGGGTCCAGAGGTCACTGCTTGATGTGACCTTAAGAAAACAAGCAACAGCAAACAGCATGGGTTATATTCACGAGGAATCAAGAGCATTCATGGGAGATCTTGGGTCCCTCCTCCTAACACAGTAACTGTAAGTCTGGGTCTGGGGTCTAACTCTGACTCTAGAGGCCCCAGCCATGTGTCAGCATCCAATGGGCTGGTGGCAGAGTACCTCAGCCTTTGGAGCTCCTGCCCCGTAGCAGGTTCAGTGTGCATCTGAAAAGTGGCATGGGACAGGCTCCTCCCCGTGTCCCACACATCCAAGGGGTTTTCCCTAAATTTTAGGATCCTCATTACCAGGGAAGAGTCAGATATCTGCTTTTTCCCATATCCAGTTCATGTATAAATTTAATAGATTGATTGAGACTTACTTTACAGTTAAAGGAATCCTTGTGTCTGTGTTTTTGCAAGAAAATAACCTGGGTGTGAGTTCTTTCTCTGGTTTTTTGGGAAAAGTTTAGTGCTGCTAAAATTGTATCTAGTGGAAATAGAGTAGTTTTGTACGCCTTGTAGAACACAGCTGAAATGTGCACACATCTTTTATTACCCCAAAGAGTCCAGGCTTTTTTCCTCTTTTGTTGCAGGTAGAGGAGATCTTCAAGAAGTCACCCTTCCTGGTTCCTGATGACAGTGTCAGTATTATGGATGGCTCCAATGAAGGTGGGAGCACTGGGGAAGGAATGTTCTAGGGGGAAACAGTAGTCAGTGAAAGATGTGATTAAAGAGCCGGGATGTGGAATGGTGTGCTAGAGAAAAAGGAACTAAATAAAGAGAAACAAATGGGAAAGAAGAATGGGATAGCAGGAAACACAGCCACATGGGGAATTTAAAAGAACAAAGGTAGAACCACAAAAAAAAAAAAAAAGCTCCAGAGTAGTGTAATGCTTGTTTTTCTCTCTTTTAGGCATATTAGCTTGGATTACTGTGAATTTTCTAACAGGTAATTATGTCCTCATGTTTGTGTTAAGACCTTAAGTGGTTGAATATGGTGGCATACACCTGTTATCTTAGCACTCCAGAGGCAGAAAGATTGCACATTTGAGGCCATGCTGCAATACATAGTGAGACCCTTTTGGTCTCAAAATGGGAAAAGAAAAAAAAAAGACTTTATTGGGCACAATTGGCAGAGTAAAAATTCCTTTCGTCCTTCATTTGAAAAAGAGCCTGAGAGCTGAGGATATAGCTCAGAGCAGTGTCTGCCTAGCAAGTGGAAGATCCTGAGTTTGATTCCTGGTGTCAAAACAAAACCAAAAAGAGGTGAGAAGCTGGGCATGGTGGCACCCACCTATAATCCCAGCACTTGGAAGTTAGAGGCCAACCTATACTATATAGCAAGACCGTGTGTCAAAAATAGTGGGTGGGGGGAGGGGATCAGAGCATGGTGGTGTCAGCCTGTAATTCCAATAATTGGGAGCCTGAGCTAAGAGAAGAGCAAGCTCAAAGCCAACCTTGCCAGGCATGTTAGCACAAGCCTGTAATTCCAGCACTCAGGAGGTTGAGGCAGGAGGATTGCCTTGAGTGCGTGGTCAGTTTGGTCTTCAATGATTCAAAGCCAGCCTTGGCAATTTAATGAGATCATATCTTTAAAAGGGGTCTGGGGATGTAGCTCAGAGTTCAATTCCCAGTACTGAAAAAAAAAAAAAAAAAAAAAAAGAAGTTAATAGTTACACTGTCTTCAAGGTCTCACCTCCTCCAAGAGTCCTCCTGACCTGACACTTCCTTGCAGCCTTAGAGGCCAAGGAGCAGTATTGCATATTTTTGGAATAGCATCAGTGTATAAGAGCAGTAGAGAATTGCAGGCCAGTGTGTATTGGGCTCTGCAGATGTGGGGGACATTCTGAGCTCTCTGTTGATAGGTCAGCTGCACAGCAATGGGCAAGAGACTGTGGGGACCCTGGACCTGGGAGGGGCTTCCACCCAGATCACATTCCTGCCCCAGTTTGAGGTGAGTGGCTCACGCTGGGTAGCAGTAGCGGCACACTTGGCAGGCATATCGTGGCATGGAGAAAGTGCTGGCTTGCTTTCTGACAGCAGCGCTTCCACAAACAGGCTGAGTCATCGTGACTGGCAAGCTTCCCCTTGCCCTCTCACTGTTTAGAATCCTTTTGATTTCTCAAGCCTTGTGAGGTTGGCAGTGTAAACTGTCTCCATCTATGGTTTTTTTTGTTTTCTTTTTTTGCAGGCATGGGGTGGAGGGTGGGCAGGGATGGTGGTGATAAAAGCATCAGCTAATTACATATCCTGAATAGTCTTTTTGCTTTTTCTGATTTGCAGAAAACCTTGGAACAAACCCCTAGGGGCTACCTCACTTCCTTTGAGATGTTTAACAGCACTTATAAGCTGTATACCCATAGGTGAGGAAGGGGAGAGGGAAGAAGATACCACATTATCTGATTCTGCTAACTTTGCAAAGCATTTCAAACCTTTACTGCATTTGATCAGCCTTGTCTTTGCCAGTCAGCGCAAATCTTAACAAACCCAAGATGCCTCTAAAATGTGTTTTTTGGGCTGGGGATTTATCTCAGCGGTGTAAGCACCTGCCTTGCAAGCACGCAATTGTGAGTTCAATCCCCGGTACCGATTTAAAAAAAAAAAAAAGGAAATCTCAATGTAAAAAATGTGTTTCTTTAGAGGCAGGAGCACATTGGAGGAGGCTCAGCCAAAGCTCTGTAATCTCTGCCTAGAGTTTGAGCCTCACTGGGATAATGAGGGCTTCTCTGAGAGGAGTTCCAGGGTTGGGGGAGACCCTAGGAAGGATCACCATTGCTGGCCTTCGAATCAGACCTGTAAGCAGCTCTTCATGGACAGCCTTGGTCCAAAAGGTGTAGACATTTCTTCTTTTTGACCACATGAGCTAAGTAAATCACAAAGACAGAGAAACCGTGTTATTTTTGAAAGCCATAGCTTAGGGCTGGAGAACTTGAAGACTAGCAAGAGATTGGTCAACCCTGTATTTTACAGTTACTTGGGACTTGGATTGAAAGCTGCAAGACTAGCAACCCTGGGAGCCCTGGAGACAGAAGGTTTGCCTGGGTACCTCTGCCGGGTGTGGGATGGTGAGGGTGATACTGGTACTCAGCTCATTGCTTCCTTCCTTGGCTATGATTCTGGAGAGGAAAGATTCATGTTGAGTTAGGAAGCCTGGGTTGTATAATGGGCATAACGATTGCAAACTCCTTGTAACTAGAAGATCAGGTGCTTTGCTGTGTATTATTAGTCATTTTTAGAATGAAGTCTACTTGGAGCCTGAGGTTGGAGCCTGAAGCTTCTGTAGAAAATCAGGTGTCAGAGTATTTGACAAGAGTTTGCACAGGCCCTTGGCCTCGTGGGAGGTGCAGGAAGCCAGGTCTGCTGTATTTGAAAGGTAGAATATCTGAGCAGTTCCATTCAGCTCTTCATAGTTTAGGTCAGGCAGAACTGGGTACAATCTCAGTTTTGTGATTTGGGTCAATTTAGTTGACTTTTTTGTATCCTGTTCCTCACCTTAGGTGTGTGACTTTGCATTTAATGCACTTTGTGTAGTGTCTTGCTCACAGTAAGCCATTAGTGCGATGGAGATTGAATAGTAATTCATAGTTTTCCAAACATCTTCAAGTATATTTCAGGTAAGCCTCTTGGCTACTCCTGAAGAGAGGTAGCACAGTATTTTAACCCCATTGTAGACAAGAAGAAACCTTACTGTGGGGTTTTCCTTTCACTGAAATGTAATGAAAACCACAGACCTTCTACCACAGGCACATGTGCACAAAGTGTGTCTGTACTTTCAGGGGTGTTATCAACCCCACAAGCCTATGAACCCTGAGTCAAGAATTTCTGTCACAGAAAAAGAGAAAAAAGAAAAGGGATTGCTGTCACAAGATGCAATTAAGGAACTGATTGCATAAGATTTTAAGGCTTTAGGGGCTGGGGATTTAGCTCAGCGGCATAAGCACCTGCCTTGCAAGCAGGCGGTCGTGAGTTCGATCCCTGGTACCGATAAAAATGAAAAAGACAAAAAAAAAAAAAAAAGATTTTAAGGCTTTACCCTCTCAGTAATCCCATTCAGCCTTACAGACTTAATCTTGTTCTGTCTCTTTCTACGTCTGTCTGTGGCTGTCTCTCACTTCCTGTCTCTGTCTGTCTCTCTGACCTGCCTCTTTTCACTCTGGTTTCTTTTAGGGATTGAGGGACAAACCTTCCGAAGTGCCTGTCTACCAAGATGGTTGGAAGCAGAGTGGATCTTTGGGGGTGTGAAATACCAGTATGGTGGCAACCAGGAGGGTGAGTAGTGCTTTTCATGACCTTTGCAGTAGAAGTTCTGCAAAATCCCATGGGAAACTTTCTTCTGAGCTCAAGACAGCTTCTCATGTTGCAAGCACTCATTCCAGAGATCTTTGGACTCCTCTAGGGACTTATGGGAAGGGACAGCAAATAAGGCAGCTGTCACTCTGCAGCCTGTTTTCTGTTTCCTGATGTGAGTATCACAGATCCATTAGAAACCTGTTAGTAGCCTGAATCTAATGCAGCAGCCTGAAACCATTTCAGGTTCAGGTAATGTTTTTTATGGTCTCAAAAAAAAGAAGAAATGTAGAAAGACAAAGTTTTCACCATTTCCTGAAAGTCTCTTGTATCCTACATTTTTGTCTTATCTATGCTCACACTAAGCCATTAGTGCGATGGAGATTGAATTAGTGTGAGTTTTTAATGTTATTTATTTATTTAGTTTTTATCGATACCGGGGATCGAACTCAGGACTGCATGCTTGCAAGGCAGGCCCTTACGCTGCTGAGCTAAATCCCCAGCCCCTGTCTAGCTATTTAAATCATAGTAAAAACTTAAAAAGTTGAGATGATAGGGGGAAGTTGAGATCATCTTAGCTATTATAAAAGGCATACACTTTAAAATCATGGAAGAAAGTTGTTTTCCCACTAAAGGAAACAAGTGAGCCCTCCAAATCCCTGCTCACAGAGACCGTGGGACATTACAGTGGGCTGGAGCTGTCTGGTGAACATGGGTTAGAGGGGGGCTGCCTTGAAGTAACTGCAGTGGGGCTGCAGAAGCTGACTCAGCCTTGTTTCTGGGGCTTTTGTTCTGAGTGTCAGCCTGCTCCTTGGTCCTTCTGCTGCCCCCTTCCTGGCTCCAGGCTTCCTCACAGAGAAGCCCTCGCCCTGTCACTGTTGTCAGTGTGCACTTTTGCCTGGCAGGGGAGGTGGGCTTTGAGCCCTGCTACGCTGAAGTGCTGAGGGTGGTACAAGGAAAGCTTCACCAGCCAGACGAGGTCCAGGGAGGCTCCTTCTACGCCTTCTCTTACTATTATGACCGAGCTGTCGAGACAGACATGATTGGTGAGTTGGCCCCGGCAGCAGGCCAGGATGGGAGGTGGAGGGCTGTGGGGAGGCTGTGGGGGGCTCAGCTCCTGCTGTTTTGTGCAGCTGGGGATGAATATGACTTGGCATCTTTGGGAGCTAGGTGAGCTAAACAAGTGTACATGAGACCTTTTTCTTTTATCTTTAACCTTTTTTTTTTTTGGTATCGGGGTTTGAACTCACGACCTCAAGCTTCCCACGCAGGTGCTTGTGCCTTTGAGCTAAATCCCCAGCAGCTTTTTCCTTTTCTTAATTTTACACCTTTTTTTCTTCCCATGATACTGGGAATTGAACTCAGCACCTTGCACGTGCCAGGCAGGCACTGTGCCACTGAGCTACAGTCCTGGCCCTTTACACTTTTATCGACACAGGATAAATGCACATGTTTATAGTGTGGTTTGCCAAGTTTTGTCATCTGCATATAATTGTGAAACCATCACAACATTCAAGACAATGAACAATTAATCTATCCCCCTAAGCAATTTTCTCCTGCTTTGGGGATTCCTTTTTTCCTTATCACCAAAGTTATGCTTTTGTTTAGGGAGAGAGTATGTGTGCATGTCCTATCATGTTTTGATAAATACGAATTAAAATCTTACTTTTTGTGTTTTTTATGACCCTACTTACTTATTGCAGTTAAACATATGTAACATAAAATAGATAACCCTCATTAATTGTAAATATATAAAATAGGCAGCATAGGTTTGTATTGTATAGATACATATTTGTATATTCCACTCTTACATATTGGAAATTTTATTTTTGGTTTTTCATTATTATAAATATCACTAGTATGAGGTTTCTAGTTTCTTTGAAGGCCGTTTGACACCAGTTACTGTTCTGCTTCATTTCAGATTATGAAAAGGGAGGCGCTTTGAAAGTTGAAGATTTTGAAAGAAAAGCCAGGGAAGGTGAGTGTCAGGAAACCCTTGAAAGGCAGGTTTGAGGGACACCTGCCCACTCAGTGACCTGACATGACTGCACAGAGGACTGCTTCCAATCAGTACGAGAACTCAAAGCATCAGGTGGCATAGATAAGACAAAAATGTAGGGTACAAGAGGCTTTCAGGAAATGGTGAAAACTGTCTTTGTCTTTCTACATTTCTTCTTTTTTTTTGAGACCAAGACTTTAGGTTGGCCTTGAACTCTCAGCAGTCTTGTTGCCTCAGCCTCCCAAATGCTAGGATTACAAAGTGAAATATTATTATCAATGTTAACGAAACGCCAAGCACCAAATACATGGGACACAGCCTCAGGTGCTTCCTCAAGAGGGCGACTCCAAATAAGATGCAAATAATCTTAATCCTGTGGCCCCCCAGGTGGGATAAATGGTATTACCCCATCTTCTCAGCCTCTGCATTAATCATAGGCAAGAAATTTAGAAACAAACCCCCACAGTTGGTCATAGAAATTTGACAGTTAGTGGGCTGGGCATGTAGCTCAGTGGTAGACTACTTGACTAGTATGTACAAGGCTCTGGGTTCAAACCTCAGCTTCCCCATCCAACAGAAAAGAAGTTTCATAAACAAAGTAGGACCCATGTAACTGAGAGTAGTTAATATTTCACACCAGACTTGTGCTAGTTCTTACGAAGCTTTGGTCTTTCAGAGGCAATCAGTGCACAGCCTGGTCTCTGAGAATCCCAGCCACAGACCAAATACAGACTCCTGCTTTGCTTATTGTACGTCCCTATTTAGAGAAAATCTTGCATCTCTCAGCTCCATTGCACACTTGAGCCAAACTGTGTACCGCCTGTCACTTTCAGTGTGTGACAACTTGGAGAACTTCACCTCAGGCAGTCCTTTCCTGTGCATGGATCTCAGCTACATCACAGCCCTGTTAAAAGATGGCTTTGGCTTTGCAGACAGCACTGTCTTACAGGTAAGATACAGGTCATTGTTGTCCTCTAACAGTCTTTTGTTGGTATTTGAAAGAAGTTAAGATCTTGCTTAGTGATTGAAATTGTGAATTTCAGGTCACAGTAAACCAGTTCATTTTCTAAGCCCTCCTCCTCCCACCTCCCCTTGTATCAACTCCTATTTCCCCAATTTGGGATGAGTTTATATTGCCCCATATATTATACATTTATACATTTCATAGTCATTTCTACTATGGTATTTGAACTTGAGTGTCAGCAATATCAACTGATAAAATAGGGCTCTTCTGAACCAAAAATTAGGGGCCTGGAACACCCTTGCCATTCAGATTCCCTTTCTCATTCAAATCATTTCCAAGGATTCCCTGGAATTCAAAAGAAAACAATGTGATAGACTACTAATCCCCGTGTTCTGTAATTGAGGAAATCAGGTTTAAAGTCTTGTCCTAGGTCACTGAGCTAAGTGAGGCACAAACTGGCCCAGGATGCCTTAATGCCTGGTGAGTTTACTGTGTGGCAGTCACTCGTACTAGAAACTGAGAAGCTCGGTGTGTTTTCCCACCCGCAATGGTATTCCCAAGTCCTGATAGTGCTCCTTCTACTGCGTCCATTAACATTCCATTTTGTATTACCTTATCAGAAAGAGGTGATGCAGAAAATAAACCAGAGGATGCTGTGCTGTTTCAGGATTAGGAGTTTGGAAGTCTGTGTGCATAGATCTCTCTAGAAGGCCTGAGGAGACCACTTCCTGAGCGGAGGCCCTCAGGAAGGGGAGTCGAGGGCGCAGGGCAATAGGCCGCAGCTGGAGGGAAACTGCCACTGAGGGGAGCAGCCAGAAGCCTCCCGAGACTGGCTCTTCTCGGTTTTGCCTTGTTTTGGACATATGCTTGGTCTTTGAAGATATTATCTGCCTTAGTGCTGTGCTTGCTGGAATTGAAAATGATAAAAATATGAAAACTTTTTTTTTTCCTCTCAACAGCTCACAAAGAAAGTGAACAACATAGAGACGGGCTGGGCCTTGGGGGCCACCTTCCATCTGTTGCAGTCCCTGGGCATCTCCCAGTGAGCCAAGCCTTCCTCCAGGCCCACATGCAGCCTCAGCCTCTCTGACAGGAGGAACAGGGGAGCCGTTTCCCTGAGCTCTTCTGGGTGCTGAAGCCCAGCAGCAGGCTTCTCAGGGAAGGGACTTTTGTAGACGGGTCTTGCCCTCGAACCGAGAGATTTGAGCTGAATTTTACACATTGAATGTGAACCATTACCTGACCACTGGGGTGCACGGCTGGCACTAGAGCTTCAGTGAGCCACAAACAGTTCTGGAGCTCAGCCTTGGAGTGACAGCTCAGCGACAGGTCCCTAGGAACCAGTTAAAAGTCTCTTTTCTATACCTGGGAGTGCCTCATTCCTTGGAAATTGTAATTGTCCTCTTATATGCTAAATTAAGCCAGTTTATTTCTATCTTGTGACCTATGAATGCCAGTGTCTCTTTCCTCCCTCTGTACTGTCCTGTCCTCACCTTTAGTGCACCCTTTTGCTCTGAGAGAAAAAAATGCCTGGTTTTGCTTTCTATATGTAATATTTAAAAAAAAAAAAAAAGAAAGAAGAAAGGTGCTGTATCAGATGGCAGGCTAGGGAAAGAGGCTCTGCAGCCGGGGGAGTGGTGCTGCCTCGCCTGTCTCCCCAGCTCCCGGCACTGTCAGGCTGAGCTCCAGGAGGATGCCAAGTCTGAGCCTAGACCTTGTCTCAAAATACATAATGAATGGGGCTGGGGATGAGCTCAATGAAAAGGCCCTGGGCTCAGTGTCTAATATCACACAAAATAAATGAAGAGAAGAGAGCTGGGTGCTGTGGCAAGCATCTGTAACGCCAGCTACTTGGGAGCTTAGGCAAGAGGATCACAAATTCAAGGCCCCATTGGGCAGTTTAGTAAGACCTTGTCTCAAAAAATGAAGAGGACTGACTAGGGCTGTAGCTCACTGGTAAAGTGCTTGCCTGTATGCATAAGGCCTGGGTTCAGTGTTTTTTTTTTTTTTTTAAAAGATGCCACTCTGTCTATAGGGACATATTTTGGGAGAATGTGGCCACTTTTTATTGCTTATCTTGTGTAGTCAGCTTTTTCTTGGTCAGTGGTAGGATTAATGAACATTTCCAACGTTACACATATGTGTGTATTCAGTGCCAGGGCCACCTCCCAGGCCAATATGTTTATAATATCTGTGATCCTAAATGTCTTTGTATTTTTAAGAAATACAACTATACACTAACTCAGTGATGGTGAACCTTTTAGAGCTTGCAGTGATAACAGAGCCCACGGCAACATGTCATAGGTTACCACCACAGCTTTTGGTCTGTGGCTAGAGGTTAGTTGTCATGTGGGCTCTTTGAGAAACTACAGATTCTAGGTACAGCCTTTCAGTTCACCCATGTGTATGCGTGCATGCATGTGCGTGTGCGTGTGTGTGCGTGTGTTTGAGTGCACAGGGAATTGAGCCCAGGGCCTCACACACACTAAGCACACACTTTACCACTGAGCTACTCCCTTAGTCCTATTTTCCCTTTTATTCCTTATTCCTGTTGTTTTTTAGATGGTTGGTTGGTTGGTTGGTTGGTTTTGTAGTGCTAGGGCTCAAACCCAGGATCTCACAATGCTAGACAAATACTCCACCACACTGAGCTACACTGCAGATCAAATCTTTTCCATTTGTAGTGGTATTTTCCTGGCCTGGCACTTGATCATTTTAACTAAGACTGATTTGTCTAGTTCCAAGAAAGAACCCCCTTCCCAATGATAAACTTTTGATTTGGTTGGCTATTTTGGTCCGTGTTAGAACACTGGGCTAGTGTTTCCAGAGAACCATATTTAATGACTTTCAGGTTCTTTTTTAAAAACTGAATGCCTGAACCTCTTGATTTTGTGAAGGATTCTTCCGAAAGTCATTAACTTTAAAAATTTTTCACTATCTTGTACTTTTCCTATCTGACCGTCATCTGCTTTTTGACTGTCTATCCTATTGCTGTCAAACTTGAAAGATCTTCAGTAGTCTGGTTCCTTTGCCATTTCCTTTCCCCCCCCCACTCCTCTTTTCTTTCTAAGAGAGTTTGCATCTCCCTCAACTTGCAGCTTTCACAGTCACCTCCCTTTCCTTCTGTTTTTACAAAAAATACTTGGCCCTCACACCAATCCCTGGGAAACCTTGTTTTTTAAGCTACTCCATTGAGTCAATAAGCATTTAAGGTCTGCTGTCTGTGAGAAACTAGGAAACTGGGTGGGTGGGGTTGTGACAGATTCAGGGTGGCTTTCAACTCAAGTGTACCACCACACCCAGCTGAGCAAGGACATTTCTGTGTCAACACCACCTCCAGTTTTAGTTGTTTAATTCAGTGTGGAATTTCTTCAGACTTTTCCCTCTGATTACCATTTCCCATCCTGGAAGCATCTGTGTTGCCCAGGTGGGCCTTGAACTCCCAGGCTCAAGTGATCCTCCTGCCTCAGCCTCAGTCACCTGAGTAGCTTGGGTAGCTAGGACTACATACTGGCACTAATGTGCCTTTGGTAAGGTTCCCCCCAACTCTGGCGGTACTGAGTATTGAACCCTGTATACCCAGTTGTTTTTATTTTTTGATATAGGATCTCACTAACCTCAAACTTGCAATCCTCTTCCCAAATTGCTGGGATTACAGGCATGTGCTATCATACTCAGCACTAAGGTCACCTTTATAGATTTTCCCTTTCTCAAAAAATGCTCATACAGGATGGAATAGAATCTTTGAAACTGGAAACATCCCAAAGATCTAATCTAATCTCCCCACTGCCGCATTTCCTCAGTATCTCAATAGGTTATCACTTGCTTTCTGCCAAGTATTTTTAAGACATTTTATTTCATTTAGAGTTGCACTGATGTTTACAAATTGCTTCTTAAATATTTTAAGATGAATTCTATTTTCTCAGTATTTTTTTTAAGACAAGGTCTTACTATGTAGTTCAGACTGGCCTTGAGCTCACTATGTAGCCCAGGCTGGCCTCAAATTCACAGTGATCCTCCTGCCTCAGCATCCTGAGTGTTGGGACTACAGGCATGCACCATCACACCCAGCTCATCTTCTGACTGCAGTCTGCCATTGTAAAACCTTTCAAAATCTTTGACAGGAAGTCCTACTAAATTCTTTATATTGTCTTTTAACATTTGACACAACTTCTGGACCCCATGACATCCTGTCAAAAAAACAAATTGCTAGTCAGTATCTCCTAAATGTTATTCTACATGATTGTACTTACAGTAGAAGCCAGATTGTTTCCCAAGGAGTAAGCTGTGTTCGTTAAAGGGTCCTCCAGCCAGACAGGCCCAGAGAGGTGAGGTTCTCTTGCGCTTTCTCCGAAAGCTCACAGGCTGTCTCCGAAGAGGCTCATAAGTAGAAGCTGGATTGGTGAAGTGTGTAGGTTGTCGCCCAGAATCCTTTGGTCCCTCTTGGGTAGATGCAGTCTCACTTTATAAGTTTCCCTGCATGTTTTGTTAATCTTGATCAGAATATCTGGAAAATTAGCCATTTGTTAGTTTTAAATACAATTCAGAGAATTCTTGTCTTAGAAAAAGATGTGATGTACCCTTTGGACATCTTACTCAGGGGCCCTGCATACTCTAGTATTACTGGGTAGTTTCATCTCTGTGAATGGGTTTGTGTGAAATGCCTAGGACTTACCTGGCACACGGTGGGTACTGTTTATTGTTGTCACCATGTATGCAGAACTGAGTCACGAAGGTACCTCAGTGTGCCTTAAAATGTGCCTTAAAATTGTCTTTGTCTTTATACTTTTGGATTCTAGAGTCTCTGCCTGGGCAACCTTTGCATGTTTTCTTATAGTGACCCTGTGCCTGTAGTCTGCCAGTGGACACACAGTTTTCATCTTTTCATCTGGGCACATTTTTCCTGGATTCCAGGGCATTATTTTTCACTCTGTATTTTAATACATTTGCCTGAAAAACTGCCCTAAAGCATCAAACTTCTCATTCCTTCAAAAATTATCACCAAGAATAGCTTAGCCTGGTTCAAAAGCAGTCTGTTTCTTATTTCATCTTCAAAACAGACTTCTGGCCAAGATGTTCTTTATAGCATGCAGATGGAACAGAGCTGATGATGTCCTCCAAGGAGCTGTGAGGAGCTCTTGAGAACCACTGTGACACTGTGGCTTTTGCCGGCTGCAGCGGCGGCCACTGCCACCACCATATACAGACAGATTTTGCATGGCAGCGTCCCTTCTGACCTGCTTCCCAAGGTCTTCAAACCTATGCAATGAAATTCCTTATTTTATTACTGAGCAGAGATTGGTGTCCTGGAGAGGGACCATAATTAAAACTAAAAATCTGGTACTGTGATGAAGATGTCATAATTTAGGATTAATAAGATTTGCTTGTTTTTTCCATAAAGTCCAGTGCACCAGTAACAAAGGGTAAAGTACTTTGCATTTAATCAGCGTTCTAATGTTAATTTTAAAACAGCAATTCTAATAGAAATGTAGTAAGTATTTCTAATTTTTACCTCTATCAAAAAAACAAATTTATGACCAGCATTAAAAATAAACTCTCTTGGGGCTGGGGATTTTAGTGGCATAAGCGCCTGCCTTGCAAGCAGGCAGTTGTGAGTTCGATCCCCGTACCGATAAAAAAGAAAAAGACAAAAAATAAACTCTCTGGAGCTGGATGTGGTGGTGTACACTTGTAATCCCAGCACCCGAGAGGCTGAGGCAGGAGGATCATTGTCAGTTTGAGACTAGAGTGGGCTATAAAGTGAACTCAAGGCCAGCCTGAACTGCATAGAGAGACCCTGTCTCAAAAAGACAAAAAAAGGGGGGATGGGGATTTAGCTCAGTGGCTCAAGCGCTTGCCTGTTAAGCATGAGATTGTGAGTTTGATCCCTGGTACCAAAAACAAACACACAAGACAAAAACAAAAACCCTGTCTTAGAAAGTTCTGTTAACAAGTGAAAATGAATGGAGCAGCACCTCAGTAATCTTTATTTTAGTAATAAAAACTTTTCAATCGACAGTAAGAGTCTTCCTGTGGAGTTTTTTTTTTCCCCTCACAGCACATTATCAGTCATTTAGGTTCCTTAGGTACAGTAAGCAAAGAGAAAGAGACAAGAATTCTGATGTAAAGGAAATTTATTAAATTATATTTTGGAAGTGTGGGTGGTGGTCATGAGGCAGGAAGTTCTTTTTTTCATCAACATAATCTCCATAAGAGAGCACTCATTTGCTGGCAAAGGCCACGATTTGTTCCTGTAGAAAAGGGGGACAAAGTGAGGAAGGTTAGGAGGTGAGGCAGATGCTCTCCAGGCTGGGGATGTAGTGCTGAGTGTGCACAAGGCCCTGGGTTCAATTCATAGTACCTCCCGCCCCCAGAATGAAAAGTAAAAAAAAATTTTTTTTGGTTTTTTGGAGAGAAGGTTTCACAGTTCAGGATGGACTTCAACTCACTTTGCAGCCCAAGCTGGCCTTAAACTTGAAGAGCTCTTCCTGCCTCGGCCTCCCAAATGCTGGGATTATAAGTGTACACCACCACACCCAGCAATAGTATAGTACTTAAAATGATATATCCAAAGTGATCAAAAACAGCCATAGAGATAGTATTCTTTTTTGTCTTTTTCGTTTTTATCGGTACCAGGGATCGAACTCACGACTGCCTGCTTGCAAGGCAGGTGCTTATGCCGCTGAGCTAAATCTCCAGCCCCTGAGATAGTATTCTTAAGAGTTGTTGTTTTATTTTACCAAAAAAGAAATCTTTAAACGGAAGTATCAGAAAAAGCTAGCCAAGCAGCAAAAGTGGTTTAGATATCTTCATCTTTACAAGGCGCTGCGCGTCATTCTACAGTCCTTCCTGCATGTCAGATTATCACAGATATGCACCCTGACAGCAAGCCCAGCAACTGCTGCTCATAAGCACTGGGGACGGCAGACAAAATAAAATGTGCAGCCAAGGAAGCTTTTAGAGTTTTTTGCTAATCCTTTCTCAGTGAGCAACAATCTTGGAAAACCCCCAGTGGCTTCTTACTTTGAGCGGAGACACAGCATTAGTAACCTGCAAGCCCCACGTCCTGAGCAGCACGAGTGGAGTGGCACTGGTGGAGTACAGCCTTTTCAGCAAGTCCGTAGCAGCCAGGAGAGCAGTGTTGTGACGCTGTCTGTCTGTTTCATAACAAGTGAGGTGGCTCATAGAGCCTGGAGGAAAGAGAGGAGGTTACATCCCTTATCCACTAATAAAGGCTTCTTCCCTCTCCTAGCGACCCAGATATATGGGATGCTGACCCCATCTTGCTATAGAGGGACAGTCTAGGGCTCTGATCTTTAATTCTGTGACCTTGGGATGCCTGAATCTTTACCTAAATCTTTTCCATTGAAGGCTGCAGTACTGAGATGATGGAGCAAGCTGGAGATATCCCCAAAGCCCATGTTGACACCTTGTCCCGCAAGTGGGTGGACTCTGTGGGCTGCATCCCTGGGAAGGAAGCAGCATGCAGGTGTGGCCTCCAGCAGCAGTGAGTGGGGAGCAGCCCGCTCCATGACTGTCTTACCCAATGAGCGCCACACGAGGCCGGACATACTCCGCTGCATGTCCGAGCCCCAGAGGAAACAGTACTCTGCTTTTGGCATCCACCTTGGCTACACTTGGCGGTAGCTGGCGAGCTGAGACTTTAGTGGGCTTCAGTAGTGCAACAGCATATTGCAGCATGGTGCCAGCAGAGCTGATGAAGTCGGTGTGGTGAGCATCACTCCACTGAGCATCAACCGCAAAACAAACAGAAGAAATCTCATCAGTGACTAGATTCAACAAGGAAACCCTTTTACATAACTGAGGCTAAGGGTAATGCTACCTAACAAGCCCAACCTGACTTTGACCATGAGTCACAAACCCCTTAAACAAATGCAAAACCGAATTTCCCAGCACTCCTCATAGGCCAAACTGCTCCTGAGCAGGCTTCTGCCTACCTCTGAGCACCTTTTGCCAGTCCCCACCACTAATAAGGATGCATCCACCCGCATAGCTCATCCTACACTATCTTCTCTCCAGGGCTCCTCTCTGGTTACAGTGTCCTCCCACCTCTGTTCTACCAGGATGACACCTAGAACCTCCAAAGACACCATCCCCTAAGCCCTCTGCTGTGTGTTTTCCTCTCTGTACTGCTTGTGTATACTTTTATCACTGTACTTAATCATTTAAAGTCTTTCTCTACACCTGACTACAAGCTGCCCAAAGGCAGGGACTGTCTCATCCATCTCTATCTCTAGAGCCTGCTATACAGAAGGTCTTGTAATTATTGTTGCATGTACATGTTAGGAAGGTGTTAGACCTGTGCCCAAAACACATACTCGATGACCCAGAGAGGGGTAGCATTCACCATTTATCTAGGAAATCAGTGTGTTCAATTCCTTGTATTCCTACTGCTACTAGAGCAGACATATATGATTCTTTTTCTTTGTACTTTTACCGGTACCAGGAATCGAACTCATGACCACAGGCTTGCAAGGCAGGCGCTTATGCCGCTGAGCTAAATCCCCAGCCCCTGAGATATATAATTCTTTATTGTGAAGCTCTTAGTGAGATTTTAAAAACCCAAACTTCAGCCGGACGTGGTGGCTCATGCCTGTAATCCCAGCACTTGGGAGACTGAAGCAGGAGGATTGTTGTGAGTTTGAGACCAGCCTAGGCTACAAAAAGAGCTCAAGGCCAGCCTGAACTGCACAGCGAGATCCTGTCTCAAAAAGACAAAAAAAAAAAAAGAAAAAAAACCCCAAACTTCAAGGACCAGATTGACTACAGAACCCAGCTTTGCCCTACCCCTGTGACCTCAGGCATGTTCCTAATCTTTGTAAAAGAGGCTAAATTATTAGCACCTACCTCAAAGATTAAGTAAATACACATAATACTCTAAGGCATTTTCCCTTTGAAAGCATTCTGGCGGGCTGGGGATTTAGCTCAGTGGCATAAGTGCCTGCCTTGCAAGTACACTGTTGTGATTTCAATCCCTGATACAGATTTAAAAAATTTTTTTTAAAAAAGCATTCTGGCACATGGTAAATAAATGTTAATGAATGCTATTAATGAACTTAGATAAATGTGAAATAAAAGCTCCCAAAATATAAGTGCCCATATTGTCTATAATTTGTATCTACTACAGAATCAAATAATCATTTGTTGAGAATCTACAATGTATTAAATATAGGATAAGCATTTTACATAAATTACCATTTCATTTTAGGGGTTTTTTTGTTTCTTTTGTCTTTGAGACAGAGTCTTGTTATGCAGTTCAGGCTGGCCGTGCGCTCACTTTGTAGCCCAGGCTGGTCTCAAACTTGTAGCAATCCTCCAGCCTTAGCCTCCTGTGCCACCACATGTGCCAACACACCTGGCTTAGTTTTTAATTTTTATGTTGTATGAGAATTAAACCCAATGCTGTAGGCAACAGTAGGCAAAAACTGAGCTACACTCTCACTCCATTTTTCTCATTTAAATGTCTCTTTTAGTCCTGAGAGGTTGGTAGTAACTATTTCTGTTTTTCAGAGATTAACAGAATCAATACTGAATCCATATCTCATCTTCAGCCACACCACCCTGAATGTGCCAATTTGTCCTGAACCCATGTCTGTTTACAAAGTTTACTCTGTGCTAAAAATGCTCTCAACTCTCTGTCCCGGTGAGTCTGGTTTTCAAAGGTTCAGATACTTGGAACCCACTAGAATTGTTCAAAATGATCAACATATACAGCTTTTTAAAAGGCAGTGCTAATCACCACTGGTCAGCGATGTCTATCAGCCTACCAGCAGCCCGCAACCCTAGAAGAGCATCACTGTATTTCTATTCACTGTGTGCCCTCCTCAGCATAATTCTAAGCAAGGTTAGTTACAAAGGGATAGCTGCTTGGTGAGTCCTCCTCACTCAAAACCACTTTTCAGTACCGACCTCTACAACCTATCATTAGCCAGACCAGGTGATACTCACAAAGGCAGAGTTGACAGCATCCACAAACTCTTCCTCATCCATGCTGACCAGCTGTGCTGCATGGTCATGGGATGTGGACCAAACCAAGGAACTCAAGGTGTCTGAGAGCTGCATCAAAAGAACATTAACACTGAGGCTAAAGTTCTAATGGACTTGAGGGCTCTTGAGCACAATGGAGGATGAGAAGGGGAAACAATGTTAAGCTGGGCATGTTCCCTTGAAACCAGAAAAAGGGCTGAGAAAGTAAAGTCCTAAAGAGGTCATCTGTCCTCTTACCGGAAGCAGTGCAATGGGTCCCGAGGGAAGAAATCTCTGCCAGGCAACATTGTTTTCTGTGGCCTGCAATATGGAAGAGAAAGGCTCTTGTGAAGAATACCTGTACCTCTGAGTAGGGTCCCAAGTGGAGCTCCAGATCTTACCTCTGATAAATGCAGAGTAGCCACCACAGCGGACTGGTCATAGTTCCAGCTGACATTCTGGATCCCGGCAGCCTGCCGGACTCCTGAATTGTGACCATCAGCACCAATCTGCATGGAGATGGGAGCTGCTAAGTCTTACAAGCTCTGCATACATCAAACTGCTCCACGATTTTCTCTTTCTCCTAATGATTACTCTAGCTCCAACTGTTGACCCACCCACAGCAGGAAACTTTTCATCAAGCCTGTCTCACTCTCAGCCCTGGAGGGAGCCCTACAATATGTACACTGTCCCCACTGATGTAGCCAAGAAATGCCAGCCATGGTAAGCCTGAACTAGATGCTCTTGAGACTTAAAATTAGAAAGAAAAGTTTCAGTAGGGACAGGCCACGGAGCAGAATCGGAGCAGAATCGCCTGATGTGAGGTGGGAATGGCTGCCCCATGAAAGGGAAAGGTAGTGAGCAAAGACAGAAAAACAATGAGAGCTCCAAGGAGATGAATGACAATGGGATTGTGAGTGGGAAAGAGCAGCCTCGATTGCTGACACTCTGGCGCCCTTCCCAATGACCTATCCTCATTTCTAGACCTAAAATGGCTATGAAATTGCTTCCTGCATAGGACTTTAGACCCC